CAGGTTTACTCTTGCGGGGAATAGAATCTCAGCATCGGCGCTCCGATTCTGATAAAAATTACTATAAGATTCTTAATTTAATTCTTTCTTTAACAATTTATTAATCAAATTTCATTCTATCCTAATTTCTTTTTTTATAAAAATTTTCATTTTATCAGTAAATAAAAAAAAAAAGAAATTGAATTAATTGAACTTACTTTTGCTATTATAAAATATAATAAAAAAAATAATATATTGGATAGAAAAATATGGAATATGGTCTTTTATAGAAAAAATATGGTCTTTTTATATTTTTTAAAATCAAATTTGAAAAATCCCTTAAAAGAAAAAAATTTATTTATTATTATTAATAATAAACTATTTTATCTGAAAATGCCTAAAGTGAGTTAAGCATTAAAAAAATGAAAAATATTAACAGAACCATAGAAAATGGTTGAGTTGAAACGGTGAATTATTTTGGTGTTTTTGTGCAAATGTGATGTGACTCATTCACCATCATTCATACCTTCACCCAAGCGTTTATGCACATTCTATCAAAGTTAATTGCGGTTAAATGGCGAAAATGTCATGAAAATCACACAATTGGGATACAATAATAGAACTGGAAACCTTCTCCAGAGAAAAGTCTGCCAACATTATGGAAGAATCGATCGTTGATGGATCGATAGACGGATTTTAATTTGTCCATTCGAAGATAGCCATCCTGATTTTAGCGAATTTATTATAGATAATTTTGAAATAATTCTTTATTTTGTTCGAAACATGTTGCAACTTGATTTAATTCGGCGAATTATATTTTAAATAATACGTTCGACAAAATTGCGCGCAATTTTTCTTTTTTTAAATAGCTTTCTTATCATTTTCGATCTATAGTGTTTCTTTTAATCTCTTTTGTTTTGATAATTTTGCTAGAAGGACACTTGTGACTAAAAGTACGTGTGAATCCTTATCACTCTGGATTTTTTAATAATAGTTTTATTCCGATGTAAGATAGAGGCCGAAGCTTGATCATCGATAATTATTCGCTTTTAGTTCCGCTACTGAAAGTAATTTACATAAATTCTAAGTGAATTGAAGCCTTAACCACTTCTTTTTAGAATCACATTATCATATTATCAAATTATCAAACATTATTATCAAGAGAATTACGAGCAAAATTCATTCTTAAATATTTGAGGAATTTTTGTAATGCTTTTTTTGATATATTCGACAGTCTACTTCAAATTCTTCATTTTTATGCGATATTAGTAAAATGGGGAAATGAGGAACTTTGAACACTTCGACACATCTGTTAAATCGTAATTTTGATGCAAAATGATCAAAATTGTTATTTGCAGAGTCCACTGATAACATTATTTTTAAATATATTTAATTTAACGAAATAAATTTTTTTGAAAAATCTTACCTGAAAGTTTCAAAATGATGTAAGTATTATTTAGTGCTCATAACAATTGCTCATAGAATCCTAACCATGAACCATCAACATCCAATATCCATCGAAATTCGAAAACAATTCTAGTTCACGAATTCTGATCTGAATTCAGAATTATTTCAGTGAGCTCTTTGCTAAAATTGTTTATTTTAATCAGAAGCCATCTCATTCTCATAATAAAAATTTAAAACTAGTTTCTTGGAGAATGATTCGCTCATTAAGTATTAAATGTATACCAGTTTTTTTTAAAATACAATTTTGTATAGTTCTTAATTTTTCATAATATTTTTATTCCTTTCTTCTTTTGGCTTATTTTGCTTCATTTTTTTTATGTTCACTGATATTTGGATTTTTTAAAGAATTTGTACAACAAAAGAAGTTTGAAATTTTTAATATGCTTTTCGAATTTAAAAATATGAGAATATTAAAAAATTTACCAACAATTAGGCTTGAGGATTTCAGGAATATTCGAAGAATAGGTATAAAAGCAAGAAGCGAGGATCGAATCCGATTATTTATTTATTTTATTTAGGCAATAATCAAATAGCACTAAGAGAATTAAATGTTTTATGTGTTATTTTAAAAAAAAATTTATAGCAAAAACAAAAGAATATAAATGAAATTGGAATGAAATAAAATAATTCACAAATACTGCAATATATTGCAGAAACAAAATAAATAAAATTAAGCAGTAATTAATCCAAGATTCATTTAAATTCTCTTTACATTAAAGAACGTAGATGGATGACATAGGAATTAGAAGAATTATATCCTTAGGCAATCTAATCGAGTAATTAATTATAATTCGGTGGATTAATTTCTAATTAATTTAAATCCAACTTCAGCTAACTATTTCAAGTTATATAAATGTTCAAGCAAATTCTTAGCATACAATACTTTTTAATTTATCACAGATCTTGTTCTTGCTTCTGATTTTTAAGGAATTTAGCATAATTTTAGGATTGAAACATTACTTGAAGTGTTTGACTTACACTTAGCTTGTCAGAGTTGGAATATTTAAGTCAAGTAATAGCATTCTAATAAATGCTTCATCCAATGCAATAAGGAAAGCTTAACATTTTTAATATTTTAGAAAATTTTTTAATTATTAATCATTGCGAAGATTAAAATCTAAATTATTATCAGCAGTTGAACCACAATTTGATATATAAGGTACGATATGATTTGATTTCTAGTCGATTAATTGATGGTTGTTTTCTTTAACTGGACTCATCCTGAGTAATTTTTAATTGCTGATATTGCTGATAAGTGATTAAATCACTTGATGCCATTCTGATGAAAGTTTCTGTTTAATCGCCAAATAATTTGCTAAAATTATTTATACTAATTTATTTTCAGTTTCTTGAGCAGTGTAAAGTAATGACTACATAAAGCACATAAAACCTTGAGCATTTAGCGGTTATAAGAATCATTTCAGATTATCAACAGAGAAATTTGATTCGATAAATTAACAAGTGCCTAGGACACAACAAACATATTGTCGTGTATTTATTGATAATATCTTATCTTTATCTCATCAAATCAAGCTACTTCAACAAAACCAGTTGTATCGTTATTTATAAGTTTTATATTAAAGCTCTTCCTACAATTCATAGCATTACTGGTTGAACTTGCTTGGTTGACTACGGAGGTGAAACGCTTATTTGTCTCTCGGTCCGATGGCATATTTGAAAGTAATGGAAGTCATTCTTATTTCACTACGCGCATCGACCTGTTTGCTTTCTAATTTTAATTTTTTTTGACTAACTTTTAATCAATTTTCTTCTAGTTTGAGGAATAAATATTTTTATTAGAGAGTATCGATAGATTCTATTAATTCATAGTTTAAAATACAAAACTTTATTTGACACCTTTAATAATCGTTTTTATAGCCAATTTTGTTCATTTCTGCTTTTTTTCTTATTTTGCATGAATATTTGAATTTAGTACGATTATTTCGAAATCCATTACGCCATCATCATTCCATTTAATTTAATATTATTCATGTTATTCACCGTTTGAAGATAGCAAACTGAATTATAGACCAGCGGTTTCCGAAGTACGCAAATCTCTAAAATCCCATTATCACTTTCATGATAATGCATTTGTGATAAGAACCTCTTTCCATTTGTTCCGACAAAATTCACAAGAATACCGTAAAACAGTATTATCGCTCTTCACCATAAATCATATTCATATGTACTGGTTGGTTATTACAATATTTGAATGAACAGAAAATAAATTTATCAAATTTAATTTAATACGCTAAATTTTTTGGAGATATGCGCAACATGAATGAAAGATGATTACTCGATAATTTTTTGAATTTTTTACGTAAAAAGTTTTTTTAAGCAAAATTTGAAAGGAAAAAATTTTTCTAATTTATTCATTATGGCTATAAAAAATAAAATTTGATAAAACCTACATGAGCAACAAATTTTTCTTGATTTTTATCTGTTTTATTTTTTTTTATCTGTTTTATCAGCATATACGATAATATTAATAAAATGGCTCATATTTAGCATTTATAAATCGAAAATACTAAATGTAATCGAAGTGTTATCAGCAAATTGCTCTAATATCATAAATTACTAATTAATGCAAAGATAAGCATCAAACGCATAGACACTTCGATTTAGCGTTAAAAATTTTTGGAAGTTTTCTCTCAGCCTATGAAAGCAATTAATCGAATAATCTTTAAAAATCAATCATTTTAGATTGTTGGCAAAGTGATTTAATCGAAATTTTTGGCTTAAAATCTTAAACGAGCGGTGGTTTTTATCTTTTATTGTTGTTTTATTAATGTTAATTAATCAATTAATATATTATGAAGAGATTAATGAATTGTGCATAACGATTTGGCCACTAGAAAAATCTGTGATATTTGCTAGCGATTCTCAAATATCCCAAAAATCAGTTGTTAATGCCAAATTTTGTTATCAGCATAATATTAATAAAATGGCTCCCATTTATAAATCGAAAATATTAAATGTAATTTTTTTACTACCAATAAACATCACTTTGGATTTTTTAAATTATTTTTGAAACTATAGACTGTTTGAAATAGTTTTTATTAACATTTTAAGCCATATTGAACAGAAGATAGTTATAAAAATTTTATGAAATAAAATTTTGCTTTCCAACTATAAAACTAGCAAATACAACTATGGTTGGCGGTTAAGAAATTCGGACAAGAGTTTCGTCATAATTTCTCGTTTTTCAAACCGATATCAATTTTATAACGGCTGTAATTATCACAAATATTTTATCATAATTTCTTTTTATTTGTTTATGATAATAAATGTTTGTTTGTTCATTGCCAGCATTTGAGGATCGATCGTTTAATTATGAAAGGCAGCAATGCTTAGGAAATATTAAAAAGTAAAAAACCTTAATTTCAGTTGCATAACGGATGCTAGACCCACCAGTAATCACTACCGATGAGCTCGAGGGGGCACAAAAAATCAGGTATTGCTCACCATTTACTTATATTTTCTAGAACCTCATTTCATCTTTTTTCCTTCAATTTTTTTTTTTAAGAACCCTCACCATTACTGGTTAGACTCGCTCCTTAGACTGGCTTGTCGTAGTAGAAAAATATACTTGTGATAGAGTTACACAGGTGAGTCGCCAACATCACCCGAGTTCTTGTGCAGATTTACGAGAAGTAAAACCTCAACATCGACACTTCGAATCGAGCAACAAGCCATTCTTCTCCCTATTTTTCCTTTATTCACTAATTATAATGCCGAAAACATTTAAGATTCTTCAATTCAATAAGCAATCTGTCGATTTTCGCTCGTAAAAATATAGTAGTATTCTTGGTTCATAAATAATTTTAACATTCGTCCAAAAAAATGTCCAGACAATCTTCTGCACCCTTATGGATGCTATTTTTGTCTTCCCTGGATTCGTAATTATGTTTTAGAAGAAAAGTGAAAAGAATACCTCACAAGTTCTTTTTTTTAGAAGGAAAATAAAAGGAATACCGCAGGAATTCGATACAGATTTTTACCTTGCAAGATGGTGGAGAGCATATCAGGGCGACTTACAACTTATTAGAACTTATATGAAACAATTATTCGAACATCGCCGTCTGCTCGGTTATGATCGTATTGACACTGAAGGTTTACGAACAAAACTCGATATGGCATGCAAAACATTTGAGGTATTTCGCGTTTGGCTAGGATTTAGAAAGTGAAGCAAGAAATTATATTGAATCTCAAATCGAAGTTTTCGATTCGATTCTTCTATTTTCTCCTAAATTAAGTGCTTTTTTTTTCATTGAATTTTTATTTTCATGACGGATATTTGATAGAAATAATACGATTTTTTTTAGCGTTTCTCTATTTCATCTTTTTCTCCTCAATTTTCTGGAAATGTTTGCGTTTTCGTTCAAAAAATGGAGGGCACTGACCTTAAAGAAGTAAGAATTATTTCCTTAATATTATGCAAAAATTCATAAACTAAAATATTTTTTTTATTGGAAACGGAACAAAATATCAAAAATAATTACAAATTGCAAATTAAAATTCAATAAGAATTCTAAAATGAGAAATCTTCAGATTATGCGAGTTATTCCTTTATGTAATGTGCTCCATTCGTATTTTATATTGCAAGAAATGCTCACAAGACGAATGCTGGAAAAAGAAGCGGAAACTGGAAAACCATCAGCTGCAGTTATAATACTTGATCTAAAAGGACTAAATATTTCCGAATTTTTGAACCCACTTGGCGTACAAGCACGATTAGCGAGATTAGTCATCAGTATATGGTCAAATTATTTCACTGAAACGGTCAATAGATAGATCATTTTTTATATCAAAAAAAAGAAATATACTTGATAACTGATATGGAATTTTGGCATTATTTTTTACTTGCATTTAAAAGAATTGAAAAATTTCAGCTATTCAAATTATTTGTGATAAACTCACCAGCATTGCTTAGTGTCTTATGGTACATTATGAAATTCATTGCCGATAAAAAAACGCAATCACGTATACAAATATTAGATGATCCATCTGAGCTTCTACGTCTTTTAAATCCACAAGTAAATATTTTTGTTGAATTAAATATTTAGGTTGAATATTTTGCTTGAATTAGCACGTTCTCGTTGTCCACCAGAGAAGTTGACGCATATTTCGTTATCTGCTAAACCGTGTGATGTATGGCGTCAAAAGCGAGGTGGGCCAATCAAGACCTGAACTGATACGGTGAGAAAGGATTTTGAACGTATAGATGGATATAGCAGTATATGGACTTAGACGATGGAAAAAGAAATGGCTTCCATTACTGTCGAGGATGGCATCAGACCACGCAGCTCGGAAGCGTCTTACTCTTATAGCCGTTGGAGCCAGCCTAACCAACAATAGTGAGAGCTGTTAGAAGAAAAAGAAGAAATGTTAAATAGTTATAGGGAGCAAGAGTAAGTTTTTTCCTTTTTTCTAAAAGTTGTCATTATTACTGGTTCGACTCGCTCCGATGGCTTGTCGCACTAAATAAATTTATTAGGGAATTCTTTGGCACTGAGAACACTATTATCATATTTCGTGCAGAATAATAATTCCACGGACTTTCTTAGGCGGTACCAGAAGCATATGGTGGAAAATGGCGAGATAATAGTGGTTACGCGGATCCTCCTGGATCTGTATGTCGAAAACCGTTGAAAGTTTTGCCGCACCATACTTTCGATTCTAATGAACTATGGAGGAAATATGGATATGAAAACGCTCCACAGCCAATAACTGTCAATTTAAAGAGTAAATCGATATTCGAAATCAATAAGTAAGTTTAGAAAATTCATTTATTTCTTTTCATTTCTCAAGAAGAAAAAATAATAAAAAAGTCGAATTTAAAATAAGCATAATTAAGAATTTGCGAAAAAGACGACCAATTTCTACTGTGGCAATTTACCGTGAATGGTGATGTTGAATTCGAAATAATCAAGAAAAAAAGAGATGGATTTCGAGCAGCTTGGCCAAAAATTACATCAACCAGTTTGCTAGCACCTGAACAAGGTTGTATTCGTTGCAGACGTGGTCATTATATTATACGTTTCCAAAATCCAGCAACAACATGGACACCTACCAAGATTCATTACTCAATAGAATTCAGCAAATGAAAAATAAAATAAATTTCGAAATGCCGTGAATTTTTTAAAAAATATAAGTACAAAAAACTACTACATACAAAGAAAATTTCATTCGTCAATAAAGCGTACTAAAATTAAAATTATAAAAAAAATTATAAATTTTATGTATTAATACATATTAAAATTAATATATATTAATCACATAATTTTATTCGCACATAAAAATTCTCCTTCTTAAAACATGCATAACCATTTGAAAAAATTTTTAGCAAATGCGAAAAATTTGCTAAAAAACGGAATTTTTAATGGAACATTTTTCACGATTTTTTTTGATAAATTTCAAAAGTGATCCTATGCACAAGATTTATAGACAAATTATTATACTAGCAACACAAAATCCTAAAATAATCAGAATTGCTTTAATTCTTGATGCTAACGCCTAGTACAACTTAAAAGTGTTTCTAACTCCTCTATCCTCCCCTCTCCCTTGCCGCCACGCCACACTATTTCCTCAGTTACCATTTATATGTTAATTTTTAGCTATTACTATTTATCAATATTATGTTCAATATTAACGCTATTTGACGTTAAACTTGCATGGCAAAGAAGAATGGAATGGTTAAAATTAAGCGAAATTTGTGCCTTTTAAATTTATTTTGTCAAAAGATTAGACCAAATAAGGTGCCATATTTTGGCCTCAGAAATAATACATGAAAGTCAACATGAAACAATGCTTTTATGAAAATATCACTGCTATGATTTTTTTTTTCCACCATTATTTTTCTCTGTGATTTGCAAATTCATTGATAATTCATGTTCCACAGATTTTAATTTTAAGCGAAAAGGCTTAATGGTGAATAAACTGTGGATTGAAACTTCTCTTGAAACAATGTGTAGATTATGCATAGGTCATATGATTAGGCAATTTGTTCCAATAATCGTGGGAATAGCTCTGTATTCTTAAAATATTCTAGAGGAATAGCTCTGTATTCTTAAAATAATTCAATAAATAGACTTCAATAATTTCAAGCTATCTGACTTTACTAGAATTTAAACTAATATTTCTAGGCTGATATAGGCCTTCCAAAATTTAATAGGCAAAAGTTAACTTAACCTATTCAGGTACCAGGATCACGAACGAGCTAAAATAATTTTATTAGCATATAGTGGTGACAAATTCATAATTTTCAAGTTAATTTACAATTCTACATTTGCTAATATTTGTAAAAGGTTTTTCATAAGCCATTCTGTAATAGAAATAGGCTTTCAGATGTTGGCAAATTCTCTTTTTTTTTTTTTTTAAATACCAGATATTAAAGAGTTTTAGGCTTTGTGGGCCAAGAAAAAAATCGGAGTCATTTTCGTTTAAATAAAGAAAAATATATCCTTATTGATGAGTTTCAAAATATTTTTAGAATAAATATTAAAATGCAATACAATTTTTTATAATAATAATTTAATTATTCTAGTAAATACTTATTTATACCTTAGTTTATTTAATTCATTTATTTAATACTTATTTATAATAAATCTAATTTATTAATAATAATTTTTGAAATTCATTTTTTTTCAAATAATATTTTGCTTAATTGAAGTTGAAGTTGTCTATCTACTGAATATGTATAGATTTTAGGTTTCATTTTTAAAAATATTCTTTCCAAAATAAAGTTATGGCGAGAATTATTTCCTAATACTAATAAAAGTCCATTTATATAGCCGTGATGCGTTCGATCTTGCTATATGGTTCTGAGACATGACCAGTGAGAGTGGAGGACATTAAGAAAATATCTGGTTTTGACCAATCTTGTACATATACATAAGGTACATATTACGGTCGATCGGATAAGATATCACATCCATCGCATCCATCTTCATTCAAATACACTTGCATAAATAATGTTAAATAAATAAGTTATCACAGAGCGCTACCTTCGCTGGTTAAAGCATATTTTCCGTCGTCCACCACAAGAATTGATGCATACTTCGTTATTTGCTAAACCGTGTGATGGTTGGCGTCAAAAGCGAGGTGGGACAATCAAGACCTGGACTGATAAGGTGAGAAAAGATTTTGTATAGGTGGACCAGCAATATATGGACTTAGACGATGGAAAAAGGAATGGCTTCCATCACTGTCGACGATATCATCAGACCGCGCCGCTTGGAAGCGTCTTACCCTTGTAGCCGTTGGAGCCAGCCTAACCAGTAATGGTGAGAACTGTTAGAAGAAAAAGAATAAAAGTCCATGCATATTCATCAATCGGAAGGCATTTATAAAATTCTGTTAGATTTCCCTCTTGATAATTACATTTCAATCATTATCTATCAAATCTCATTTTATCACTTCTTCTTAAAGGTTAGGCAGAAGGTCAGTGCACGATAAAATGGATTTCAATACATGGAAATTTCTTTAACAGTTGCATGGAAATTGCTGGGATTTTATTTTGAGTTCGAAAAATATAATTTTTTTATCTGATAGTACTAAAAGCATAAAACTTTTTAACATTATTTGAGAATCGAGGTCTAACTGCTGTTAAAATAAGTTTAAGTTTTATATATGAGAGCTGTATTTACCTTACCATTTTTGACTAAAAATTATCAAAATGCATTATCAAATCTGCAACAAAAGTTGATCGCCATAGCAATTCAGGTAACAATAGTTGGGAATCTTCTTCACTCAAAAAAATATCATTCTCTATCTTGACATGAAAAAATCCTCTTAAAACTTACCACAGCTAATCCAGCGAATTGCTGTGGTAGAAAGAATTAGTGTATTCAGTTTTTGTCTTATTTATACGATAAAATGAAACTGACGACGACGCTTAAATCCACGAGGCCGAATGAAGTTTCGAAGTTGACTACTGATTCAAGAAATGGATTCAAATAATTTCCACAAACTATTTGCTTATGAATAATAGAGTGAATAAACACCTTTCCTTTGCATAATTGTGTAACTTTGACCGACTAAATTACGACCTGTTGCACATCTTAAGTGATCTCACTTCAGGTTGTCCTTCATCAATGCACCTTCATTTCGATTCTTCACTGTAGTTGTTCTGTGAAGGCTAAGGCTATTTATAAAGGCTACCATCATTCTTTGAATAAACAATTAAGATGGTATTGGTGATAACTGTTAATTCATCAGAATTTTATAGGTAAATTTCTTCAGTAGTCCAATTTAGATTAACCCATCATTAGGGGGTTCAGTGGGTTGTTGCCCAATTTGGAGAACCGATGCTGAGGTTCGATTCCCCTCAACCTGTATAAAAATCCGGGTGATGCTAACAGCTCATCTATAATACATCGATGTATATCCAGATTGAACGGTTTTAGATTCGAGTATGAATCATTGTTGTGCACCGCTTGCAAGCCATTCAAATAGTCTTTCTTGTTTGAGTAATGCGCTTTGGTTTAATTCGGAAAGGCCAAAGACAGCTAGCTGAATCCAATACTTTTTTTTCTTTGCGCAAAAAGTATTCCCTCGAAAGGATTTACGGAAAATTCTACGCAATCTTAAAACAGTTTCAAATTAATTTTCATACATGCAAAGCAACTATGAAAGAATTAGTCCGAATATCTGTAAGCAAAATGTTACTGTTACTGCGCAATCAGTATGTAGTTTTTTTCTTTAACAAGCAGAATTTGAAGCTCCAAATGAAATTAACATTTATTCATCAAAAAAAACAGTCATATATTATCCAAACTTTACCAGTTTTACCAATTTTGCGACATCGAAAAAGATCGGATAAAAATTTAATTTCTTTACCGAATTCTATTCCGCTTTTTAGCTTTTCTTTCCAAATATTTATCCAATTTTTTCGTTTTTTTCAACTCTTCGAATTTTTTTTCCATATATCGCCTTTTCAATTGGCCTTAAACAAATTCATGGATTGCAAAAAATTATTTTATTTATTTTATTATTATTTTATTATTTTATTTCATTATTTTGTAAATTTTTTGAAAATTTTTTCGAAAACGCGACAGCTTTAAAATTATGATTATTATAGCTAAATTTTAGATATGAATTAAAATTCAAAATTGCATAAATTCCATAAAGAGCAAAACGAAAATACGAAAAAGGAAGCCGAAAAAAAATGGATTGACGAAAAATATGAAAATATGAATAATGAAAAAAATCTACCTCTAGTGTAATAAATAGGTTTCAATCCTTGTCGCATACGTTCCTCATTTTCTTTACGAACCTCTCGAACTACGTCCTTGCGACGCTCAGCTTCAATCTTTGACCTGAAAATAGAAATTTTATAAAAAATAGGACAAGTTTAGTAGGGACGTCAAGTAAAATGGCGCAAAAAAAAATTCACTAAAAACAAAAAATTAAATCTTACTTTTCCTTATCAGTTAAGCGCCTCAAAGCAGCTCGCAACCGGTCTGCTTTCTTTTTATCAAGTAATTTTGCATTTTTTAATTCATCGGAAAGAATCTAAACTCAGAAATTTATCATAAATATTAAAATTTCACATTTATCACATATGCAATGCGAAGGAATGAAGGCTTAATCATAAAATTCGTCCAGCATAATGCTTTATCAGCAACAGAACAACAAACAGCAGAACAAGGTTGACTGGAATAGCTTCCGGCGGGGGCAGCAAACAGACAAGAAGCAACAATAATAAATATATAAAAACGACAACTTTAAACACAAACAAAACTGAACCTTTTTTTCATTTTGTTGCAACTCATCTAAAAAACTATAATTCGTTTTATAGATATATTCATTGAAAAGACCACAAGAATCTTCAAACCTGGGATCGAACCTGAAAATTTTCATAGTTAAATCAATGCATTTTATAATAATTACTGCAATATTCATAATAAAATATTCGTAATATATTTATTATAATATGTGAGGAAAAATACATTTTTGAAACTCAAAAGACTAAAATTAAATTCTCATTAAAAAAAGGAAATATTCCTTTTTCTCAGTTCATCGAGACCTAAAAATTAATTTAATCCTAAATTTCAAATTGGCTTGCATTGAACAGTGGGTAAACAAATTATTTTAATAATTTCAATAATTTCAAAAATAATTTCAATAATTTGGATTTTGATAATTCCAGAAAAAGTGATAAATTAATACAAAAAAAATATGAGATTAAAGTGACGTAATTACTTTTGTTTGTTTATTCGTTCATTGGGATAAACAGTACGAAATTTAGGAACAGGAATTTTTGATGAAACCTCTCTCGGCCTTCTCGGATGGTCACGCGGCTTTATAATTTCCTTAAAAACAAACGATGAAATAATGAAAGAAAAAAAGTCAAAGAGAGACATATCACACGAATTGTTTAAATCATTCTTTGGAAAGCTCATTGTATGTTATATGTAAAAAAAAATCACCGGTGAAATAAAAAGTGAAAATAAAAAGGTGAAATAACTTTTCAAGCTTACAGGTTTTTTTGTCGATTTAATCGATTTTGAGTGATCACTTTCAAAAAAAGTTTGATTAAACAGCTTTACTCCAAGCTTTTCTTTCATACTCTTGACTTGAAAAAGAGGCATGTTCGCAATTTCTGAAAATAAATTTTCACTACGATTTGATTAATAAACTGCATTCAAGCTATAAACAATACAAAAAATTAGAGTATGTTTCAGAAAAGAAAAAAATTTTCGATTATATCCATTAAAAATAAAAAAATTAACGAACCTTTACGAATTTCTCCTGAACTATCGACGGCTATTTCTTCATCGCCTGAAAAATTCTCCTCACTGTTATCACTGGTATATAAGCTTTGATCATCATTCTCTTCCGATCCATCAACGCACGATTTTCTGCAAACAACTATTTATATTATTGTAGAGATTACAAAAGCTAACAATATATTTAAATAAAATGAAAAAGACCTAAAAGTATTATAAAAAGTATTAAAAGTATTAGAAATAAATCGGAATTAGCACATTTTTCACTTGCAGCAATTAATATCCTCTTTCGAATAAAAAATGATTATCAAAAACTAAAAAAAAACACAAGCCTTCGATTTACTCTAACGCTGTTGGTCGTTGATGAGCCGGGATTTTCAGATATCTTATCTCTCCTCAAAACAATATTTTGGTAAAGAAAAGATTATAAAGAATTATAAATTATAATTTCATAATAACACGCTATTCTGCCAAATTTCTTTTTTCCACTGCAGCTTTCACCATATTACTCACCGAAATTTCTGTCTTAACTAAGTGAAAAATGCTACAATCTTTTTCTATTTTCTATTTTCTATATGAAAATAAATTTACCTTGAAAACTCCTCAAAATAAGTATCAGAAATTGATCGACTGCTTTGATTAAATTTAGACCTCCTTTCTCGATTTTCATGACTTCTTTTCTTTGGAAATGTTCGCAGAGTGCCCTTCGAATCATCCTTTTCCATAACTTTAGTGCTTAAAACAAAATATTTTCTAATAAAACGAATATATTCTAGAATAAATAAACAAATCAACGAATAAAGCCTCACAGTGACCAAATAGTGATCGACTAACAATTCTAGGAGAACTATTTTGATTTTAAAGTATTATTCCACATTTCCTACAGAGTTTGTCATACAATTCGAATTAAATGCAAGCAACTTTCTACTGCTCGCTAACAGTTTCGCAATATTTTACAATATATTAAACAATCGAATTTTACCGGTTTTAAAGCATATTCATATTTCCATAAATGTGAAATTTCTGGACTATTTACGCAAAATATATAGATATTACAGTTCCACTGCATTTACTGCAATCACTACCTACTGCTGCAGCCAACATAAGCACATTCGTAAGCACCATATGCCCTCTAATGTAACTAGTTTGGCACCATTTGCTATTACCCTGTCTATTTACGATTGATATAAACTGAGTACTAGAATTATATAAGAACGAATTATCAGTCAAGGGCGATAGGATCTCAACAAATAAAACTGATATAAAACACGCTTAAAAAATAACCGAGAGCAACGGATTTGCCAAAATGTTCGACTAAAGCGACTCCAACAAGCCGACCTATAGCTGAGAATCTCAGATAAAAAGTATGACAAAACCTATTTGGATCGAATAAAAAAATTGCGAAGAATGAATGGACCACAAAGAAAAAGAACTTGAATGCTAAAGACAACTAAATATTCTTGGGGCTTCCTCCATGTAATTCTGAATGATTACTGATTACTCTAATAAGACTTTCGATACCATATACATTTCTAAGCTTCGATAAAAACCGGACAAAGTACATATATTTCTGCTAAATAATACTAAAAATATGCACCATTCACCAATATCAGCAGCTTTGCAAGTTTTCTTAGAAAATATTATAAATTTACATCTTCCAAAGGCAAAAAAACAATGAAAACTTTCCAAATGAATCACGTATTGCTAACAAAAATTTCTTAGGCATTTTTTCCATTCATTTAAGTAAATGTAGCTTCCCAAATAATCAACTAATCAGTCGTTTTTTTCGAAAGTGATAATTAAACAGTGATAAGCAAATAAGCACCGCATTTTCCAACAGCTGTTCATACAGATCAACTTTGGCAATTTTTATTATTAAAATCCAAATATGTTTAAAAACTAGCGCAGCAAAAAAGGAGTGAAAATAAACGATACAGCAACCATTTCCTTGTTCGACCATTATTTTAATAATTCAGTAGATAATATCCAAACAACTGAAACTCTACTTCTTATAATAGACTAAATTCGACTTAAAAAACAAATTTATACGAATCTTTTTCAAAAAGTTTTTGAACAATTTTTAATAAAATTAAAATATTTCAGAGATCAAAACGGAACAAAAATGATTTCAGTTAATCGAACAAGGAAGGACAAATAAAAATAAAACTAAATATTTCTTATTTACATGAGCAAAGCGAAATCTCCTAATGAGCACGCATGAAATATAAGCCAAATTAAAAAAAAAGTGGAAGAGCAACAAAAATTTCTGAAAAATATAATCCATTATATCTAAGTTGATGACAGTTTAATCAAATGTGGCAAGTTTTAGAAATTGTAATAGATTATTTAAACTATTTTATTAAGACTAAAAAAAAGGGCAGTGAAAAAAAAATGATTCGAAATTGATTATTCTGCTTCTACAAAAATAAAATAATATAATTTCCGGACTAATAACATGAATTAATTTCTGGAAAATTTAGACATAAAATATAAAATACCTTACTGAAATACATTCGTTAAAAAATCTCCAGTAGTAGAAAATTTGCAAAAAACAACCTTGCCAGCAAGAGAATTACAAAAAAAACCAAAGATGAAAATATTAATATAAGAAATATTTACAACTGATTCATAATCAGGTGGAAACTACAGATTTATTTTATGGCTCTAACAATAAAAAAAAAAGCGATAACCATTGTTAAGAGCGAAGTTATAGAAAATGGATACGAAACACTAATAAAATCTAATGAATGGCATAAACATACATATATATATAATCTAAAACACTGACTATGACAATGTGGTACATTGCAGCCGGCTACATGCAAATAAGCAATTATAGCAGCATGATTCAATCTTAAGACAACAGAAGCCAGTGACTAAGTGAAGAGACCAGTTCGTTATATGTAGTAATAAATGAGATATTTTTCTGAACTTTTATTTATAAAAAACGTTATAAACGTTAAAAACGTTATAACGTTATAATAATTTTACTATTATTTACTTATTGTTTAATCAAAATAGATTACTGAGGTAAGCAGCATAATTGCATGAGGTTTTTTTTAAATGAATTTGCATCTGGTGACCGAAAATATTTGGTTCATAACTCAAATATTTAAATATTTGAAAATGAATGGGGAGGCTCATTATCGTTATCATCAGCATTATCCTCAATTGTTTCGTTGAAAAAATCCATTTGCATGCGGTTGATTAGAGGTGGCCCTCTAGTTATCATGCTTTGGGCTGGAACATTCCATATATTTGAAAGGCGACTTTCAACAGTTTCGCCAACTCTTTCGATGGTCCCATAATTCATCGCCGCACTCTCAGTATTTTCAGCAAATATATTACGTAAGTACATAACGCTCATGGGCATTTCTATATCTCGCATATTCGACATTCCGATATTATTCATTCCTGCAAAAATTCAGATTACGTAACATCTAAATTTAAAGTCATGATTGCTCTTATGAACCCCCGCAGACAGCTTTATAAAAGACGGCTCTATAAATGCTTATAAAATAAGCATTTTTCGAAAAAATAATGCAATAAACCATAACTGCCCAGCCTAATTCACCTTTAATTTTCTTCTATTCTTATTGACAATCCCTGTAGAATCCCTCGAACCCGATAAATGCGATTCTCTTTGAAACTTTTCGAGTGAACTGATTAACTCTATACCGTTTTACAAGATAAAAAAACTGAGACTAGTTTAAATTTTTATGATAAGTGAAACAACTAAGAGAAGTCTTTATGTAACTCACTTTCAGATGATGTACTCACTACTGGAAAAAGAAAACATTTGACTGAAGCAAAGCAACCTTGCTCACAATTCAGAAAAAAATATGATAGAAAAAAAGGCAATAGCTATCGAGGAACCAGCCTAGTAAATACCTTCGAGAATACCTTTGAGAAAATTTTTACTTTCTTTCAAATGAAAAGACTCATGGCAAAATGCGACAAGAGCACATTCTAACCAAGCTGCCGATCATGGGTATCTCTTCATATATCGACAACTCACCGTCACCTGTTTTATTGCTTTTATCCTCCACTTAATAAACAGATACGCAAGAGGGCAACGAGAGGGTAGATTACGGACTGCAATAACTCAAAAAGTTTACATCTGACTAAAGGAAAGTAGCATGGATTGTCAACGCGTTGATCACGTGGTTCCTCCTAAAGAATTCCAATAGATACAATAGTACAATAGATGCTTCAAACTTAAGCAAAAGCAGGGATAACCACAGCCAGAAATGCTTTCTTCCGTCTGAGAAAACTCTGTTGAATGTCCATTACCATTCACCATTCGCCTGCTTTATCAAAATACCGAGAAATTCTCTACCTATGATCATTCTTGTTTGATGTATTTTGCACCTGTCGAAGGGATATTCAAGAGAATTTTCCTGAAGAATCTCATACTATGCACCTTCGTTCGAACACTACACTAGCAATGCAGAGATAAAGTTTCGCTTCTGCTGGTTAAATCACATTTGCAGACATAAAATGACTGACGCATGTTTGGCTTATTATACACCAAGCATTGCTACATTGTCATGACGCTAAAAGCGAGAAGTAATAAGATCTGAATGGCGACACTCTGCGATGGTACTGTTAATGTTAATGTAGGTGGTATCTGAACGAAGGAGGGAGCGATCATGCGAGATTTTTTCCACTCGGCAAAACCCTTAGGCATGATCAAAGGCAGATAACCTCTTATATCCACCACTCTCATTGGCCATGTATCGCAGCCATATAGCAAGATCGAATATGCATATGAATATGTGTATGCTATGCATACACGAACTTTAGCTCCATAAAAATTTAATTTCTAGCTGCAGTTATCCGGGTTATAATTTATTTTGCCTGGCTATTCAATATTAAAGGTTTAAGATCGGAAAGGTATTTAAAATCGGAAAAATTTACAAAACATTTAAGTATTCGAGTAACATTTAAAGTAACATTTAAGTAATCGAAAAAATGATAGTTAGGAGGCGAATAAGAAAAAAATTTTAGTTTTTTAGATTAAATGCATGAAATTCTATCCAACTACTGAATGAAATCAAAAGAATTACTTCGTAAACTATTCACAAGACATTTCTGCAATAAGTAAACTTAAATAAAATGTTAGGCTTACCAAAATTAGCTGCAAAATTAAAAGGATCCTGTTGAGGAACAAACATTGGTGGAACGAAAGAAGTGTTGACTGATGGTGGAGTACCTGGCCGATGTGCTAGCATCAAAGACTGATAACTATCGAGAAGTATATTTTTTCTATTCTCAACACCCATCTTTTGTACGTCACAGTCTATCTGCAAAGAATTAAACAATGAAATGGATAATTCACAAATTTTTCCTATTCAATATATCAATTAAAAAACCCTTAATATGAACATAAATATTTTTTTCGCACTTCGTAAGGAAACAAATGACAAGTAAAATTATGCCTATTAAAAGGCTATTATAAAGAAAAGCATACACGCTGGCGAAAATCTCTGAGAAATTGAGCAGAACGATCCGGTGGATTCCATTCAGGATTGATAACCGCGAAATTCAATAGTGATAACTCGGTTTTACCATTATTTGCGATGGTCTTAAGACGTGTATCTAAGCAATTGTCTTTATCTATAAAATAAATTATAAAAAGACTACATAGCAATATAACTGCTGATCATGAGATCCAAGAAAAAACTGTTGCGAAAAACTTGGGCTTCGAAATCCATAAAAAAATTCTATAAAAGTATTGGGCATCATCAATAAAGAAGGCGAGAAATTTACAATATTCCAATGTGAACAGACAAGAATATTACAAGAAGTAACAACAACCTTCATTTGCGGCAGGTCGAATACTACTGTTCCAACGAGGATCACCATGACGATTAAGATCCATTTGCGCAAAAGTGCAAACATCACCTAATCCATCTATGGTGATAGTATAAGAATGGAAGAAGTGCACAATTTCTTTAGCCTTTGGACGAATACTGAAAATAACTATCAAAATTGTAAATGAATAAATATTTAATAAAATTTCTATTAGAAATTCTATTAGAAATATAATCTAAAAAGGGGCTAAATTTTGCATAACAATAATGTAATTTGTCTTATCCTATCTTTACAGCAATATCTACAAGAAAATAATATCTAGAAGCAGAAAAACTTAACAAATTGTGCACACAGCGAATACTCACTAAAATGAAAGAGAAAACAATGAGTAAGCAAAGCACCAATTATATTTAGAGATGATCCATTTGTTTTGTAAAGTGGAATGATATTTCAATGAAAATTAAGGTTTATAAAGCCATAGCAAAAAGAGAAATATCTTACAAACAATAAAGAATAACTGGCGTTAAAAGCGGACTCAATAGTTCCTCGACTATAAATTGCGCTTTTAATTGAAAAAGAATGCCGAATTCCTTTCTAACTATGTCTATAAATTCATTTTTAAATTGATAAGAATGAATATAAATGAATTAAAACTATGAAATATCACAATATTTTAATTACAATATCCATCCAGCTAAAACCAATGTTATGACAACAAATAAATTTATTATGATAATACGAAGTAATTTATGATTCAGTAAGGTATCAAAAACCTTTATGAGCTTGTCCTTTCCAGTGGCTGGGAGCGTAATGAATTTGAGAAACAATCAAGTTCATTAATGATTCTGGCCACCAAACCATATTTTCATCAGCGATGAATGAACGACAAATAAGAATCGTTACACCACATATTGTCATCAGAGTTAATACATGTTCCACCTGTAATAAAATAACCAATATTTAAAAAAAACATGTGAAGGAAATTGGAAAAAAAATCTACACTCAAATCCTGCAGCAATTCATTTCACCATTGCAGCGGTGGGTATGACTGGGATGATTTGTGACTATGTTGCACTTTCGTGAAAAATCGAACCCTCCGACATTGATCAAATTATCTTAGACTATAGATCATATCATACAACTGCTCAGCAGGCAATCATAAGAGATCCACTTGAATTCTTTTTATGAACATACACGACAAAAGATGCAACACAAACATACCGTCAGTACATCTTCATCATAAGCAGATAAAATAAAAAGTATGCCGAAAATTGCACCAGCAACATATGCAATATTTTTAGCAATAACTGCAGCGAAAGGCGAATCAAACTGGTCCATGTATTGCACTGCTGGACGATAGCTACGCGATAAACGAGAATGAAGTTCGTGATCCAGTTCATTAAAATGACGCAATTTGGCCCCAAAATATTCATATTTAATACATGATAAATAAAAATGAAGAGAAACATGAAAAAGTTTAAAAAAAACAAACTTTGCATAATTTGAATAACGACGAGTCCCAAGAGCCCCTGGCTCTCGTTTAATCAGCCCGGCATAGGTGAAAAAACTGTATAAAATTTGGTATAGGAGAATGAAAGGAGAAAGAAGTAGATTAACCAAAGCAGTATATGAGACAGTCGACTCTAATTCCGAGGCTAAAATCATCCATCTCATGTAAAATAACAACAAAAATATACTCCTTTAAAATAAATAGAATATTCGAAAAAAACGCATGCATTATAAATATTCTTAAAAGTAGATTATTTTGTATTATTTTCATAGCGAATAGTTTATAGCTGGTAAAAAAAGGAATTCTACAAATGAAAAAAAGTAACCTAACCTAACTTAGCAAGATTCTGTGGATCTTTAAAGTCATCTTTGAGACCATAACTTCCATTCCATGGTGACCAATATCCCCAAAACAATAGCCATTCCAGATTTCTTTTCAGACCAGTAGATAAATAAGGTATTTCACCAATAAATGGGACATTAACAAAAGGAGGTAATATTTCTTGGTTAACCAGAGCAACATAGTAGTTCTAGAAAACCAATAATATTATAAAAAAAGGAAATGATAAAAAAGGAAATTTCGCAGCATCCAAATATAATAGTGACATATAATGGAAAATTTTCAAAATCATTTTAGACAAACCAAAAATAAAAATGAAATTCCGTCTTTTTTAAAGAAATGATTTATATAAATTTGTTTATTATCAGTGCAATCAGGAATAGCGCGAAAATCAGTACATTTAACACAAAAAATAAGTATTTCTAATGTGATCGGACCTTGTGCCTAAGAATACGCTGATATACATCTAAAGCTGTTATATGATCCTTATTGATTATAAGATGCAGCTTTGGCTGAAGTGCGCACAGTTTTTTTACAATATCTTGCCACTTGAAATTTCTTAACTCGTTATCCTTGATACCTACAAAAAAAAAACTTCTTTATACTTCTTTATGGAACATTAGAGCAAAAATTAAAGTAATTTAATTACACAACGGAGTCAATTATAGGATTTCAGTCATATAAAAAAGCTTTACAATGCCGCATTGCCTAGGGCTAAAAGCATCTTGAAAAATCGCATTTCGTCAAAAAGCATTTGCTAGATAAAGTTATCTGGTAAGTAAAAAGGCCTTATGGCACTCAAAAACTTACCAAGAACGCTTTTATAAAACTGAGAAGTTTCGTAAAACTGCACCAATTGGAATACTGCACGAATACTGCTTAACAGTGCAAATATAATTGCAAGAAAATCACAAAGAATCACAAGCGGATGAAGGTCACTTAAGCAATCGCTTATAATCACATCCTTGAACGATATAAAATTAAGTATTTGAATAATTTAAATAAATTCCTACTTCCAATAAGTCCTATTACCCTTCTTATTACACTATAACTAAAACCTTAATGAACGAAGAAGAACATACTGAAATGATTCGCTTCCCAGTATTGCGAATTGTAACATTTTTGTTGTTGAATAATATCCCGTAATCGACACACTGAGTCATAAAGGTCGCAAATGTCATTGAGAACAAATATCGAAAAACGAAGAAAAGGAACTCAGCACATATACATGCATACCCGTTTTGTTGATGATATTCATAGATTCGAGTAAAAAACTAAAAAATATTTGAAAGCAATCAGAGTAAGCGTAGTATTTTTTCATTTCCCATATTTTCTTTCAGATTAATAACAATAACAGTGATAAATAATTATATACCTATTTATAACAAACCAAGCTGATTTAGTATTAATCTTTATTATGCTTTCATTTTTTAAGCTGAAAATGAACAAATTCAATATTATATTAACAAATTACTAGAAAAAAGCCACTGATATGCATAAATTTTTCAAATATATAATCCTCACCTCACCTCTTGTGGGTAGTATGGGTTACTCTCAACCTCGGGTCCTCTACCAAAGATATGGGAGATTTTAGGAAAAGCAGATAAGTTTACAGAAGATCTCGCCCGAGGATCCTCACTGGAAAGGATTGGAGTGCCTGTCTTGATTATACGTACTAACGCGCTATTATATTATAACCACATTCCTAAAAACATTTCGAATTTCAAGTTTTAGTTCAGCCGTGTATTCGTGTGATCAGTGAATTACAGAATAAATCTACCTGATCGAGATTTTCAATATGATCCCAGCGATTACTTCCATTACTGGCTCTCTCAGAAACTCGTATAACTAATGAATTGGCAAATGCTTCATGGTTGAGTGGTGGAAATGTACTAGATACGTTTTCATCATGCCTTAAAAAACATTGTTAAACTCCACTTCACTGCAAAAGCCAATTCAGTGACAAAGAGCAATTAGCAGTTTCTATGAAGATTCCTGATAATATGAATGTGAACATACCTCGATGTTTCATTATCAAGCTCTTCAAATTCTAAACGACTTGAGGATGATGGTACCTCCTCATTGTTTAAAGCAATATATCCACTTCTTTTATCAGCTTTAAACATTGATAATCTAAAATAAATGAAATTTAAAAATAAAATGCGGAAAACCTTTGAGCAGTACAGAATGACGAGTGGGATATATAATTTACAATTTTTTATAATTCCCTGTGTCACTACATATATATATATATATATATATGTGTAGGCCAATCTGTAGGTGCAAAGAGAGCTTCAACTAAAAAGCACCACAGCTTCAGCTCCTTACCACGATCAGAACAAATCACTAAAAATGAAATGCGGATCCTGCTGAGAATCCCTCACCAGTTCATAGTATCAACTGAGCCACTGAAACGGCGTACGTTATTAGAAGAAATAAAAGTTAGATTGAGAGTAAAGCCTATTTATTTCATCATTATTCGTATAATGCTAATCCGTTTTTTTTTTTTTTTTTTTTTTTTTTAAGAGCCTTCACCTTCACAGTTACTAATTAAATTCGCTCCACTGGCTTGTCGCACTGGACACTGGACAAATATGACAGCGAGTCACTTGGCGATAGAAGTACAGACGAGTCGCCATTATCACCCGGGTTTTTGGACAGATCTGCTCCTGCGGAAAGCAGAACCTCACCATCGGCGTTTCGAATTGAGCTCAATAAGCCATTCTATCCCAAACTGCGTACAATTTGAAAAAAAAAAAAACTAAACTAATGAAGAAGATATAAATCACGCAGTGACATGGCGCTAAAAGACGATATCATTAGTCGGAGAATAAGCCATAATTAACTGAACATTCGTAAGGGAAGATTTATGGACTATAAAACGAAAAAGGAAATATAATCTTAAAATTTCCTTCTCAAAACCATCAAACATTTCGCGGTATATTATTGTTATTTAAGTGCAATCCATATAATCCAAACTGATAATTGCAAGAAATACTGATAATTTCGAGAATTAAATACTAAATGACTCGTGTTTCATTTGATAAAGAATTTTTCATTTTTTTTCTTTAATATATTTTCAAATTAATTTTAAAATGCAGTTTAAAATTTAACAGTTTAAAATATTACTATTTTCATTAAAAATTATCAAAGTTTAAAGAACAGTTTAAAGAATAAAATAAAGAACAGTTTAAAGAATAAAATATTACTATTTTCATTAAAAATTATCAAAAAATGTTAATAATTACAATCATTTTTAAACAATAATCACAAATTCAACAGAAAAAAACACGATTATTCTACCATTTCACCTATAAAAAATCTTTTTGGACCCAGCAATCGCTCCTCTTCCAGTCCATCCTCCTTGTCTCACCACCACCTCCTCCACCATTCACCATCCACAAAATTGTCTCACTCTTTCTATACAAGAGTAATCAGCCATTAAAAAGTCATTAGGGAAGATACCGGAAGAAAACAATCGCTTCAAGAACCAACGCGATTTTCATATTCAAAACAAAACATTTTTTTGGACGCTTTCTAAGGTTAGTGACGGAACTCACACTGTTAGCTGATTGGTGTCATTTTTCGACATGGCTATCTGTATTGAAATAAAGGTCGGAAGTTTCATTGCAGAAGCTTATTTGCGGTAATTTATTTGAAAACAACCAAGCAGGACGACAAGCACCATATGCTTGCATTAATAACAACAAATGAGGTGCCAAATGAAAAGGCGGCATTCGTGACAAATACAAAATACAGGAAATAGTAAAGAAATGTGACAACTGTGAAGTGTGGAAACTAAGAATGTAAAGAGAATTAACACAAATAAAGGGAAACAATGGCACAAAACGAAATGTATTACTGAGACATAATCGCATGCCGGAAGACGACGAATTCAGTCTCCCTGCATGACTGAGTGATCTAATCCTTTTCCTTTCTAAAAATGGCCAAGGATGATGCATGAAGCACGTCGCTCGGCAACTTATTCCATTAATTAACGGTGCGAGGAGTGACGAGTTTTTACCATAGTTCGTTTGGGGATGAGATGGCTCAGTGGGTTGTTGCTCAATTGAGAGCGCCGATGCTGAGGTTCGTTCCCCGCAGAGGTAAACCTGTACAAAATTCCAGGTGATGTTGGCGACTCACCTGTATTCCTGTCCCCAAGGGACTCCCTGACATATTGTCCAATGCCACAAGCCAGTGGAACGAGCTTAACCAGTAATGGTGAGGACTCTTAAAAAAAGGTTTAGTTAGTTTCGTTTTGCATATAGGTTTTAATAGTTTTATTTGAAATAATTTCATTAAAACTATCATGCTGCTTCATGAAAACCTCAAATATCGGCTAATATCTTCTCGACGTCCCCGGATTCCCATTAGATTTTCTCGTACCACAATTTACCAATGGCCCCATTTTTAAACCCCTTTTCACCATTATCGGGCGCAATTGTACACTTTTAACAATCGTCATTTAGCTCCATTAACATCCAATTGAAGCCAACTTTGCGTTTTTTTCGCGACAATAGCGATGAATGAGTTATCCGACGGGAATTCGAAGTTGGTGGAGAATTGCAGCGACTGCGAAGACGTTGAAGGATTATTTAGAGAATATAAAGGGGAATATACGAGGGAAATTCATTCGTAAAACAAATCTTTTCCATAAAAAATCCAAAAAATGCTTAAATTAACGATGGAAACAGTGAAATCGAAGCGAAGAAAGTTCGTTCAATTGGGCGTCGATGAATGAAAAATAAAAAAGAATAAATTTCACACGAATGGAAAGAAAAATTTTTGGATCAACGATAATAATTTCAAAAAATAAGTTTAATTGTAAAATTGAAGAGATTTGAAGAAAATTTCGCTTTTGTTGAGATTTGGGGTTTTCAAAGTTCCTTTTCTTACGCTTTCATAATTTCAGGTGGAGATTCGCTGACGAAACGAATTCCCCTCCCCCGTAGAATAGTTCCACTCGCATAGAACAATAGTTCCCCCTCAGGGAACAATTTCCTACGTATATTGTCTTCGGTCGAATTTCGCTTATAGCATTTCTTCGGGCTCCATAAACTGAATTTAAATTCTTTTAGGGTCATGAAAAAATTTAATTCTTTTTATTTGATATCTATTAAGTTTTTTTAAATTTTTTAAAAATCAAGCGATTTTTCATTTAGTCAAATTATCAACGAAATACCTAAGTAAGCGAATAGGAAATGCCGCGTCCAAAGCGTTAACGAATTGGCCAAATTCGCATTGAAGATTAGTAGAAATATTGCAATGAAATAGGAAAATTCAGGCATTCCCGCGACAAATTTTAATGCACTCGACTGCTACTGAAATATTTATAAGGCGAGTACCACCGCAACATTGATATAAATCTAAATAGGCAATAATAATAATGAGAAAATGCTGCGGTGAGGCGAAACTGTCCTTAAATTATCCCTTACAACTCGTTATGCCGTCTACCACACGGTTTCTCAATCTTTTTCCAGTATGGACCCTCACGAAAGAAACAATTTTTCCCCACCGACAACCTAAAATTGAAATACAATGAAAATTTAAAAAATGGATTTCTGTTAGTCCGAAAGCTTTTTATTCTTATATTGTGCGAATTAAACAGTTTTCGAAAAACCGATTTGCTCATTTGAAATTTTTTTCCGCAATTATCGCAAAATTTTTACTTTTTCATTTCTTTTTTTTCCACTTTCATAAATTCCATTTTTCCAATTTTTCAAAATTTCCATTTTTGCAAATTCACTTGGCTTTACATGGGGAAATTCGCGAAATTTCCTCAGTATCAACGAATATTTTCATAATATTTGACCGAAATTTTTGTTTGTTTTCTTATTTTATATTGAATTCCATTTCTTAAACCATAAAAAGTGCCAAATCCGACCAAATAGATTTTTAAGAATTTCATTGTTTTTCTTCGATTCGGCTTTTTCCTTATTTATTCAAAGAGTTTATTATAAAATAAAATAAAAAATGTTTCGAATGTTCAGAATTGAGTTTTCTCCATGCAAATTCAAATGCAAATGAAGGAAATATATTTGAAAAATGTGTTAAATAATAAAATGCGAACAATGTTGAAACAATGCAATTCGTTTCATGAATTATGGAAAACGAAGTACCACGGAACATTGAAAAACGGTTTGAGGTGCCGCGCATTCACCGTGGTTATCGTTCTTTCGTATATCAAAATTAATCAATTATTTCGAAAATTCGGATTCTTTTGGACTAAAACAAAGAGAAAAGGAAAAAAGAGAAATTAGCGCTCACAGTTTCGAATTATGTTGGCCCCACTATTTGGAGTTATTGCCAGATGGGAATGGGAGCTGTTGCAGCTGGTGGTCCTTGGCTCGGTTTTTCAAAAATGGTTTTACTCTCGTCTGAGGCAGCATTCGAACCTTGACATCAATAAATTGACTAGCGACCACTCGTTTATCCTATCTCCACAAAAGTTTCAGTTGAATGAGCCGACGAAAATGGCCATTGATGGATTTTGCCTTCCAGCTAAAAATCTCTGTTGCTAGTGAATTAATTAAGACAATCGCGCAAATATTATTCATAGGCCACAGATTAGCAAAAAATAAGGTCCAAAAAGGTTTTTACCTCAGTTTCGCATATAATTGCAAGTTTGCCATCGGCCAACAACTTAGAATCGCTGATCATCTTTCGCGGTCGTAAACCAGTTTTATACCATCACAAACTATGGTATATAGCCTGGATCCAAGGGCCACACGGCCACCATAAAGTATTTTCCTGTGCTATAAGCATTCCAACATTTTACCGAAGTAATTTCCAGGAAGGCAAGCAAAAGTGCTCCAAATGTGAGAAATATTTAATATTTTAATTTTTCTATTTTAATTTAATATAGAATATGTAATGAAATCGAAAAATTTTTCTTTATCATCGATCCACCTTAAATTAAATTTTTTACGTCTTTAAAAACTCTCTTAAGGTAAAATTCATCTAATCAGCAATAATAATATTTGAAAATTATTTAATTTCATTTATCTCCACCATCTCGTTTTTACGTGAAAAATTTTACTAACTTCGTGCGCGAAAAAGACGTCAATTGCTTGGCTTAATTTGTTGCACAAATTGCGAAAATTCGCAATTCGCTTCTTTTTAACGGAGCCATCGTCGCGTTCCTCCAACTTTCCCAACGCGTTTTCCAACGTCGTAAAATATCCTAATTTTTATAAAACATTTAAACAGAGGGATTCATCCACTTGCAGCAAATTTCCAACTAAACTTGTCATTAAAAGTCTCATTTTTATTTCTAAGCGGCGGACTTCCTCGCGAAAATCTCTTCCAGAATTCCAACAGCAATGGAGCATACTCAACCAGAAACTGGGAACTCTCGAAAAAACGAGGATGTGCAGTGAAAGAGACAAAAATGGAGTTCCAGTTTACACGTGGTTTTTGAGAAATTTCCCGCATGTTCCGAAAATTAATTTGCGGATACTTGCCAATGAGTTTGAGTTTACATCGCCTGATAATAAATCATTGCAACGCCTTCAGGCTTCAGAATCTTTTGCACTTAAAAATGATTGTTGTTCCGCCAACTTCTGCCGGAATCTCTCAGTGCCCGTTTTCAAAGCGCATTCCTCATTTATCTCTATAAGTGGGTAATTAACCACTTAATTAATTAGATTAGAAGTGAACACTTGTCATATAACCAAGCGATGAGGATGAGTGATCAAGTCATGTCGAAAATTTAGCAAAAGATTTCCTTCTTTGAAAAATGTTAGTCACTTCCCGTAGGGTCGTACGTCCCGTCGCACAAGTCTGAGCACCGTCGGTCCAATTCCCCTTCTCTTATGGAAAACTAAATCTCCCCATCAAAACTGAAATGCGACAGTCTCTGTTTCATATAAGCGAGGATTTTCGTTTGTTATAGAGTCGATTTACGAGCGCTCTTTTAACGAAGAGAAGAAACTTTTGAAAATGGCGTCGAATCTCGAATTTCAAAACGATCGTTTGTTTCGCACGCTAAGCGAGAACTGAGCTGAACCCAACGGATGGTTTTCATCGTTCACCGCAGGTGATTCATATTGAATATTGCCGATTTCAGGTTTCACTGTTTGTTCAGAAGCTGCATAATTTCTTTCGATGAAATCTTTTTCGGCCATTATTTGACTATTTCGGCATAAAATAATCCCAATTACCCATAATGGAGAAGAGCAAATGAAAGCGTTGAAATTTTCTATGAAATGATAAAATCAGAATTAGTGGTAGATGTGAGTCGTCAGCATCACTCGAATTTCTCCGACAAGTTTATCCCAACGGCGAATAGAAGAACCTCAGCGAATGTGTATTATTCAGTAAAAATGTGCTTTCTATGGGTTTTTCATGGAACTTTCTCCTAGGTTGAATGAAATAATTATTCAGTGAAAATTTGCGTTTTTCGTGGAACTTTCTCCTAGGTTGAATAGAAAGAAACGCGCCTCGGAATTTCGACATAAACGCAAAACAAGCGCTTTCAGTGGATAACTTCACAATTTCTGCATAAATAAATAATAAAAATTTTGACAAATCATGAAAATTTTTTAATTTATGCAAATTGTAATAACAAATCAGAAATTATCAAATATTTTATTAAAGAATTTACTTTTTTATATTTTTTGCAAATTTCTTTACAAATTTTTGAAAAATACGAATTTAAATTTTTATAATTATTGATTTTGCATGAAAATGTTTTAATTTTAAAAATAAAATACTACTGGAAACATTTTTTTATAAGGAAATTATTAAAAATTTTATTAAATTAATAAATTAACAATTTTTAAAACTTTGAAATTTTCTTTATTTAATAAGATTTTAATGGGTTTTAATGGGTTAATTTAGCGAACGAAATGGGTTGAATATTTGGTGTTTCAAATTTGTATCCATTAAAATAAGTAAAAAGTAAGTAACAAACAGAACGTTGCCAATGTTCTGTTTGTCAATGTTCGAACTGATAAAAATGATAATGAGGAAGAAGGCGACGTCGCTGATTTCCAGAAGCAGTGTACTAATAAAGATGGTAAAATGGAAAGAAGAGGAAAGAGAACTTTGGAGTGCAAGTAACCGATTCTCGATAGCAGTGAATTCGGACGCCTATCGACACGGCATGCAATCAGATTTTGGAGAGCAGTATTTAAGCTTATAGAAGGGCGAAGGCGCCGCTAAAGTGAGAGAGTTGAGGAAGTACCACTCCACTTTCATGTAAATTTGGATCTGACTGGGTTTATTGTTTTGTCGCACGACTGCGAATTATCGCGCAGTTTTTCTTGCACATTCATCGCAATAAAATGCTGCTTGCGTAAGATGCAATGCGCTGTGCTGGGGAACTTTCTTCCACTCTTAAGGTACTTTAGAAAACTGCGATATTTCCTAAATATTGCAGATGCATCGAGGCCATAGTTATAATGGAATTAGGAATTTCATACTGTTGAACGGTTTTTCGAGAGAGTTAAACCTGTAACCTCGCCTGCGCCATTCTATGCAAGGAAATGATGATAGTTCCGGACGATTTTTCAAAAAATGTTGCAATTATGTTGCAATTTAACTTGTCCATCGATCTCCAGGTTTCTCACCAATAACCAATCAGACCTTCATAGTTCGTCAATTTTTTTCATCGACATATTTCCAACGACCCTCGAAAGACTGAACTGACCACAACTGAGAAGTCCTGAATTATCTAATTAGCAAAGGCTACAAAATATCATTTATGAGCGGCCGTGACCGTAATTTTGCGCAAGCTTGGGGTCATGTTCCTCGTTGTTTTTGAGAGTTGTGGGTTATCATCTCTGGTAATTTGTGGGTTGTATGATAAGATTTGTAATAAGAATCCCAGGAGTCCTATGGTTAGAATCGCTTTCCAAACGTTGATAATGTGCTTTCTGATATTTCCTCATAACTGGTAATATTCCTGTCGTGAACTCGCCAGATCGCTTCAATTCTCCATAATTCTTATCATCTAATTCCCGCCGTACTTCCACAATGCTCAATTCATCATGTCAATACCTTTAAGTTTAAAGATAACACTGCGAGGATTTGACAGAACGTTAAGGGAGCGAAATAGAAAAAGGCCGGGAGGGGGGCGAGGAGAAGAGGGAAGGAGAAGGGGAAGGAAGAAAGGTATTGAGAGGCTGTAAACAGGTATAATGAAGTAAGAGATACAAAGGTAGAAATAAATTTGATATGATGCTATTAATAAACAAAGAAATGTTATAGAGTATGTTGAGTGGGTTATTGGGTGGGGTTTGGAGAAGTTTTTCACGAAGCATGACAGGATTTAAGGGATGTCAAGGATCCTCGACTTTGTTGGCCGAGATTTTCGAGATTAGGTAGATGTGGTAGGTTTTTGTGGGGCAGTGATAAAACTGGACATCGGTGCGACAGTTTGCTTGGTTATATGGTCATTGTGGTCAACATAATCGAAATTAAATTATCCTAGGAATGCTTCTGTCATGGAAATAAATTTTGTTATCGATATGAAACTCAGTAGAATTTTCTCCATAAGTAAGAAACACTGAGTATTTTTTTGAGCAATAATAACCATATTATTTAGTTCCATAACAAAATTATTCTTAGGATAAGTTGACTTCGAAAGAAATTTAACGACATCGGAAGTTTCTTTAAAGAGCACTCACCATTACTGGTTAGACTCGCTTCTCTGACCTGTCGCACTAGGCAAATAGGGAGTTCCTTAGCTATAAAAATACAGCTGAATCTTCATCGTCACCTAGATTTTTGGATAGATTTCCTTGCTGCAGTAGAGCCTCAACATCGACGCTTCGAATTGAGCAACGATCCACTAAACCATTCTATTCTCTTTCGTTTTTCTCCTTTAGGCGACACTGTCGCCCGACAAAGAGTTGTTATCGGCGGATTCGAACTCAAGCCTTGTTTCTCAGTGGCACTTACCTTACTAAAAAATTTTGTCCATAGCAAGTATCGTTTATGCCTTAATTTTGAAGAAAATTGAAATTTTTCATTCAAGAATTGCATAGATTTTTTTTTTTTAATATTTAGCTTATTTATGACGATTTTCTATTGTGTTTCTGTCAAAAGTTTTATTTTTCAGATTCAGATTTGAATTTTCGAAAATTTTTGCTGAAGAAAATGGCACATACAATACTTTTAATTCAGTCAGTTGCAAAACATGATTCGCGATCATGGTGTGATTTTGAAACTACTCGAGAATGTATGGAAGGTTTGTTTTTTATTAGTAAAAAAGTAAAAAATATGAAAATAAAATAAGCAATAATGGCACAATGAATTTTTATCATAAGTTGTTGTTCCATTCCAGTTGTAATTTCCTCATAAAAAATTGTTTGGAAACTTGATTTATAAAATGAATTCTTATTCACATAATATCAAAGACAAAATAGATGTTAACAAGCCGCACAAATTTTTTACTAAAAATCAAGTAAATTTAATTTAATAATAAAATTGTTTTGATATTCTCTCATATATTTCATGGGCTATAAAGATTTAGATCAGTAAGTTGCGTGGTGAGGAAGGGCAAAAGAAACAATGAGGTCTAATTAAGATATGGATTAATATGGTCGACGTTATATGAGACCGGTCAGTGGAAAGAAGGCTTCCAACAGAGGCTAGAAATCCCTTACTTTTGCTTACTTAGTAAAGCTAGCCTTGTAGAGATGAACGCCACTGGAAGAGGAAGAATGTGGATTATTTTTTCGGGTCATTCGAATTTCAGATATTTTTAGATTTTGCTTACCTGTTTTTTTCATAATGAAATTTTCAGCGGTATGTAAGATTTATGAAGGACATTTAAAAAAAGTGAATCCAGATTCAACATCAATCACTTATGATATACAAAATTTGTTTGATTTTATCGATCGTTTGACAGATTTATCATGTTTGGTATGGGAAGAATCATTGAAAGCTTATGCTCCTCATAGCAAAGATTGGATTAAACAACAAATTTATCTGTTATTAAGAGAAATCGCTAAAAGCGCATAAATCTGTTTTTTGCTCACTGTTCCATTTTACTTAATATTTTGATGTTTAAAAATAGTAAAATAATATTCTAACGCGATCTTCAAAATTTTTGGCTTTTTTGATGGGCGAGCCTAAAATTCGCTAACCTGAAATATTTTCACGAACAAATGTTGTATACTTTCATTAAATCTTTCATTAAAAAATCCGGGTGTTGCTGGCGATCACTCTTTTTTTCATGGTGTTCGAAATGCAATAAATTAAACTTATTTTCTCATTTCAATATTTCCATTTTATTTCAATAATGTTTTGAGCATTGTTTTGTTTGCACTGTTAATGAACTGGGATAAAAGTCGATTTTTAAGTTATCACCTCTGATATTTACTTCGAAAAACTTAAGGATGAGTTGTGTGCATATGTTCTGGAAATCTGCCAAGCTCTGAACTAATATTTTAAATTTTTTTGGGGAATTACAGCAAACTATTTCTACAATTCCTCAGTTAATGAATACGACCACATTTCATATTCGAACGATCATATAAACCTCAATCTCTGTATATAAAAATTCCCCAGTTTGTCTGTAGCAGTTTCATACTTCAATCTGTTTTAAAAATTAAGAAAACTACAAAAAATTAAATCTTTCATTACTTAAAAAAGATTAAACAGTTAATTCCAACTGGCTAAAATCGTAAGATGTAAAATCAACTTGTTGAAAATGTTACAATCAAAACAAAAATAAAAAAGCAAAAGGAAAAAATATAGAAAGTTGTTAATGCATCGCTACAACTGAAATAAAAAAAAAATAAATAAATTGGAAAACAACGTTTCACACAAAAAAAATGAACATGAAAATAATGTTAATAATAAATTTCTGATGGTCTTTACCCATTTATATAAATCTTAAATTTGTGTTTAAATAAATTGGAGCAATTAGTAAATGAAAGCTATTTTTCCTAAAAAAGAAAATAAGGACAAAATTACATCAGAGTAGTGAAAATTCATTTCTTTATCCAAAAGTGTGCATCTATACAGTTAAGTGGGTCTGCCGGATTAAGAGGGGGCAAATTCGCTCCTACACCTTCGGATTTAAAACATGACCGCAAATGACGTTTCTCTAATCGCACAGGATCACCTTCGCCTAAAAATGGTGTACAAAATGGTGGGAAATTAGAAAATATAGCAAAAGAAGAGAATCTGAAATCGCATGCATTAAAAAATGTCTTTATACAAACCGATCGAAAAAGCAGCAGGATCCATGATATTGCTTAACGAATTTTGTTGCTCCTGAGAAGATGGAAGAGCGTCAGCAACATTTTCAACTTGGCTATCCCTTAGTTCGCTTGCTTCATTTGATAACTAAAATTTATCAAACATAATCAAAAAATTTCAATGAATGTGATTCAATTAGGCTAATCCATCAGCCAATCAGCTTCACTAAGAAACAATAAGATGCATATAATACAAACCAAATGTAATGCAAACGTTATTTCAATTCCTCCATCCATAAATATCAATTTGATATTCAATTCCGGGATTTTTTAAACAAGAAATCAATTGCTTAAAAAATAAACATAACTTCTGAGTCGAGAAATTTGAACCAGTATAACTGAGCGAAGTCACAGTCGTCATCCCAAGAACCACATCACTCACAACAGAAAGTGTATTATTCGTTTGCACCATAGGTGCAACTGCAGCAGCAGGACGGGGAGGTGTGGATGTTAATGCCATCGACGTAGGATTCTGAGTGATTAGATTATCACAAGTTGAAATCGTAAATGATGAGCTATTTTCCATTTCTAGAAATTACAAATATACAACGGATTCTTAAAATTACAAAATAAACAAAAAGAAAACGAACGGGCACAATACCTTCATTAGATGGAACCTGATTATCGGTTGCACGATCAACAACTGGAGACGCTTTACCGGTTTCTCTTATCGTCGGCACCAAAGGACTTGGAAGATTTTCGTCAATAAAAGAGCTCATCAAGTCCTAAAATTCAAAGAACAAAATTGGCATTTACAAGAAATTAATTATTAGCAAAGAAATAATCCATAATTAAGGATAAATATTAAAGAACACTAACGATATTCTCCTCTCTTTTTGGATCAGTAAATTTAAGTGGTGCAGATATAGCATAACCACCATGTACATTTGACTGGGTGTGACTAGGGAAAGAAACACTAGGAACTTGAGAGAATGGTCGCACCTGAAGAAATGCAAGGCTATAGAAATCTAAAACAAAATAGACAAAACAAAATGTGATAATAATGATAATACAAGCAAGATAAAAAATTGAGTCAAAGCCTAGTAGCCATACCTAGTAAGAACACAAAAGGTTAATTATTTAAAGAAATCTAAACACCTGTTCTGCAGCTTGAACTATTGTAGAAGGTAGACCAGTAGAACTGTATAAACTACTGTGCCAGGGCGATATCGTCGGAATAGCGGAACTTTGTACCTGATGAATATCCATCATCATCAATAATTTTTAAAACTCGACATCATTCATAATTCTTTGTTTGTTAAAGTTATAAATGCGAAACAATGATAAGCCAGTTTTTTTCTGTGGTACACATCATCTCTAGCTATTAGAATGAGAAAATTATAAATTGATTAGGATGAAAAAGGATGCTACTTGTGAACACAAGTACAAATGGACCTCTAGTAACCCTCGGATTTTTCAATAATACTCCTGCCAAATCAAACTATATCTGAATTGATATCCTAACACATTCGGCTATTTTCTATAATTTAGGCAAATTTTTTATTGAATATTTAGCTCGTCATTAATGCTGATTGGATTCGGTTCATGCTCTTCAGACCAGGCAAATCTTGCAAGGAAATCAGCATCGAGACCCCGGGAGGATAACAACAACTCTTCAGCAGAAAATCCTTTGATGCTCTTTGGTGACATTACCGAACAAAGCATGCAGCTTTAATGGAAATCGAATGGCAGCAATTTTCGATACAAGATTGGCAACTATCTTACCATTAAGCTAAGTATATTTATTATGCTGACTTAAGAAGAGAAAAAATTAATTTTAAAAGCAAACCGTAGGAGTGAAATTTCCACGACTTGAATTAACATCGAAAAATTGTTGCGAAGGTTGGTTAATGGGAACTGAATGAAAAACATTTCCATTTTGCTTTATGGGCATAACACAAGGCTGATTTAAAGATATTTTCGAAACTGCTTGTTGAGGAGGTTGAAATGATTGGTTAGGCGGTACTGTTGGCCTCTGTACAAAAAAATGACTATGTTTTGTTTGAAATCCAATGTTATGGGTATTTTGCGGTCCTGATATTTGAAAATTTTGCGACTGAGGGGCTTGCATTAAAGATACTGGGGATATATTGGAGCATTCCATGGTTATATTCTGTGAATAAGAGTCCTTATTCATTCTTGTCGAATTTCGAAGATAATTTAGTTCAGAATCTGGTATAGATTTAATATGTTCCATTGGCAATGGATTCTGTTTTGTAACATGTGGTGTGTTACAGCTTATTGCCGATGGGCAGTAGTTTACTTTAGCATTTGACTCGCGGACAACACGATTCTGAGGAAAAGACTGTGGTTGAAATGAGGCAATAAATTGCTGTTGGCTACTAGATGTTTGGCCAAGTGGTACGGCTTGAGCAAAATTATTATTAAGCTGAACAGGTTTGAAACCACATGGCACGGGAAGAGCAAAGTTTGATAGTTCAGCAGCTGATTGAGAAGAAAGAGGATAGGTTAATGTCGCTGCAAAATGTTGGAGAGAAGCGGAATTTTGAGGCTGGGAAGGAGATGCAGAATTGATGATATTTTGGCCAGTACCTATAACTATGCAAATAATGAGATATGTTTCAAAAATCTCTGAATAAGAATTTAGAGATAACTGATAAACAAACTTCTTGGCAAAGAAAGAGTAGTATCACCCATTTTCTCACGGTAATGACTGAGATAATCCTTCAATTTCGGTCTCTCACCTCCTTAAAACAATGCAAATTGCGATGGTCGGTTCAAAATTCTGGGATGCTATTATATTTTCAACTGTTTTGTCAAAATATAAAGAATAAAAATAAATGATAAATGAAATAATATTCAGCTTTAAAAAAAATACCAGAATTGTTAACAAGTGGAGACATTCTTGTTGGGAAGTCATCTAAATTATCCTTTGGAAATTGGTGCGGACTGCAAGAGTCTTGCACTTCGCTTGACATACGCAACTCCCCTCGATTACGTCTCTCCGATGCCTCATGCAGTCGTGCCTTTTCCTCTTTTTCATCACTGTCTAAGATATCATAAACAAATATTTAGTAATTAAAAATTAAACCATAATTTTCATCAATTTTATGGATATGATAATGCATAACCTACAAGCACTTTCGATTCCTTCAATTGCTTCATCAAGATTACGCACAATAGCGAATAAAGTCGAATAAAATTTGATTCCTTCATCCGCTTTCACCAGTACATCAGCATATACATCGAAAGCTGCAGTAAGTGCAAGAATCTGTTCTGCACGGCTGAAAAATTTAGGAAAATTGTATATTCAATTCAAAACTTCAGCTCCACATCTCAAAAATCTTGCAAAAACCATATAAATAAAGATCCTCCAGGAATCATATAATTCTTTTCCATGAAAATTTCACACATTTTTTGAAATTTTACACGATTTTGAACTAAATTAATCGGGTAGTTTTTGTCTAATCAAATAGATAATTACGACCTGTTACGACCTGTTCAGCAACAAAAATTTATACCTCTTGTCCAATTTGATCAACTGTCGCCGGCAATCAGCGAAACTAGCATTTGCTTCCGTTAAAGCGTTCAAAATTTTTGCTTGAGCTGCAATATTCATATCAATCAACTTGACAATTTCCTCGTGCTTTTTTATTTCAGAATCGAAGAAATCCTGCAAATTGAAGAAAGAAGAATTTGTGCCAAGAAAATTAGCTTTAAATTATAAATTAAAATTAAATTATAAATAAAAATGAAAAATCTTCCTTTGGGAATGATGAGCTTAGATGCTCTTAAAAAGCTAAAACGACCATAACATTTGCAGATTTCAGTATGTTTTCACCATTAAATGAATAAAAATTTCCGATTTTCAGAATGCCGAATAGCTACAAGCTAAAATTTGAATGAAAGCATCTGAGAGAATAGGATAAAAATAGAAAACAAACAGCATTATCAAGATTTTTGTCGTATAAACATTTTCGCGTAATATCGTCATTTTCCAAATTAGCAATGAAATTTTCAATCAAGTTACATCTCTGATCTCTCATTTCTGTAACTTTATCGATAATCCTTTTAAGTTGAGCACCTTCTGCTGTTTCTGCTGCAAATTGCCTTTTATTTAAAAAAAATTATCTACTAACAGAAAAATTTTTTGAAATATTTTGAATGCTTCGGCATTAAGACTCAAGTTTTCAAAAAGTTTTAGAAAATAATGAACATGGCTTAATAATGGGCGCAGATATTCGACGGTTAAGTTCATTTAGTGGCATGGCAAGCAATTTCAAATTCTCAGAATGGGCAGCTATCGCTCTTTGAAGTTCGGTATTATTTGCTCTGAAAGATATGATTCAAAATTATCAAAAATTGGACATTAACATAAACATTCTTACTGCTCCAACTAAACATTCTAAAATTTGCACCAAAGAGCATAATAAAAACGGAAGAAATGAGAAGAAATCACGACAGTTAAGATGCTACGTTCAAGCAGAGCTGCTAAATAAATGGATAAAGCAACCAAACTATAAAGATCTGTTAGATTTAAAAAATACAAATTGCTTGCTACAAACTATAAAACTGCTCTAAAATTGAAGAAATTGAATTCGAAATCAACCTAGCTTTCATATGATGCTCATTAATTCTCGATAATTCTTTTTTGATCGCCAAAAAACCAACGTCTTTCACCTAAAACGAATGTAAACAAATGTGAACGAACTAGAAAGCGTAAATCTCCATCTTATCTATCAAAGAAAAAATGAAGTTTTGGCGATAGTTATCAAATTATGTACTTCTATGGGCCCATAAGGGTCTATGGACTTTCGTGAATCTGCGACAGCCATAATTATTACATATTCTTGTTTTATTTAAATGGCAAATTGTTTTAGTCATGTATAAATTCATATTTATTCAAAACTTTTAATTGGAAAAATTTAATAAATGTATTAAAATTTGAAATTTAGAAATTTAGAAAATAGAAATTAAAAAATTTAGTTGGAGATCTATAAATTTATACTTATCTAGATCCGACGAAAAAAAATTTTGAACTAAAGCGACATTTTTAGATCAAAATATAACATCACAAATCGAAAAAAGGCAATGCAAACGAACTAAATCAGGTGAATTAATGGATGTAAGTCGATTGCTTAAATCATCCAGCTTGTGATCAGCTTCAATCGCACAACTTCCAACTCCTTAAAAATGAGGTTTTTCAAAAAATTCATTTAAATTAGATCAAAAAATCCTTCAATATTCGATATCTTTCATAATCGAAAAATTTGCATATGCTATAAGATTTACCTTATAAATCTAACACAATGTAATACAAATAATAAATATAAAATGCTGAGTTAAAGTAATAATGAAAGAAAAATGATAACGAGCACACGTTGTAATTTATCCAGCAAATCAGGAAAAGAATCTGGATGGGAAGTGAATGCGGCACTCCTTTCTAAAAGCATATCAGGAAGTTTCATTTCGTCAACAGACTCATCGATATGAATTTCATCCAGTTGTAATGAAATTAAATATTCACTGAAAAACAACCAAATGCACATTTTCATTTGTGATCAATATTGTTTAATAAATATGCATATATTTCTCGAGTAAATTCTTCCTAAAAGCATGATTTTGAAAGATGTGGAATTAAAATATAATTATACTAAAAAATTTATAAAAATTGCTTCTTACTCAACGGTATTCTAAATAAATATCTGAATTTTGTGTCTGAAAAAATCTGATTAACAGTGATGAAGAATATGAGTCTTACTCTAGCTCTTTATTCTTTTTTTCCACCCTTTCTATTACCGATCGCTTAAGTTTCGCCTTTTCTTCACTATAAAAAGAAACTGATTTCAGAGCTTTCATTGGTATAAGTCCAGAGAAGAGATCATCACCAGCAATAGACGGATCAGTAGGATCCAGTTCAATTGCTTTTACCATGCAGACACCCTGAATAAATAAGATATGGACAAACAAAGTAATTTTAGATTCACAAGAAAATTTTCAGTTACTATCATTACCTCAACAATATCAAGTTCATCATGTCTGGGAATCTTTTCATGATATATGAAATCATTTTCCTTTTGTGCATTCGTTTCCCTAGAAAATGCGATAGGAAAAATGATAAATGAAAAGCTTTTTTTTATCAGCAATTCAATTACATGAACTACAATAACATGTTTTTAATGCACAAATTGTTCTTAAGATTTAACTCTAATGAACAATAAATGCCTATCAGAGATCAGAATTGAAGAAAAAAATCTCGACGAAAGGACGGTTTCCACCGAGAATAAATGAAACAATAAACCAAATTACGATGAAAAAATTAAAAAAACGCAAACTTCGCTGTCACGATATCATTGACAAAATTAACAGCTTGTTTCAGTGTCGTACGTTTATCTTTCTCGCAAAGTTTCAAAGCGCTTTTGACATGTTTGGCAGCAACTTGGTAATATGATAACCTAAAATTACGATTTAGTGATAGAATTCGATATTAATTTTATATTCGATTGTGGCTTTCTTAGAAAACGTTTATCGAAAATTACCGTAAACCCATTTTCTTATCTTGATCGGCCTTTTCACCAAGTTCAATCATAGCAATCGCACCATAAATATCCGATTTGATGTCACAAAGTCTTAGAAATTCCTTAAAATCGCTGATCACATTTTTCACATTTTTTTTCCAGAAATGCTAACTTTACGTAATTTTAAAACAAAAGTTCCACATTTCGTAATTCACTCACTGTGAAAACAGTTGACGAAAGTGAATCTGCCAAAGCTGAGGACTCAAGAATTTCGCGACACAGCTTATAAATATCCCGCAAGTATATGGCTATTTTAGCAATTACTAAGTTTTTACGATGGTCGACAAGGCTTTTTTCCAAAATACACTCTTGAGCTTGGGCCTGAAATTTTAAACAAAGATACTCCAAAATAATGAAAAGTGATATGATACAGTAACTTTTAAAACAAAAAATATATTAATGTAACTAACCAAGAATACATTAGTATAAAAAGTGAGTGAAGAAGAATCGAAATCAATTGCGGAATACTTTGAGGCATCCGTATTATTTCGAATATATTGGAATGGATATGCAGCCCATTGAAAGTGAGTAAAGGCAGATTTTATTGACTAAAATGCTTCTGAAGTTAAAAGACTCATTTAAATAAATTTTGAGAAAACGATAGAGCATAATGGAAAAATTTTGTTCAAATAATTTTTATGCAGACTTCGGCAGTAACTCTTTCTTCATTTGCAGCTAATATTGCATGAATAACGCCAATATTATATAACACGCAAGTAATTTCATAATTAATGTCGTTTAGCGATACTACATTTGGCACGTCATTCGTTTTATCATACCTATAAAGTAAGATTTATCAGTTGAAATAATGCTCGACAGCGACAGATCCACTTAAACACAAAATGCCAGTACAGCACAACAACCCACAATATGACAATGCTCATCGTTTACCTTAATGCAAATAAAATGGAATGGAATAAAATAAAAGAATAATAAAATAAGAAACAAAAACAAAACGAAATGAATAGAACAAACCATATGAAGGGAACCTGTAAGCTTCCACCTTCTTCCATTGGAAATCGACTTTTCATCAATAACAACTGCGCATAATAACGTTTGGCCAGATCCAATGTATTTGCTTCAGGTGTTAATTTCACAAGACGCTAAAATATAGATATGAATTATAAAAAAAAAATGAATGTCACAATTTTACAGGGCAATTCTATTAAAAAATCATTTAAAAATTATTCAATTTTTTTAGACTTTTAAGAAAAGATACTTCCTTTTATAATCGAAAAAATTTCATAAATAATACGGCAAACTGAAACTAATAGTTTCAAATTTAATCCAATAATTTTTTAAAGAATGTAACATTCTTACCGCACGTAAAGAAACAATTTCGCAAATGGCACTATGATATTTCATCGGATCGATTTGATAATTCACGAGAATATACTGAAAAATGAATATGAATATCTCTAAAAGATAAAATCATTTTCAGTTGTATTTTCGATCGAAAAATAACACTTCAAATGGAATATCGTTGAATAATGTAGAATAATAACAAAAACGATAATGAAATGAGCCAACCTTCCTCAACTTACTATATAACCAAATTATAACAAATAAACGCTAAAATTGAATGCAAAAATGAAAAAATCAAAAAAATCACTTCTTTTAACAATTGTTCGAATTCAGGTGGCAAACCAGCAACTGCGTATTTAATTTCGGGAGAAATCATTGGCATTCGCGGTATTCCTTCCATTCTGTCGCTATTTCGGAGAAGAAATACTAAAACATAAAATATTCTGAATGAACGACGAGGAATAAAATTCGGAAAAATCTAATAAGATAATCAAGAATTGCCAAAATGAAAACGCCGAAGCGATAAACACATTGAACATTCCCAAAAATCCATAGAATTCCACATAATTATAATTCTTTTATTTTATTTATTTTTTTACTACAAAACAATCGCTTACTTAAATGATTTTTTTTTAATTTATAAATAAATTTATAAATTCAATAAATTTAAATAAAAGTACAATAAACGAAGACAAAACTAATTAAAATAGTTTTAAAAAATAAACTATAAATTTATAAATTTATAAACTTATAAATTTGAAAATCTAAAATAATTCAAAAAAAAACAAATCTTTCATTTTTTTTAAAATCGCCTTTGTAGTAAAAAAAAATTCTAAATTTTCGAAAAATCTAAAGAAAATTAAAAGAAAATTCGTCGACAAAATTTGCTGAAAAAAGGAGAAATTTTAGAAACCATGGAAACCAAGAAATTAGCAAAAATATTATTAAAAACAAATAAATAATCGAAATAAAAAAAATTTTCTATGAAATTAGAAAAAAATCGAATAAAAAATAATTGTTACTAATGAATCTTTTTTTTTGCATAATTTTTCATTGTCGATAAAGTTTTTTATTCAAAAGTTGAATACTTTAAAAATTATTTTAATTCAGAAAATTTAAAGAATCTAAATCGATATCCGCTGAAAAAAATTCTATAAAAATCGATTAGAAAATAAACATTTATTCGCTCTAATTAAAACAATTCTAAAGTTCCAAATAAAAAAAAATGGCAAAAAAATGATTAAATCTATTTTTGATAATTACATTCCACGAATCATAATTTATATCCCCTATTTATTAAATCACGTGTCTGCAGTCTGATTGCTAGTAATGAATAAAAATGCGGCCGATGCGACCAACAGGATTGCTTCGTTTTGGGGGATGTCTTCTAATTGACGCAATCCACGGAAGGGATGTGGACGTGAGGAGGGGAAAGGAGAGGAGGGAGGGGAATTTATCGTCTCGTTCTTCGATTAAGAAAGAGGTGACATTTTTTTTTGACAGCGAGGATTCTTTAAACTCTCGCCTTTAATACTAAATTCTCCATAATTCTCTTTTTTCGAGTACCATTTGCTATTTATTATTCATTTTTTTGCTTAAGCACATCAAAGTCATTTCATTTCATCAAATTTTCTTTTCTGTAGGCGATAAAAGTGAAAGAATAATGCCATTACGCGCGATTTGAGCATTTCTGCCTACCCATATGATTGTACAATTTAAATTTTATAATTATTTAGACGATATAACATTTGTTTTTTATGTTTTATTTTATCTAAAAATATGAATTGAAACTCAAAGTTTTATTTTATTGCCATCGATGGTACGCGAATTTCCTTTTTACAAAATTATTTCGTTTAAATTCTCTTTTTTTTCGTAAAATTCTGCGTTGCTGCTTTAATAATTAAAATTTTATTTAAAATAGCATAAGAGTGCTTTTGCAATATTTTTTTAGCGGTGAAATTATTCACAAATATCTCTTAAATTAAAAGGCCATCGTGTTTAAACCTTTCAAAAGCAATTTTCGTGCATAAAATTTAGTTGCCGTCATCGTCATCCGTAAAGTCGTATGGTTTGAATGATTTCTTTAAATCTGCAACCAGTTCTTCTTCTTGTCGTTTATTCAGTTCACAAGAACGCCAGTTAACTTTCTCTTCACAGTTCAAGAGCTGTCTTTCTGCTAATACCTGCAAATAATTTTCTTCCACTTCCTCCTTATTTAAAAATATTTATCAGATATCTAGCACATAATAGATTATTATGTAATACACCGAACAAAGCCGTTTGAAACAAAGAGAACCAATGTACAATAAGTTACCTCTCTCGCATATTGTAGAGAAAAATTTTGCATTTTTAGAGAGAACATCCTGGTACCATCGGGCAGTTCCAAATAGAAATAAGGACACCCTTCGTTAACCATATCCCATATCTCAAAAAAAAATTCAGTGATATTTCATATTTTACAATGATTTTTCACGAAATAAAAGTACAAAAGTTTTTAAAAATTTTGGCCTAAAAAGTTTTAAAGTATTGCAATTACAATTATTGCAATTGCAATTCAAAAATTTTGATAAATCCTTACTTCCTTTCCTTTTATGCTATTTTTTTTAAAAATAATGATAAAGAAAAAATTTTTCAAAAACCTAAAAAATATGAATCAAAATGAGAAAAATTCTAAAACATTTGAAAATAACCTGCTGATCCTTCTTCAAAAAAACCATATTCAGATTTTTCAAATTTGATGAATTGATAAATGAGATCCGAAGGGCTTTCGAACAACTTTTGGGCACTGGCACAACATTTATCTGAATGATTTCTGATTACTAATTTGAAATTTTGATATTTTATAAACGAATATTGATTAAAAAACATTTTATTTATATTTATATTTTACAGCTATTCCCTTTCATTAAACTTCCATTTCCTAAAGTATGCCGAAAAAACTTTTGATTAATTCAAGATTGTCAATCAATAACTCGCCGTAAAGAGCTTACTTGTAAATGTTGTGTTTTGAAGTTGCGCTCAAAAAATACAGGAACCATATTTTTTTTATTGAACATCAAAGTCAGACTATCCTTAAACTTTTGTATATCCTCACGTAATTCGTTAGAAGATGCCACAATTGATTGAATATGATCTAAAAGACAAGAATTATTCATTTATCCTCATCTTTAATTATAATTTTTTTTATAGCCTTTAAACCTGTGAAACTAACTTTATAAGCAATGCGAATGGAAGAAAAAAGAATTATTAATAAAAAGAATATGAGCTGAAAAAATTAAAATAAATTTTTCCATGGTATAAAAGCTAAGAAAAATAACGCGATATTTTCTTTCATTATTACTGTGAAAGAATCACGTATATTTTAAAATTATTTTAAAACAAAAAAACACAAAAATTAAAAGTTTTAAAAACATATCTATAGGCAATATCATTAAATGTTCGTTGACTAAAGGACCTTTCGGCATGGCTATATAAGAATGTGTTGATACCGAAACCACCAAATGCTTCTGAAAACTAGGATTTGACAAGCAGAACCAACATGACTGAGGATCGAACTGTTCAATATCTGCAAATAATATTGGTGAATTGAACTATGCTATGGTTTAGGTACAAAAACCCTGAAGCCTACCGTTTTTCTTCCGACGCTTTTTGTAAGGTGAAACTTCATGCTGCTGATCGGACATATCAAAAAAATATTGATGTTGGTGCCTCTTTTGTTTGTTTATTATTTGATCGCTAAAAATAATTATTTTCATTTTACAAGAAAAAAATATCAATTGGAAAAAAGAATCGATTAATAAAATTTAAAACAGCCATTTTCATTATGATATTTACCTAAATTTACTTAATTAGTTCCAGAATCGGCAAATATTAATATAGGCTTAAATGTTCGCCATAAATTTATTCGTGACCCTTTTAAATTCTTAAACGAATTTGAACCTAATCCTATATGACTACTCCAAGCCTTTTTTTGGCCCAAAAACTTGGTATATTAATCGTTGCAGCACTAGGCTTACTAATAAATCGGGAGAAAATAATGATTAAACTATCTTTTAATCAAAAAATAAAATTATTGAACAAATGTAGTAACTGAATTGCCATTTGAGAGATAAGTTCCATATACGGAAATTCAGAAGTATTGCTTGGTTGAGCAGCCAAGTTAACCCGAGACATATTTCGCATTGGAGTAATCGAAAAAGCATAGAGCCATTTATGTTTTTCAGGATTATTCACTGGTGCCAAACCAATAAAACGAGTAACATGCTGAGCCAATTCCATTAGCACACGATGATTCCTTGACAAAATTTTGCGTTACAATAAAAAAAACTCCAAAGTTAAAGTTAAAGAAAATGTGCCAAAAGCAATAATTGTAAAATCCGACATTGCCAATATATTTTTTCAATTGTGAACCACAAACAGTTCCCAAAAATGCCAATGCCAAAAAAAGATAATAGTATTTATCTATCAATTTACCTGTAAGGAGTTCTCTCATAATGCGCTCCCATTCCTGCAAAATGATAGCGCGGCTTTAATCCAGAGGCTAGCCTTGATATTAAAGGACTACCACTGATTTCTACCGAAGGCTGATTGGGGGAATACTTAGCAACCTGAAATAAAAGTTGAAAAGAATTGTTGAAAAGTTGAAAAGAAAAGAACAGTGTATTTTATGTACATTTACATATATATATATATGGTACCATTCTTATTGTAATTGAGAAAATAATAATACCTGTGCTGGCCACATTGACGTAAGAAGTATATCGATTCCCGTAAATGAACCGACCTTGACAGGAGCTAATAACTCATCAACACTATTTTTATCAAACTGAAATGCAGCAAGAACTAGAAAAAACTTCAAAAATTTTGGAATTATCCTGATCGCAATTTTTTAATTATAAACAAAACAGTGGTGCCACTTAATTTGTGAAGCACCACATTATTATGCTGCAAAATGAACCAGATTCTAATTTAGAAACATTAAAAAAACAGAACCTCAAAATCACTTGCTTTTTCACTTTCAATACCGCTTAAATAACCGATTTGCAATCCAGAAATTGTATTTAATATACCACGCTTACCAAGATAAATCAAATTTGGTGAGAATTCAGTACGACCTTCCGGATAACAAGTTGAAGTTGAAGGAGAACATGGACCTAAAACCTTTGCCTATGGCTTCTCGAAAAACTACTGGATAAATTATTAACTATCCATGCAAATCTGCCATAAATACAGTAAAAACAGGACCACTTATTGAAACAATTGTTATACATAACTAATATGTAAGTGGTGATTGGGAATTCGATATCGCCATTCATCACTTTGCTATTAATTTTTTCATCAACTCCAAAAAATTCGCCAACACATAGAAAAAATTCAAATGGTCCATTCTGAAAACATCATTAAATAAACTCAAACATTCAAAATATGCAAATATGGTATTCTTCACAATTTACTAATATTTCGGTAACTTTTTCTTTCAATAAAAGTGAAATTTATTGAAAGAAAACGGTGATATAATTTCTATAATATAAATTCCAATAAAAAAATATGAAATGTGCAGTGGTCTTAGGCGACTAAATTTCCAACTACAGAAAAAACCCCAACATCTGATGCGATTTTCCCCGTAAACAACGATAGAAAAACTGATCCATCTCTTCCACTTAATCATTCGCCTACGATTAAACGAATTCTAAATGGCCAAAGAATTAAAGCATCAGATGAATACACTAAAAAGGACAAAATTAATATAGCTGGTATCAAATATATATATAAATATTTTGAACATGAAAAACAATATATATATATATATATATTTAAACGCATGACCGCTCCTTCATGATTCCTACAAGTTTTTCGTATTCCTGTAAGTTTCTTATAAGTTTACTATAAACAACGCAAATTTGCTATGTCATCCCATTACATGACAATATCAATACATCATCCATTAAATACTATTTATAAATACTATTTCAATAAAACTACTTTGGTGAAACCAATCATCATATTTTTAAAATAAGTAAAAGCATTTCCAGCAAAACTTGGCAGCAAAACCCCTTAACTTTCCATCCTTATATATTGACTGCTTTGTTCTAACCCTATGTATTAATAATTACTTATATCTCGCGTTATTAACTGATGAAAATCTTACTTTTGCTCTATATTGTATGATTATCGCTTAAAAAATCCTTCATGACTTAAATTCCCATTCATCTCATTTCTTAAAATATACCACACACTGCCTTTGCGACTATGTGTGATAAAATTTTTAAGTGAATTGTGAATTTACTGAAACACTTGACACCGTTTAAATCCTAATCTCTTAACTAATTGTAATATAATGGTAATTATAATAGTTTCATTAGTTAGATTCACAATAGTTAGATTTGTATCAATTCATTTAAATTGCAGTGGATTGTTAATTATTATAATTAATAATTAGTGGATTGTTAATAATTATTATTATCTATAATTAATTAAACGATAAATGCCAAATGCTAGCAAAGAAATGAAGTAATGCAGACCGACTTACAAGTCTAATTTCCCAACTATTTATTCACCTAAGTGTTGAACAGAGAGATTGATATCGTATAAATTTCAATCCCTAGCGTTTCTTTTTTTTATTTCTTCTATCTAGTTTTAGAAACTTAATATCACAATTCATAGAACCATCTAAAGTCGGTCGCTCTTTAAATCCTTAAATAATTTTTATTCAGTGCTTTAGTTGGTTTCTTTGCTTTTTCGGTGTAATTTGATATTACTTGGCACAAGTATATGGCGTTTTTCAGCCTTTTTTGGTTTTTCTATAATAAACAAATAAACAACGAAATACAACCTTTTTATTCACTGCGGCAACCCGTTTGACCAGAATGTCAAACTGTCCCCGAACATCACCGCTAACTAGAACATTGATCGATTTAGCATCCGACATGAAGGTCAGGAAATTTTTCTGAAACGATCTCGTACAAGGAAGATATCTCACAACAATAAAAGAAATCTGTATTCCAGCCTATTATCGATTTCACTTAACGTTTAATTTATAATCTTATGAATACATAACAAAAGTAGACCAAGTGATATTCACAATTATACAACTTCCAATAAATTTGCTCATAAACACAATAGTAATAAACTTTATTAAGCAAAAACGCATTATTTAAAAATGAACAATGCAATTACAAACAACTGGTCGGATAAGGTGTTTATAGCGATAGACAATATCACCTGTAGTATTATCACTGATAATTCATTAAATAATACTTAATTTAATCGGTCTTTAATTTCGACAATCATAAAAGTTGCATGGATAAAAGTAATTTAAAAGTAATTTATGTATTTTGGTTTTTATTCCATTAATATGCATAGATATTTGTAATAAACCGGCTAAAACTTTTAGAAAAATTTATTTTAGAAAATATTTAGAAAATATTTGAAAAGTCAACTAAATATAATGCATTAATCACTTCTGATAAAATTCTTATCACTATTCCCATTATTTCTAAATTCTTACCAAATAATTAAAAAAAGAATAAGAATATAAAAAAAAAATCATAGGAATAATATAAATTAAGTTGTCCAATAACAGGACAATTGCCAATGAGAATCGAGATTCGAGAATCGAGTTGCGGATCCGGCTGACGCACCACGCTTCAAGAAAGAATGTAAAGAATGTAAAGGAATTTATAAAAGTTCAGCGGATTGTTGCTCAAATCGAAGTGCCGATACCAATATTGCACTTCTGGTAATATCAAATCTGTCCAAAATTCCGGCCGATATATTTCTTTTGCCAAAGGAATTCCTGGCATAGCTGTGAAATTCCACACGCAAACGGAGCGAGTTAAACCAGCAATGATGAGTGCTTTTTTAAAAAAAATATACATTAAGACTCAACTGAATTATGAATTCACTGGTATGGAAAGGCATTTGAGGGAAAATTTTCACCTCACTTCTACAGATTAAACATTCAAGCTGAATAGGATATTGGAATATAGCTTCAAATAATCCTCATTTATTATTTTTGCCACTGCCTCCGATTCAGATCGGTGGAGCAGTATCTTTTACATCAATTGTTGAAGCAAAAGAAGAAATCCCAGGTCCAGTGGTATGGTCTTTGCCCTTGACCACACTTGTCTAAGGCAAATTCTGTGTAACCAACAAGTAAACAGAGTCGTATATGACTGCATCCATTTTTGATCGAATACCCAGCATTAATTATATTACATGCATTATTTAAGCGTCACTTGTGCCAGTTAGACCATATTCTTAACGACTTATCACAGGAATAGATATATATCTCGTTATGCACAAAATCTTTTCGTGGATGGCAAAAAAGCGGAAATATCTAAATCCACGCAGAAGAGCAGAAGAGATTTCGAAGAAGTGGCCTAATGATGTAGGATTTTCAGTAGTGGAAAACAAAGCGGCATCATCTTAGGAAATGATATTGGGTACAGATGGCTGAAAATGCTTGACCTGACTTTATAACCTGTGGAATTCATAAGGGTGCCAAGTGAAGAATTCAGAACTTTATAAAAATGAGGTGCGCCAGTCGGCTTTTTAATTTTTCAAAATATTTACATGAAAATGAATAATATGAACCGGTGACCTTGTGCATAAGGAATATAATATGGAATAAAAAGTTAATGAAGAATAATTCCCAATTAACCACTTACGATGTATTACACCAGCTTTAACGTTTAAATAAACTTTATCCTTTTTTTGTCCTTTATTTCGTCCTTTATTACAACATCTTTCCGTTCAAAATTCACTGAATGCAGTTCTAGATACTTTCATTGAGACAAAATGGTCTTTCCTACTTGATAAATTTTCAAGCCTGATCTAAATCATCATGATAAGAACGATCAGGGCCGGCACAATTCTCTTGAATATCATCATATGAATCATACTTGATTCCACACCATACGCAATAATAATAATTCTGCCGAAGGTAAGATGTAATACTGATTAAGCTAAAATAACCAAAATTAAGTCAATAAAATAAAATAAAAAAATACACAAAAAACAAGAAAAAGTGATTAAAAAAAAAAAAAAAACCAGAATGTTTACATAAAACGCTGGCTTTAATTTTCTAAAAACTAATTAAAATTTTTCTTTGATTACAATGTAGTTATAAGAGATAACAGAATGAATATTGCACAGTCTAGACTGTTAAGAACTGGACTCTGCCTCCGATAATAGCAAACTTGCCAATAAAAAATACTAGGTGGGCAAAACTTCTGATATAATCAGCGCAACAAACCAACCAGAAATGATGCACGCTTATCACCACATACAGCTAGAATAACTTTTTTTTACTAGAAAAGATAAAACTCACCATTCATTTAACTCTTCTTCAGATAATTCCTCAAATTCTTTATCAAAGACCAGTTCATGACCATTTGCATATTTTTGCACCAAGACACCATCTTTGCTGCTGCTATCGTCAATAGGAACTTTTATTGTAGGCCAAAAATATGGCTGCTTTGGTAATTCCATTCCCACTCTTAATTACGACTTTATTAACATTAAAATCCAAAAAAACAGAAAGGGAAAAAGAATCATACCTGAAGTCTAAATCTTCACAAGCTTTGCGACTTTTGTTCAAATCGCATAACAAATTTCTCAGTTTTGCTCGATTTTGTTTGCGCACTTGAAATTCATCGATAAGGTATCCCTTCAAAATTAACTGAATAATTCTTAAATAACCTATTATTATTTTGCGCACTTGAAATTTGCCCATAAGGAATCCTTTCAAAGACCTTTTTAATTCTTAAATGACGTTTCATCATCGTCGTTCTTTAAATGTTACTTTCCTGACTACTTTCTCTCGACAATGTAATCGCTTTGAAAGTAAAGAATGCCTGATGTCCTATTATAAAAAATAAGGAAGTATAATTGCTTGTCAATAGACAGAAATATTAAAATTCACGAAAAAAACCTGTGCTTTCTCCTTAGCCACCAAATTCTTCATACGGAATTCAGCGTGCCGTTTCCTTTTCTCTTCCTCTTCAGTTTCGTGACCCAAACCAGTTCGTGAAATTTTTATCGGAACCATAATTGGTTCTTTAATCCCTTCGTTGGTATGATTTCTTTTACCAATACTCATTCCAGGCTTATATCCCATTTTCGATAATAATGCAAAACCTTTCGAATCGTTGCTAAGTGGCTTTGACAAACCAATCTCGAGCATTTGCCTTTCTATATCAGCACGACGTGGAATATTTCGCATTCGAACAACATTTTCCAATTTTTTTTCTTCTATTTTTAATTGCCGCTTATAATTATGACTGGATGAGATGCCTATAAATTGGCACTAGATAAACCATATTAGATGGTGTTTACGAAAATAATAAAACCAAAAAAAGCCATAATTCTTTGCTGCGAACTATTACCACAGAATTCCAAATTCCAGCATAGCAGGATTTCTTGGCGAAAGTACAAAAAACTAACCGATCGATATAATAGAACAAAAATATTTAAAATCGAATTATGCTAAAACATTTAACGAAACAAATCGGCAAACAGGGATGAACTGGGACGATGTGGTACTTATTTACTTGTAAGCAACGAAGGAGGGAAATAAGCGCCATCGGCTCGTATTAATAACAACAACTGAGGTGCCGAATGAATGGGAATTAATGATATGATTCCGTGGTACTTTTAACTTTAAAAGCTGAACAAAATTATCGTTAAAAACTTTTACAGTGGAAAATTCAAAAATTCCTTAAACATTAATGTAAAAACTAAAGCAATAAAAATGGATTAACAATTTTACTCATAAAATTAAAAAAGAAAAAATCAAAAGGAAAAAGAGAAGAAAAAACCTGGGCGAACATTAGATGCATCACAGATGAACGCTTCAGACATATAATCCTCCTCCTCATCATCTTTCATTCCCTTATCACCATCTGCCAAATGTTCATCCTTCACCACTAACCATTCCTCTTCCATCCTCCCATGCATCTTAAACGAGCTTGATTCCACACAAGCCATTGAGAAATTTTGTGTCGACAAGATGGATCTAAAAATCTCTCGAAATTAAGATTCGGCCTATATTATAAAGTTCGGCACTATGGATATTTCTTTTGATTTTCGTATAATAACTTCTTAATAACTTTTAAATATTTTTTCAAAAAAGAAATTCCACAAAAGTTCAGAAAAAGGAAAAATTTTAAAGAAAAATTTTAAAAAAATTTATCGGAAAAAATATTTAAATTTCAAAATATTTTAAAATAAAAAAAAGGATTAATTAATTAAAAAATATTATTATTGAATAAAAAGGTTGCAAAAAAAGAAAACAATTATAATAGGAATAATTTTATAAATTTGGTAATTTTTCAATGATTAAAAAATTAAATTTATTTTAATTTTCTTTTATAAATATAAAAAATATAAAATTAAAAAAATTATAATTTTAATATTTTCTATTTTATTATAATTTTATAAAAAATAAAGATCGATAAATAAAAATAATTTTTATAAAAAAATAAAAACAATAATAAAATAAATAGGAAGAACGGCCACAATTTCAGCAAAAATTTTAACAACGATCGATGCGTAAATCTTAAGCGTTTTGACCTAACACAATGCGCTGTTTCTAATCGTTTATTTTTCAATACGAAGAAAATAAATATCGAAATGGAATAAATAGAAATTTTGCTTATTTTTATTATTTATTTTTATAATTTTTTATTATTTAATAAAATATTTAATAAAATATATTTAAAATTCGTTAATTTAATTTAATTTAATCAATATTTATTATTTAAACTATTTTTTTTTTAGCTAAATTGAACATCGAATTTTATTTTATCGACTGAACCTCTCTGAATTTCGAATTTTCTAAACGTTTTGAGAGCTCTCTTGAAAATCAGTTTTCACTTTCTCGACCTATTTAAAGGTGATACGATTTTCTAGTGAGAGCGTCGTGAAAGAGAGGGGAAAGTTGTGAATTTCTTTGAGAGTTCTTATAAAAACAATGAATTTTCTCCGAGTGATTTGCGAGTTATACGAAAAAGTCTATGCATCCTTTATTTCCGAAGGTCTATTAATTATAACTATTGTCGCATGCATTTTGCATGATTATAAATATAAATGCATGCATATGCATGAAATAAATGCAAAAAATTGTTGATCTAAAAAAAAAAAAACTTTCACTTTTTTTTCTTGTAGTTCTTTTAAAATTAAATTTTAAATAGATTGTGCAATATTAAACTAAATTTAATCTTTGAAAAATTTTGTTAATTTTATCATATCAAAATGATCGCATAACAGATAAACCCGGTATTACGTAGGATGATATAAATTATAATGGCAATGACCGATTATTGTTAGCCGTTCAACATTTGCGATTAATCTGCGAAAATTTCAAATCGCCTTAGGCAATTATTTTAGGCGAAACTAGTTTTTCGATAAAAATCTTTGTGAATCAGCTTTTCTCATTTTGCCATTATTTTATATTTTTCATGAAAATCGAATCGCTTGATTATTTCATAGAATATTTAGATAAATTTGTTTCATTCATAGGTAATGTGAAATGAGTGTATTTTTATGATTTTATCGATGAGTATATTTTACTGGTTAACGCATTCTTTTTTCTTATAATAGAACTTCGAATAGATTTTTTTTGATTGCCGTAGGGAATAAATATAAATATTTCGTCAATCCAATTGACTTTTTTTAAATTCAGTTTTATTCAAGCAAAATATGCTATTTCATTCTTTTTCTTAACAGCACTGCTAAGGCTGGCTACAAGGATAAAATCAACATCTGCAAGCTGTTCGGTTCAACGCCACCGCTAACAATAAAGCCATTCATTTATTGCTGGCCTACGTGCCCACGTATATGTTTAAAATTTTGTCATTCCTAATCACCTCAGTCCAAGTCTTGATTGGTCCTCATCGCTTTTGACGCAATGCATCGCAGTGTTTAGCAAGTAACTAAATATGCGGCAATTCCTGTGGTGGACGATGAAGAACATGCACCTAACCGGCGTTCTACCACGCATTTTATCCGTTTGGCTAATCCGTAAGGCTTGTCTTAGATGTGAGTGATTAACAGCAGATAACTTCTTAATATCCTCCGCACTCACTGGCCATGCCTCGTAGCAAGATCGATCGAGCTAACTGCAGCTATATAGATACGGCTGATTCACGACGGCTGATAAAGGTTTGTCAGCCGGAATAATCTGAGACATCTCTAGTTATCGCTATTTTATTATACACTCGTAAATCAGCATCATAAATTTGAAGTTTGCGAAACTTAAAAACGGAGTGTAAGTGGTGAAAAATAAGGGATTCTGTTGAAAATTTTGCTAATTCAGCGGAGTTTTTTTTTCATCACGTTGCTTATTATTATTAGTTTAAATAGAAAAATTTAACTGATAATAATTTGTGATTATTATTGAGTATTATTGAGTATTTCTCCAGGAAGAGAAAATCTGAGACGTGCATTCATTTTCATAATTATGCTCCAACTGTTTAACCCTTTATCATAAAGCTCTTTAGGTCTCCCTTCGAATTTTCGTATATGCCTAAGATTCCAGTGAACATCGCTTTATTCGTATCTCTTGAAACCCGTCCGAAGTCTGTTTAATTCACGCTGTTCACTCCCTTAAGTACCACACTTTTTTAGTAATTCTTTTTCTCTTTCCATCACAAATAACTAAATACATATTTTGCATATAAATTACAAATATTTATGAAATCCTAAGGATTTCATAACGATCATGTGAATATGAATATAAAGCAAAATTAGTTGTAAAGAAGATTCAAAAATTAAAGAGGAATATATTAGAATCTGATAGAGTTATAAGAGATTTTAAGGATAATGATGAAGTGTTTGAATAGAAGAACGTTACGAGGAGGCGAGGTTGCATGAGGCGATATTATTGTGAGGAGGCAAGACAAGTGGCAGCTTTCGTCGACTGAATTTCGAAAATCGTCCACTCGATTTTTCTTCAATGGAAATAAACCTCTTGCAACATCCGTCTCGGAAGCCGTCTATTCTCCAAGCGATTCTCTGTGAAAGTGAATTTTTGAATAAATAAATTAGAAGAAATATGGCAAAGATTTGGAAATGTATGAAATAACGAAATAAATTATAGTTAATACTCGAAGATTGTTCAATGATTTTTAATTAGGAAATGAAATGAAAAATAAAAAAAATTAAATTTTTTTGAAGAGTTTTAATAAAATGAGAAATCATCGAAATGTTCCATATTAGAAATTAGAAAAAACGCTTATAATTATTAGTCACGAAAATATTTATTTTAGTTGGAAGAAAATTGTGGAAACTCTTCAAAATGTGTTTTGATAAAGACGATTTGACGAAATTTACTTTATTTCATTTCTAAGTCATTTTTCTGATGGAAAGGAATTTGTTCTAATAGAAGTGCCTGTTGAGATTTCCACCTGGCAGAGATGGTGCATCGGTGATTCAGTGGTAAGAGATGGTCGTTGAAAATCGAGAGCTGGATTCAAGTCCGCTGACGCACTGCTCTTCATCGGGCGGCCGTGTCGCTTACTGAAGAAGAACAAGAGGAGAGAGTTGAATGGTTCTAGTGGGTTTAGCCCCTGACAAGAGTAAACGTGTCTAAAAAATTTGACTGATGCTGGCGGCTCATCTGTGCTTCTATCACCAAGGCATTCCCTAGCATATCTAATCAGTAATGATAAGAGCTCTTAAAACCAAATATTCTAGTCGGGGTGCCTATAGAGATTTATTCTCTAAACTTATAAATTCATCAATTTTAATTATTATATTTTTAACTAATTTTTAATGAATTTATTTATTAAAAAAAAAATTGCAAATATTTTTTGTTATTTGCAAAAAAAAAACATTTTATTGTAAATAGAATTTATTTAGAATTTTATCGGTGTTTGCTTATCTTTCATTCGTTTATTTATTTATTTACTTAGAAAATATTGATAAAAAGAATTTTTATTGAATTATTATATTCAAAAACTGGTTTAGTTTTATGCTTTAATTTTCCTTCTAATTTTTTTTCCATCATCGATCAAAATTTTTTATTATTTTTTAATTAATTTATTTGCGGTTTCAATTTTTCAATATTTCTTTTTATAAATAATGAATTTAGTTTTTAAAATAAAATTTATTTATTATATATCACCTAAGTTATTATTAAATTTATCAAAATTATCACTGTTATCAAAGTTTCTATGATTCGATAACTCAGTCTAACAGTCTTACCGAAAATTAAATCTCTCATAAAGTTAGTGAAGCGAGCCGAACCAGAAATGGTGATTAGTGGTGTTTGTATAATTATGTTTTATGAATTAGATGAGATTTATTCCCGAATTTTTCTTTTTAAAAACGAGCATCGTCTAATTTAATTTGAATGAAATCTTGCCTGAACGATTGATAAGGAAAATAGAAAAGGTGGTTAACATTAAAAGAAACTGGAATTAAATTGAGTAAAAGAAAAATATCAAATTTGCAAACTAGAATTTGATACTAATATTTGCTGTGTTTAAATTTATTCCCTTTAGTGATATAAAATGATATAATAATTTTATAATAATTTCAACAAAGTTTTATTTATCACTTATCATTTATTATCACAAATTTATACTAATATTTACTGTGTTTAAATTTTTTCATTTTAGTGATATCTTTATGATTTAATAGTTTCAATAAAATTTTATCATTTATCATTCATTATAGCATTATCAGTAGGCAATAGAAATGCAAATATTTGTCATATTCAAACTCAAATTTTCTTATCAAAAATTCATTTAAAAAATTCGTAATTAATTATATTTATTTTTATTTTTATAAATTTCATTCGATCATATTTTTGTTTTAAAAATATTCAACAAAATCAAATAAATATCTTTGGACTTTTATTGGTTTATTTTCAATAGAAAATTATTGTATTATTGATATTAAATATTGACATCGATATGAAATGTTTCTCATTTTGCGTTATATTTTCGAAACGACGTTCTACAATTTTTTAAATATCACATATCCACGATGAATTTAAAATTTTTTAATCTTTTCCAATTTAATAAATAATTTTGTTTTCTAATTTTGATGTTGTAAAAGATAGGATAGAATAGGCGAGTAGTAGGCTGCATGGACTAAGGTCCATGCATCATGCGTTCGATCCGTACGTTCTGAAAAGAGTACAAAGCTAATGCTCAGAGTGAAATCCGGAAGACTCACCTGTACTTCAATTCCCCAAGTTATTCAATGGGTCCTCGATGATTTTGCTGAATATGCTTCGGAAAGCTACTGGTATTCTGGATTTTCAGTATAAGACAGATGGAATTAAAAGTAAAAGTGCAATATTTTAGAGTAGGCAAAACTATTTAAATCATTTTCCCTTCCTCTCCCTCCCCCCTCCCTCCCCTCAACTCCTCCTTATCAATCACCTCTTAAGTACATTTCTTTGTTATTTCTTGTTTGACAGCTAAACTCTGTTATTTGTTATTTGCAATGTTTTCATTGATTAAGGAAAATAAAAATTTAATTTCATTCTTTGCATTTTGCGCAGTATGTGGTTTCGGTAACATTTTTTTGGAAAAATCTAAAAAACCTAAAGCCTAAGCGGAAGAATGCCTCGATATAGTCCCGAGCCTAACCCTCGTAACTCTAAGCGAAACTTCGTTATGATATGGAGTAATATTCATATTCTATTCACCCGCTTGGCTGGTACGTAGGATATTTTAGGCAAATGATCAAAGGTATCAACAACTTCCTAAAATCTTCCACTGCAGCCAAATAACAAGATAGTGTGCACTAAATCCAGTTAGATGCGGATTTTCGTTTTAATGATAATTTCGCCGTGATTTCATAGAGGTTTCGCCAGAAGATATTGCTGCGGCTATCCAAATTTTGCTCCTTTCTCTTGGTCGCTTGCTATAAGAAAGAATTAATGATATTTAAAATCTAGTGCTTCCACAATCTTTACCATAAGTGGCATCTCTGGAACAGCTGATAAGTGCTAATTCCAACTAAAGCCTTCCCTTCAGAAGTTAGCATAGGATACGCCATTGGGAAGAAATTAGATCTCGGATGCCCCCGACTGAGCCAATTAAGAATTTCCACTTAAATCCCTTCATGTTGAAATTATTCAGCGTATATGAATTTTATGGAACTTAAATTTATCACCTTAAATATATATCACTTTATAACAATTTTTTATTGTGGAAATTATAAAATTTAAAATTTAGATTTATATTATGAAATTTCGATTTCATGTTGCGAAAAATTTAATAAAATATTAGTAAAAAATATAGAAAAGTAAGTGAAATATTTATTCATTTGCACCACTTAATATTGCACTAAGCAGATAAAGGAGCATGTGATAATTTAAAAAAAAAGAGAGAGAATGAACAATACCTCTGTTAAACTCTTTTATCACTAAGGAATTGATTATTACTAAGTTACCATTGTTTCTTCCCTCTATTCATTATTTTGATTTCAGATTTTTCCAACTATTTTTAATATAATACAATAAAATAAGTATAGAAAATGTATTAAAATCTAATAAATCAGGTAAAAACTAGTTTTTTTTCTTTTTTAAAGAAGGTCATTGATGGTGCATAGATGATTATTATATAATGCAAGATAATAATATTCCAGTAATTAAGATTGCGAATAAAGAATTTTTTGCGTTCTCAAATTTATTTTAGCTTTTAGCAAATAGGCTTTAATCAAAGTTTTGATAAAAATATTAAAATATTATATTTATTAAAATAAGTTTATTTTAACTATGAGAAGAAGATAGGAAACACTGAAAATAATGATAAATAATAAAAAAAAATATCGATATCACTGATAAAATTTTCAATGAAACAAAATAAATCACGAGAGCAAACTGATGACACAAGCGCTCTCGAACTAGAGATATTAGCTGCATCACTACTATGGTTTATGGTATTCGTCATCGAACGATTTTAGAGAGTCAAGAGGTTTATGCGTTTCGTTTCAGATTTTAGAATATTATCCAATGTACTGGACAGTTAATATACAGGGAGGCCCAAAACGTGTTAATCATGCTGCTGTTGCCTTAAACGGTGCCATATATTCTTTTGGTGGTTATTGTGCTGGTGAAACACAACGTGTACGACCAATCGATGTTTATGTTCTTAATCCAAGTAAATTTTTTTTTAGCTTAGAAAATAATAAATACAGATTATAAATACAGCGATGGAAAATTTCGATCAATGTTTTTATGGTTCTTTGTGAATTTGTGTAATGAATTTATGAGTGGACCAATACTGGTTAAGCTTATTCGTTGCAAAATTCCAAGGTGCTGGTGGCATACGTGAAGGTACAACTCCATATTCTTTCCACCATCTAATCACCAGATCTCCGAATTATCTTCCAAAACTAATGGGCCATTTTTCACAACAATGTAGCAAAATGATATTCAGCCATCGTTCATTACAATGAATAAATAGCATTTCTCGCTGCTTATTTGGATATTTCGTCTTTCGCTTGGCCATTTGGTCGGACATTAGCATATTATGATCAGTGACAATTTGCGATAGAAACTGCCATCTAATAAGGAACTCTTCCATCAGCCAGGAATAGTTGACTGAGACAGAAACAATCTGGTTGGAATGTTGAATAATGGAGGAGTTTTATGTTATTTATCTTCTGCTAGGAGCATGCATTGGTGACAAAAAGTTCATGCTTCTTGGCAAAGCGAAGTAGGCGTTGTTTATTGGTGCACCAGATACCATTGCAATATTTGCCCATACAGAATCCATTATGGTAGCATTGTGTCTTAAGCACATTCCTATATCCAACAGCTATGATTGTGTCACTTTCTGAAAGAGATACTACAGTTGAAATTCCGCTCAGATCCTCTTCTGTATCGGTTAAAGTAAGAGGTTATCTACACATCTACACTTTGATAATTTGCACCTTGCAGAACTTCCCTCTCAGTCAGGCGTAGACCATAGGCATAGTCGTCAGTCAGCTTCCACGCATTTAGTGCAGTTTGAACCCTTTCATGACTGAGCTATAGGCATAATAATTTCCAAAGACTTGAAGTGAGGAAGGCGGACTTCCGACAAGCAAGCATTGTGCACACGATTTTTGTATGATGTGGACACATCATTTGTCTCATGAAATACTGACATTTCACACGGTTACGACGAATATCTCGTCATTTGTGCATAAAAACGTGCATAAAATGTGCGCATAAGTTTTTTTTTCCATTTACAAATTTTACATGGCTTGAGAGCTAATGTTGAATCCTTCGAATCTTTTTTTCAGGCCTAATTTTTACATTGCATGAGGTTAGATGTGAGTATTGCACCTGTTAATTAATGGGAGCACCGTATGAGAAAAGCTTTTCACCAGAGTCATTTGAGGTTAGAAGTGCAGATCAGTCACCAGCAGTCACCAGAGAGAAAGAAGGAAAATAATTTTTTAAATATGAAAATCAGTTAAAGCATCCTTTGATTAATTAATATCATTTATTATAAATTTATTATTATTAAAGTTAACTTATATAATAAAATGATTTATATTCATTAAAGTGTTTTTTATATTATTTAATTTTCTCATATTTTTCAGGTATTATTATTCTAAATTTTTGTGGATTTTTTTTTTTTTTTTCAGAAACTTATCGATGGAAAAAAATAAAACCAAATTTCGAGTATTATGAAAAAGTAGAAATTTTCACCGATAATAATAATGTTGATGTTGTTCTAACACCATCAGATATACCTATGCAACGTTATGGTCATAGTATTGTAGCTTATAAGAATAAAGCTTATTTATGGGGTGGTCGTAATGATCAATTTGGTGATTTAAATGTGCTTTACGAATTTGATCCAGGTTATTTTTTGATAGTTCCATATTTTCTGTGCACCTTTTTAATCCAGGTTATTTTTCATAGTTCCATATTTTCTATGCATATTGTATGAAAGGTGTCGTCATATTCTTCAAAATACTTATTCATTTAATAGTTTTGTATAAACTATTGAAAGATTGCAAAAAAATCTATGATAAATCTAGAATAATTGTGATAGCTGAAGAAAAAGAATGATAAGTACAATACTTGCGTGGAATAGTGTGGTAGAATTTTTTGATTAAGTATACCATTGGAGGAGAGCGAAGAGCAGGAAGGGAGGAGGGGGTGGGAGGATTTTATGATATTATGTGACTGTTTTTTGCCTATAGAATCTATAATCATAAAAGGAAAAAATTTAGGAACGCTTCGATGGAGGAGGATTATATGCGAAGGAAATCGTCCATCAGGTCGCGATGGGCATAGTGCTGCTGTTTTTGGTGATAAAATGTATATATTTGGCGGGTATGAAGATTCTTTAGAAAGGTTTTGTTTCATAAAAATTTTTGTAGATTTGATAGATTTGTTAGATTTTAGGATAAATTTCAGAAAGTTTATATAGTTTCTGATTTCAAATAAAAATTTATTTACGTGAAAAATATGATAAAAATTGAAATATTAAATATTGTATTAAATATTTTCATAATGATTATTATGTACTAATCTTCTTTATATCTTATCAGTGAAAAAAATTTTATCAGTGAATAGATTATTTAATTCATTAGCTAAAATTATTTTAGATTTACTAGAGAAACGTATGAATTCGATTTTAATCATTCACGATGGCAAAAACTACGAACTACTGTAATTATCATTAGTTTGCATAAAAAAATTTTTAATATTTTTGAAGAGAAAGAAATGGCTGAAATAGGCTTATTTTGAGTCATAGTTGTTTTTTGTCAATGGTAGTCATTGGTTGAAGCTTATTTTGAGTATTTGTTTGGCTTATTCCTCACATTTCCGATTTATTAGATGATATACTTGTAGATAAACTGTGACTTGTGGCTAGAAAATAAAGGTAAGCCTTTTGCACTGCTCGAATTCCGCTGGTTAGAAATAGAAGGTATGATGGTTGCTGTCAAGCGGAGCGATTTATCCTTTCCTCGAACCATGTCTTGTTTAGCTGCCGATTAGCACTCATTATAAAGGATGATACACCTTTACGAGAAAAGGTCTTTCTAAAAAGTGGATTTAATTTAGAGATCAAGAACGATACGTTCAAATCAAGCCGAAATTTTTAGGGAGACTTGCCAATTTGGCGAGATTTCCATTCATGTTGTATATACGACGAGAAAATGTATGTGTTCGGTGGTCGCGGTGATCTTAGAGGTGATCTAAATGGTAAAGATGAAGTTTATAGCACAGAAGTATCACTTCTTGATTTAAAATCCCTAAAATGGTGTCAGCTGGTAGCAAATGGAGATAAGCCATGCGGAAGAAGGAGTCATACTGCATGTTAGTGTTGTTGCAATCTGTTTCTCTTTGTCTCTTCTATCGCATAAAATATTTTATTTGTACATTTATATAATATTTACTACTTTAATTACCTTCTGCAATATTACCTTCTGCAGTACCTTCTTTTATATCAGATGAAATATATAGTAATATTTTATCAAATGAATTTATCTTTGACTATATCCAAGGAAGTTATTTTTGAGGGTTTTATAAGGATCGAATGTATATTTTTGGTGGTTATAATTCTCAAGTTGATCAACATTACAATGATTTATACGAATTCAATCCGTCAAATTTAAAGTGGCGGAAGATAATTGCTCAAGGCATTCCTCCATCAGCAAGAAGAAGACACTGTAGCGTATTGCTTGGAAGCCGTGTTTTCTCGTTCGGAGGAACAACGTAAATATGAAATTATTAATTTTTTTTTCTCACTCTTTATGAAATACTTAAATGTTTTTTGTCCAAATTCTATCCTTATTCATAATCATTGCTATGACCAAGAATTTTTTTTTTTTTTTAATAATAATATTAATAAATATTAATAATAATATTAAAAATATTAATAAAAAAAATAATAATAAAAAAAATTTATTAATATTTTTAATATTTTAAATAATATTTTATTTTTTTGCAGGCCTAATAAAGATTATAGTAGAGAATTAGGTGGTCGTTTATTAGATTTAGCAGATCTTCATATTTTAGATTTTGGTAAATTTTTTATTGCTCAAATCTTTCATATTTCGAGAATTTAAAATTTTTTTATGGCTTTGATATTATAAATATATTTTAAAATATTTAATTTTTTTAAAATAAATTTTAGATGTATCATTGAAAACGTTAGCATCATTGGCTGTTATAAAAAACAAGCAGCAAATGGTTGATGCATTGCCTGCAACATTAAAGTAAGTTTTATTAAGTTGTAATGCATGTTTTGATTGCAATATCGCAGATGCACTTTTATTTTCTTATTTTTATCAGTAATCAATTCTCATTTATTATTTCCAAATTTAATTTATAGATTAAATATTAGATTTATCATATGAAATAAGCTTAAATAAATTAGATTTTCATTTTTTCTTTCCTTTTTTTTGCTAAAAATTCAGATGTGAATTGAGTTGGATGAGCAAACAAAATACGATTTTGCGATACGATGGTTGAAAAATTGAAATTCTTTGAACATCTCACTGGAATATAAAAATTGAAATTTTTTATGTGAAATTTTAAATAAAACTTGTAGAATATCAATTAATCTTGTATATCAGTATTTTTATCATTTTTATTTTTAATTTTTTTTTCCTTTTTTAAATTTAATAATCGCTTTGAAAATAATAAAAGATTCGCAAGTGATACATAATAAACTAATAAAACAAAGTAAAATTAATTAATTTTTACATAAAATTATAGAATTTTGAAAGAATTGATGCTAGAAAGTGGGAAAAAAAAGCCAAAAATTTGAAATGCATAAAAATTTACAATCGCTAAATTAATATAATTTAAATAATTGATGGTCGCTCATCCATGAAAACGCTTAGTTAAATATAAATGATGAATAAAATTCAAATAAAAAAATTTTTAAACAAAATTCGCGAAGTAATAAAAATGCTTTTGCTTTTGCTTAAAGCTTCTGAATGCATAAATTTAAAAATTATTAGAAAAATCACAATTTTTTTATTAAACAAATTTTTTCAAAATATTTTAAAAATTTTTTTTAAATAAAAAATAAAATCTTATTGTATATTTTTAAAATATCATTTTTTGTTTTTAAACAAAGAAAATTTTTTTTTAATGCTTTTGCATTCATCGTGATTTTAGCGATCATAACGAAATTTATTTTTGTTTTTTACAATAAAAAATATAAAAATCCACATTCTTAATTAGAAATCAACAGTGACCGTAAAAATATGTAAGCGGGCCAAGGGGCTGTATTTTCTGTAGCTTCTCGATCGTTTTTAGTATTTTTTTTGGATGGTGCGTACCATTTCTGGTTTGGCTGGTTTTATCGTTGAATGAGATGGGAATGTCTCACCGTATGGCCATTCTGAGGTGGAATAACGCTTAGGTCCGTAGCATTTGCCAGCTTTTACCATAACTGTTGATTGTTAATCAAAGAATATTCCATGTAACCATGAATTATTAACTAAGAAAAACAATTTAATTTATGACTAATCAATTGAATTTTTGCATTTTTTTTTAAATTTTATTTGATATTTGATTCGTTTTTGTAAGGAAGAAGACAAATATTTTAATAGTAATTATTGGTTTATTATATTATATTCGGGGCAAAATGGCATAGCAATTTTCATCTCTGTAAAGGCTCTAACTGAATTGAAACCAATAAATGACCTTATGGCCTACGCGCGTTTCAAAGGAAAATTCTGCAATATTTCGGTCATCAGTGTATGCTCCAACTTTATACTCAGATGACCGCGATAAGGATTTTGTGCGAAACTTCAGCTCTTAGCAACATCCCTACCGAGAGGTGGCATGTTCATACTCAAGAGAAACTAGAATGCGCGTGTAGGTCGTTGCCATGATGCCGTTTCGATAAATTCGGTGATTGGCAAATATGGCATCGAGGCCCAATGCGCCAATGGAGATTGCCTTCTTCTAAATATCATGAACTCTTTGTTACCAATACATGCTTTCGGCATCGGAGAAAACATCTAGTCACATGGGAACTCTCTGGACAACCAATATTCAAATCAGGTTGACTATATATTAATCAGTCCGTTGGAAGAGTTCTATACTTGATAGTCGTTTTTATCGGGGCACTGAAACTGGTAACCGCCATGGATCAGATCATGTTATAATTCGAGCCAAGATTCATATAAAACTGACAAGTTGTAAGAAACAATGTATCCCAAGATCTTTCAACCATCTCAAATTAAAAGATCCGGAAACGATAAGCGCATTTCAAACCGCACTGTTGAAACACGTCAGTGAAATGAATGTCGATGACATCTCTGGAATGGCGAATGAATACTGCTCCCAACTCAAGACATGCCTACATAAGTCAGCCACTTCCACATTAGGGTATAGTAGTAAGAAGTACGCTAGTTGGGTGTCGGAAGGAACTGTCCAATTGTCTGAAAATGCTGCCAAAGCACGAATACCATCCTGGAGATCCTGACTATCGGGTGCTTCGAAAAATTACAACGACAGCAGCATAGCGGGACAGCTATTGGAGCTATATGGCTTTGAGAATGGAGTAAGCGACTCGGATATGTGATAATAGGAAATTATTTCGCCTTCTCCGCAAAGCAACTATAACTCGAGAAAGGGTCAGAAGGTAAAATGGTACGGGATATTAATGGGGCTCCTATTAAAGCTATCAAGTATCGCCTCAGAAGATGGAAAGAGTTTTTTGAGGCCAAACTTAACCACGATGCGCCATGTGTTGTCCCGAATATGACTGATTCGTCCGTCGACTCTTACGCTTCCAACTTCCAGTCTCCAACCCCCAACAGAAGAGGAAATATTCTCTGTAATCCATAAGGTTAAGGTCGATAAAACTCCCAGAGAAGATGCTCTTCGAGCCGAACTTTTCATATGTTGTCCATCATCGTTCATAGCTCATCTTCAACAAATATATTCTCTGGTATGGCAAAAAGAAATAATACCAGAAGATTGGAGCTAAGCAATTCTGCTTCCCATTAGTAAGAAAAGTGATAGGGTGCACTGCGACAATTATAGAGGAATCAGCAACTGGATATTCTGCGCTAAATAGGCTCATGGCAACACGAGATGGCAGAATGCGTCGCGTCTTAATTAAGCTGGATTTAAACCGGAGCGAGTGATCAGATATTTACGCTAAGAAAGGTACTGGAATACCGCTTCAAATACCAGCAACCTACATGCTTTATCGATTTTGCAACTGCTTTCGATTCGATTGGTAGACCAGCGCTCTGGAAAGTGATGGAATATGATGGTGTCATAGAGAAGATCATTCGGCTTATAAAGGCATTTCATGAGCTTACGTCGGCGCTGGTCTATGTATATGGGGAACTGACAGACTCCTTCGAAATAAGGACTGGAGTCCGTCAGGGTTGCATCCTTCCCGCCACAGTATTCAACTATGCGATAGACTGGATAATAGGCATCGCTTATCGGTACTCAAGAAGGTGTGCAAATCAGTCCAGAACATAACATCACAAGCCTAGAATAGTGATGATTTAGTCCTTATTACTGACAGTTATATGAAATGCAAATAATGTTAAACAATGTGTCAGCTGCAGCGAGAATCGGACTAATAGGTTAATGTAAATAAAACGAAAATCTTTTCATCTTATATATAAGATGCTGATAAAATACCTATTTTTATCAATTCATTGCCGGCTGAGAAAGTACTGGACTTCAAATACTTGGATCTACTTTAGTCCCAAATGGCCAGGGAAGGATGAAATCGTAACCCCGATAACGGCATCTAGAATTATTTTTTTCCGGTTGATGAAACCTTTATGGAACCGTCGCAAAATCACTATAATTACGAAAATCTGCGTCCATATAGCATTTCATTCAATCTTGCTATATGCCTGCGAAACATGGTCAATGAGAGTGGAAGATATTAAGAAGGTGTTAGCGTTTGACCATTCATGTCTAAGGTATATTCTACGGATCCGCCGAGCAGATAAAATCGCACATAATTATATCCACCTTCGCTTAAATACCAACTGTATTAATATGTTATCACAAAGTGTCGCCTTCGCTGGTTAGGGCACATTCTCCATCATCCATCACAGGAGTTGATGCATATTTCGTTATTTGCTAAACCCTGTGATGATTGGCGTCATAATCGAGATGGGCCAATCATGACCTGGACTAATACGGTCAGGAAAAATTTTGAACGTATTGGGGGACCAGCGATATATGGACTTAGACGATGGAAAAAGGAATGGCTTCCATCATTGTCGACGATATCATCAGACCGCGCTGCTTGGAAGCGGTCTTACCCTTGTAGCCGTTGGAGCCAGCCTAACCAGTAATGGGGAGAACTGTTAGAAGGATATTAATAATTAATAATAATAGTAATTAATAATAATAGTATAAAATTTGTATGAATTTATATGCTGGTCGGTGAAGTGAACTAAAACTGGAAAAGTTGTTTTTTTTCAGAGGGGAAAAAAAGAAAGAAGAAAATTTCATGCGGCAAACAAAATGAATATATAAAAATATGTTTGAATAATTCATGGATATTACTGAAATAAAGAAATTTCAGATGAAAAAAAACAAGTAAGCAATTATTGTTATAAAAAAAGAAAGAAAAAAACAGCAACAACAATAATACTAATGGTGCTTTATTTGGTTAGTTTAGCTGGATGTATATGTTTTTCATACGTTATTCTACTGTATGCATTTGATTATAATGGTTTCGATAGGAATAATCCGCGAAGTATTAAAAGAAGATTTATTGCTGCAGTTATAAATAATTTTTTCGCTATTGTAATAACTTATAATGTTCTCAACGAGGTATTTTCGATTTTAAAAAATTATATTCACATATTTATTTATATATAAAATAATTTTAAAAATTTTTTATTCTTTTAATAAAACAAAATTAAAAGAAAAAATTTGTATTAACTTTTTTTCCTTTTTTTATTTTTTTTCTATTTTTTATATTTAAAGAATTTGCTAAATTTTTGCTTATTTTCTTTTTATTTTTATTTTTTTTCATTTGCTAAAGTAATTGTAATAGATTTCTTTGAAAAACGGCGATTTGATTAATTTGATTTTATTGGTTTAGCAAAGTTTTAGAATTAAAAGTTTAGGGAATAGTAAAATGTTTTCTAAAAGCTGATTTTTGCTTGCTGACTTTGATTAGATGTGAAATAAATATTTCAGTACAATATGGGCAAAAAAGATGATATCGCTTTCGTTTCAAGGAAATATGCCAAAATATGGCTTTAGAGTGATTCCATGATATCAATGTTATATGTTATTTTAAAATTGATTATAAAATTAATTATAAATTTTTTTTAGCGTTCAACACATCCATTATTCACTATGGGAATACATTTTAAAGGATTTTTTAATGCGATAATCTTACCGGCAATATTAACAAATATTTGTTACTTTGGTACATGGGTAATTACTTATAATGATGGTCATTTAAAGTCAATCGTTGGCATGTTTTTTGTTTATCATTCATATTTAAGCAATAGCTTTTAAGATTCTTAAGACTTTGGAGATTTAAATAGAAATAAAATATATAAAAAAAAAATATATAAAAAAAATAAAATATATAAAATATATATAAAATATAAAAAAAATTGCAAAAATAATTTTATTAAATCATAAATGACATATATATATATATATATATATATATATATTGTAAATTTCGAAATGAAATATTCTAAGATTTTTTTAGATTTTTTGGAATGGAAGGAGAATTTGAAAAATTTATTGTGGATTCGAGACACGCTCATGGTTAAAACATGATTTGTTTTTTTCCCTTAGTAATGATTTTAATGATCATTTCTGAACATATTGAACATTAATAAGACGATTGAGTCGTTGAAAAGTAATAATTTTTAAAATAATGCAGTAAATAAGTAAATAAATCACAGTTCCTGGTTAGGCTTATTCCAAATGCTATTAGTAAGATGAAATAATTTTTGCCAGAGAATCGCTTGCGATTAGAAGTATTTGTGATTCTTCCAGTATCACTTGGGCTCACTCCTACAATTTTCATCTTCTGGTGAACAGATTGCAAATTCATTATTTGTTTGTTATTCATCTTCATTTCCAAATCGTGGTGTGTAAAAGGATAATTTAGGCAATACACAGCAGGCCAAATTGTCTCCTGATGCACCGGGCATGCCATACTAAAATTCGTAGCAACCACTACTTAGCTATTTGAATATTTAGCATAAGAATATTAATGAACAAGTTATGACTTTGGATGAGATGTTGTCTTGCGAATTTCTATGTTGATTTTTGTGATATATTTAGGCACCTGTAACGGAAGAATTGGCATTTCGATCTTGCGCTGCAACACTTATTTTACAGTGCATGTCACCAATTACGACAATCTTTTTTGCACCACTGCCATTTGCTATTAGTCATCTTCATCATGTTTTTGACGATATGAGAAGAGGCAGAACAGTGAAGGAAGCCATTTTCAAAAGAAGTAAGTTTTAGATTAAACTTTTCAGTACAGTTTGTTTTATGAGATGCGGTGCATTGATATGAAGATTCATTGTAAAAGTTCAAATCCTTTGGTGAGGGTATCATTAACTTGTGGAAATACCCAGTTGGTTTGATGTTATGCATTCTGCTTGAATAAAATTACTGTTATATTTATATGTATTTGTTTCTTATCGTCTTGGCTCTGGCAAAAATATATCCTCAAGGTGCTATGTACCTATCGATATGTTCCCAAAAACTGATCGAATTGCCAAGTTGCCGCTACAGTCACAGACCAGCAGCCGTTTTCGTAAGGCATCGAATTTAAAAGGAGAAGAGTGCTGAGGACATAGTAAGGAAATAAGAAAGTAAGAACGATGGATGTCTTGATGTATATAAAAGGTGCGTTACAAGGTTTGAATGGATGTTAAAAGAATATAATGCTGTTTTTTGTGATTTTAAAGGGTTTACTATATACTGCAGTTTAAATAACGTAATTGATTAAGGCAGCAAAGCGAAGGTTAATTTTATCAGAATTTTAATACAAAGAATTGATTTCTGCAGATTATAATTTTGTCTGCTATACGAATCATTTTACTATAAATCAAATATGCATTATCGAATAAATTTTTGCGAGAATTCAGAACTAATCCGAATGACCGGAGGAGCATTAAATCGCAGGGTCATAAATTAGGTAAAACAAAGGAAATGACAACAGTCTTAAACAACGAAGGGCATATAAAGAAATAAAGATGCAAGAATATTATTATTGTTAAACAACAAAGATACGTAAGAAACTCGCAACTCGAAATTTTCCGATCATTTCCTTAAAATATTTCTTAAATGGCTGAAGGCAGAGAAAGTATGCTTTGTCGTGGCTATAATCTTGTGCTCTGCAATTATATTTGGCTTTCTCTGAAAGGTGGAAATCAAATTGAAGAATCGTAAAAATCCATATGAATGCATTGAAATTACGTTGAACATAATAAAAATTATTAATCATTATTAATAACAAAAATTCATATCGTTTTGTGAATGATTGTTTATAAAAATATATTGAAATTGTAGTGATTTTAAAATTCTCTATTGAATTTGATATTTAAAAGTATTTTTATGTTTGATTCCATTTATCATGCGTATCTTTCTCCAATGCTATTGAGGTACGTAAAGAGAGAATGATGAGGATTTGACGGGTATAAGTAAATGGTTAGGGCTGACCATTTGACCATAGTTCTGTTTTATAGGAGCAATGCTAGAAATTTTTGCTAAGGAATCACTTGGCAATAGATGGGTCGTTGTCACGAAGCAGATTTTCACTTATGTCAGAGACGGGAACGGAATATCTGATTCTCTCAACACGATAATTTGATAACATCGCGATATCCTTTTGTGGGCATTATAATAGATTTCAAAGGAGTGTATAACGAATGTCGGAGCTGGAGATGTCAAGAGACCGTAAATGTGGATTTACGACAGTTTTTCCCGTAAAATCTTCTGATTCGGCTGTGGCTATTTCATTTCGGAAGTTTCGTTATTTCCGTATTCCTATTTATTATTTATTTAATATTCCTTCAATTCCTATAGCATTCTTTCAATATATCCTCTTGAACTCGCAAGAACCATTATGCCATGGAATATATTATAAATGTTAATAAAAGAGGAAAAAGAGAGGAGAGATGGGCTGAACTCTTCAAGTGTTGTCCGACGATCATCGCAACTCATCTTCGAAGAATTATTCATCGTTCAGCAGAATTGTGGAAAAAACATACGAGTAGAGCAAAGCAATTGTTTTCGGAAATGAGACGTTTTGTGAGAATGATCAGGAGAAATTTCGAAACCCATCGTTGAGCTTAGTTGATGGAAGAGCTCCTGGATGACTTCCATTTTAACGTATGACATTGGATAAACAGGCCTCACTCGAATAAAGCTAGCCTAAACAGTGATGGTGCGAGATGTTGCAAAAAGGAAGGTGAAGCGGATATAGAGGGAAGAAGTATTGAGAAAATATATTGGAAACAGGTGATAATGTGGAAGTTTAATGGGAATTTATTGGTTGTAAAGCATTACAATGGTTTTAAGGACTGCTTGATTTTAGAGAATAAAACTGGAATGTGTTTGGAGTTAACAATTTTAAACTAGCTGGATCAATAGGTGAATAGATTTTTGTGCGCCAATTTTTTCATGCATCGATGTATATATTTGCACCTACAGGTTGCTTCTATGGGAGTAGAACCACAGCAACGCTGCATCATTTCACTTCTCGCGCTTATTCTCGTTTATAAACTAAAAATGTTATCTTTAGGGCTTTTTTCGCTATTTTTAGGAATAAACCACTCCAATTTAACTTTGAATCAAAATATATTTTCCCTTCGGTCCTTAAACCTTATCTTCATACAAGTAGTGAATATATTGAAATTCCTCTGTAGTTTTTTATATATTTTATGCACTTTAAAAAAGGTATTGCAGTTTTTCAAGCATCGTATTCATATCTATTTGGAGCATACGCAACATTTCTCTTCTCACGAACAGGTTTTTACTTTTTTTCATTCTTGATATTTTTTGTGATAAAGTCAGTAGTTTTTGTCCTTTAGTGTTACACATTCATTGAAATGAATACTTGTGAAAAGCCATAAGAGGGAAGCCATAACTGACAATTTTTCAAAATATTTATCTTCTTTGCATAAATAGTTTACGTTTAGTCTGGTCTAATGTTTTAGATTCTAGAACGGCTTAAAAAATAATCCAATTTTTTTTAAAGGATTCTTGACTTTCTTGTTTCCAATGTAAAATGAATTATAGGCTGTGCTTCAGCCTAATCCTCGAGCAACGAAATTACTTACAGGTACAGTAATTGCTCCAATCGTCGCTCACTCCATTTGCAATAATATGGGTCTACCATTGTTTGGACATATTAACAATTACTCAAAGAAGTCCACACGTTTAATATTTTGGTTGTCGTATATAGCTGGATTTGTAATTTGGATAAGTTTGTTAAACCCTTTAACTGATCAAAATCTTTACAAGTAATCTGTTCGACTCCAACTTTAAATTGGCTATTATCTACGAAAACGACCACAGTAAGTGTGGATTTGAATCACTCTTCATTTTTGACTTGTCTTTTGAATCACATTGTGTTTTTGTTTTTTAATAATAGAGATCAGTTAACACCAGTATTGTTATCCACAAAATTAAGATTGAAAATTCCAAGTTTTTAAAGAACTTGGCATGCACTACTGTATTTAGTATGCATACCAGCAACACTGTGTTCGGGTCAATTGCTTATAGCTTCGTTACGCACATAATCACCAAAATGTTAGCAACAGAATAAATGATTTAATATTAAATATCTATCAGGGCAGTTCAGCATCCATCATGGTAGGTAAATTTAAACGTATACAACAAATGCATTGCGGTTTATAATTCATATCTGGTTAGTTTTTGTTATATTCCAATATAAAGATGTAACTAGTTAACAAATATGATACAATGATTGTAACTAAAACCCGTCGCATTTTTAAATGGACCATTTTAGATTTTATTAAAAATAAAATTTCTTATTCAACATTTCTTTGTCAAAAAGAAACATGGCTTACCCCCCCCCCCCGTAAGACATTTGGCGACAGAAATACAGATGGTTCATCATCCGAATTTCGTTTAAACCTAACAAATATTGCAAATCTATTTCTCTACTACAGAGAATTTCTTAATAAACAATATCGTGACAACCTCTCAATCACCCAACAATGATAATAACTTAAAATCATTGTGCATCATTAGTGAGGTAAAATTTAGAAACCACTGCTTTACTGCATATTGTGTTTTTATAAGAAAAATATATGCACAATGAAAAAATCCAAAAATTTCAATTGTTATTTACATATGTAACCTTCTAATAACATTATACATATTGGCTATTTTCTCTTATTATACATACCATATGCGAAATTGCTTATCGCAAGTGCAATGAAATCAAATCTATACAGAAGGACAAAAAATATGCAAAACAAATTTCACACATCGCATGCACATAATAGAGAAAATATTTCAAGCCTAAGGTCAGTATGCATTTTCGAGCAGTGTTAAAAATAAAATATCGCATAACAAATACAAAAGTTTTTCACACGATAAAAGCAGGAAAAAATTGTGGATAAAATGAAATAAATAGTATAAAAGAAGACAAATGAAAAATAAGCGTTACACAAATCAGTTGGAGAAAAAAAGTTATAAAGATAAATACCGGAGCACAAAAGATCGCAGATATCTAAAAAAAATACTCAAATTCATATCACTCACTTTTTTTTATTAATAACGTCGTTAACAATCCAGATCCAAAATAAGCAAAATAATTTACATGCATGGATCCAGAAGTTAAAGAAGTGCATCTCTCTCATAAAAGGAACAAATAAAGCTTGGCACAAATGATATAAAATATATTTGTAAAATTTAGTAGTATTAGGACCACTAATATTTTTCAAACTAATTTAATCCTAACAGCTTATAATAAAAGAACAAAGGATATTTTATAAAACCACATGGATCGATCGTGCGAAGACCAAACACAAAGAAAATAGGTTGGGTAATTCGAGGAAAGATTAAAGGTAAAAACCCGAAGTGAAAGACTAATGTAAGCGACAGTTGGATGTTCACCTAAGCTATACGATGATACCATAAAATTGATCAAAAATTTAATAAAAAGGAAGAGAATAGAGTAAGATCGTTACGTACATCATTAATCTTCGTTTTAAAGGATTTGGAAGTTTTAAAATTGATTTGCTTTCCTCTACTATCACACATAACGTCAAATGTGTTATTTTATACTTATGCTAATAATATATAGACAAAATTTTCAATATAAATCAGAAACGGTACAGCGGTCCTTTCCATGCCGAACATTTAGCATTTTTTTAAAAGGACGCTTACCATATCTGATTAGGCGCATTCTACTGGCTTGTCGGACTCGACAAATTTTGCCAGAGAATCAATTGGCGATAAAAATACAGGTGAGTCGCCAGCATCACCCGCCTAGCATTGAAAAGGTATATTTACAATATTAGAATAGTTAAGAATTTAAAAAAATTATATGACCTAGATAATAAAATTTAAGAATTATTAGGAAGACTACTCACTTAGAAAACGCTCATATAAGATTGCTCGAACATAATGTATATTAGAACATAAAGCCTTAAAGACGATAAAACGAGGCGTTGTAAAGTCATCCTAATTGGTTAACAGATTCGACACAATAAAGCAGCAACTACAAGTAAAACAGATGAAAAGAACAAATCAAATAAGAAAGTTAATCCACAATATTAACTAAGAAAAACAGTACTCCAATAAAAATTCAAAAAACTTTTCAATGAATATTATCATGAAAAAAATTACTGAACCGTACATATTCCAATGCATTATTTAATCCATGGAATAACCCTCTGAGAAGCATCGACAATTAAATAAGGGAAAAATCATTTGCTGCTCAAAAATCATGTTGACTATTGTGACGTTTTTGTTTGATTTGAAGGGATGAACGTGACCGACTCGGTAAACACGGCTCCGTGGTGGTATCCCAGTGAAGTTGGTTCGTTTTCACTGCATCTTTTTGAACTGCCTTCAGCTCCTTAAAATAAAAGTTATAAAAAAGGCGTTTTTTTAAGTGGGTAATATGAATTCAAAATTCATCGCTAGTGAGAACAAAAAATGAAAAATGCATCCAGTAGACAATATTACCACCGACTGATGCGATCAAAGCTTATAAAAAATGCAAAGATGGACTGGCGTGCACAGTGTGTAAAAAAAATGTGCATAAACAAAAGCATCAGTTCGACGTACCAAAAAATGCGAGTTGGTGCTTGTTATTGAAGCTTTTGGTAAAACGCCAATACCTTTAATAATTATTGGTAAAAACCTATTTTTGTCCTACAAAAACAGAAAAAACTAAAGTTCTGAGAAGTGACTTATTTACCCTTTTACCTCTACTACTGAATCACTTCACTTCTGTTCCTTAGAGAGTAATGGATTTGAAGAAAAGATTAATTTTTAAAAATATTAATAAAAAGAAATACAACCAATAAATATATCTACCAAAGTTCTTTAAATTTGGTGGGTTAAAAAAATTAGCTCTATAAAAAAATCCATCACATTTTTAATCAACAAATTTAAGCAACGAAAAATCCCATGTAATAAAAAAAATAACCAAAAATCTAGGCAAATTTATGAATTAAAATATAGCGATATCATAAATCTTCTGAACTAAAAGAAATTTTCTTTCTTGTTGAAAAAATCGAAAACTGTATCGATAACAATAAGATAAAAAGCTTCATCGAAAGAAAAAGGCTAAGAAATGCAAGTAATTAGTAGCATGTTAAGCATTTGCAACATCAACATGCCACACATTATAAATTACAGAGGATAATAAAATCAAAGAAATATTGTAATTATAAGCAAGAAATACCATCAGATCCTTTACTGTGTGAACTCAATGGGCGAGATTTTGATTGCATCAATTCGATTTCACGACGAGATGTATTTGTTAACTGGTGAACACCGTGCAAGTTCGTAGTCGTAGAACTGGTCGATCTCATAATTGGATTAATTAATTGTCGAACCTCAAATATAAAAGAAAAACATAACATATCTTCACATTATTTTAAGCAATTAATGAAGTAAAACAATCGAGAATATCAAGCAGCAACAAATGAAAATAACTCAAGCAAAGAAATAGCAAAAAACCTTATCTGCTGCCCCACTTCCTAATGAAGAACTGCTAGTGACATGCGAAGGATTTGAATTTTTCAAATCAATAAGATTTTGCAGTTCCAATCCCGCTCCAGGACCCATATGAACGATATGAACAAAATCAGATGGGCCACTAATCGGTAACTGACTGCGACGATCACCACTCCTAAATGCCGAATTATTGAAAAGGCAGAAATTTTTTATTATTCGGAATTAATAAATGGAAAGAAGTTCTAGTTTTTTTCTTTACTTACTGATCTCTAAATAAAAGTTAAATTTTCAAAATATAAGATTAAAGATGGAAAACAAAAAGCCTAAAATTTTCCAAAGAGCTGGAAAGAAAATTTTAACTGAAGCAATAAAAAAGTGGCTTATAAAAGTTAAGAAATTTCTATTCTTAATTATTCCAAATTTCTATTCCTAATTTAAATTCACGGCAAAATGAAACGCAATATTTACCTGCCGTAACGATCATCTTCACGTGGTGTCTTCATCGAGAATTTTCTCCTTCTCTTTGCAGTAATACCTTTTATCAGAGAACTAGATGATGGAATATTGGCAATGGAAGGTTGAGTCCAATCAGGTAAACTTAACACGTCTTCATCTAGAATTTACAATTTTGAAAAAAATTAGCAATGAAACAACAAAAAAGTGAAAATATAAGCCAAAATTTTCGCTAAAAATAGCAATGCAAAAAAATAAAAATTACCTGAAAGAACATCGGATAAAAGCACAACGTACGGTAAATCATTAATTACACAGACGGTTAAACGGCCATCACTTGTGAGAGGAGAAGCCTGAAATTTAAATAACAAAATCACAAATAAAAATGCAGTTTATCAACAATTTAACTATAAAATATTGAAATAAAAACCTTTCGCAAATTGATTGTCTGTACCCACTCTGCACTATTAACATTAAAAACATCGATTTCATTTTCAGAATAAACACAAAGATGAGGCATTATACAAGAGAATCCTCCAGAACTTGCTTCAGATGGAAACATTAGCTCCTGCGAACGACATCGTCTACCTAAATAAAGTACAAGGTAAAAATAAAGACATCAAAGTAAAAATTACGAGTACTTCTGTTTAAACATTTTTATGCATTTTTATTCCAAAATGTCAAACCGATTTAAGGCATTTATAAAAGGTACTTATTTATTACCAATAAGATACTTAATTTTGTGCCATAAAATAGTAATAATATTTATTTATTTTTACTCAAAATAATAATAATTTATATGCAAAAAATACCTTGTGCATCAACGTAAACTCCCAAACGTGAAAAAATGAGCAAGAATTCTTTCTGTTCATAGCCACTCACATTAATTATTAAATGTGCATCATATAACGTTTGGTTCAAAAATTGTAAAGAAGCATCTTCTAAGTTGACAAGAGCTGCAAAAAGTAAGATGTAAAAAATACGGAAAGGAAAATAAAGGGCATAAAAATGCGCCATACCTGTCGTTGAATTATCCGCAAGATCCCACATACGAAATCCAGAAGGATATCCTACGCATAATTTGCCACGCATTATCGAAATCGTTTGTGGATGACCTGGCATTGCTAGGTCTCTAACTTTTCTATGGCGTTTTTCACTTCGATCAATCTGATAAACCAACACCTAAAAGATAACAGATAATAAAACACATAAATTGACAAATTAGAAAAACTGAATTGTACAAACCGTTTTCTTTACTGCAACACAAAAATAATTGTGCGGATCGTTGGAACTACCGGCTCCCAAAGTCAATAAATGACATCCTTTAGTATCTGCTACTTTAATCCATTTCAAATCACGACCATCAAGAGCTGCTGTCGGTATTAAACGAATATGACGTTCCTTTACTACACCAACCATCGCAACAAACAACTAAAACCCAAAATTAAATGATCTTGAAAGAATATTTTGATCAGCTAGTGGAATTCTCAGTTTATTTGAAGCTTCTGCGATTTAGCTCCAGATCATTGGTCAAATCATGATCAAATGAAGATTCAAGAGTAAAAAAAGTTAGGACCTGTTCATCAGCGTTATATTCTATTTGTTCAACAGTTCGTTTATTATTTTCTCTTTCACCACCAATAGGCACCAAAATCTATAATTTTAAATTATAATTTTAAAATTTTTTAAAAATACGATTACATATACGATTACGATTAAGCATATCTCCTTTTTGATATCTCCTTATTCTACCGCGACTTATTTTTTAGTTCTTTTTCACTCACTATATTATATTGTGGTCCTTTTTATCAAGAAATATTACTCAAGCTCTTAAGACAGAGATTTCGGCGGTCTTTAAAAAACCAGAATATGTTTTGCCGCAAAATAAGGAAAGTCGTTGGATGAATGAATAAAAAAAAAACATATAACACCTCACCTCACGGTCCAGATCGATGGCATAAAGACCATAGTCTGCAAATCCCATAACAATTTTGCTCTTATCTAGTACAGTTGCACATTGTGCATTACGCAGTTCTCGAAACGTTAATGAATCAAAAACTTCCTAAAAAAACTTATAAATTTAAAATTCAATAAAATTCTCGAATTATTCATCGCAATCTTATAAAATCTTATAAACTTTACAGAGAAAATTGCTCACGAAACAAAAAAAAGTTCCTGAAACCGAAATTTACACAAAAAAACAAAAAGTAAACTGGCAAAACAGGATATAAGTAAATAATAATAGGTAAAATTTCCTTTTATTATTCGTTCCAGGATATTCGTTTACTTATTGCCTCATAAAGTAAGAGAAAGCCATTCTGGTGCGCCATTTTTAACTTAAAAGTAACAGCCAACTTCAGTTTTAATTCAAAATCCCCAAATTTTGCGATTATGGGCTTAAAAAAATAACCTTAACCAAGAAAGCACTCTTGTCAACCAGTTTAGATTTCCGTAAAAGATTTTTTAATTCATTCAGAGCTATCACCCATTTCGTTTTTTCCTGAAAAGTTAAACTATTTGTAATGAAAATTGGTGTAGTTTAATTTGATAATCAGTTAGAAACTAGAAAATTGTTAGGATAATCATGCAAAATAGTATGCAACTGATTGCATTCATCTGTTCAACAATTGACAAACAAGATTTACTTCGTGGTTATCTGCCATTAATAATGTATACTGCCTAGCTATAGGCGTATCGGAGCCAGCACTACCATTACTTGAATTAGAACCCGTGGTGTTTACAGTTACAGTTGGCAGCATACTATGAATCTGACTAGTTGTAACGCGAAATATCTTTGGTAAATCAGATTTAGAAGCGTGGATTACATCGGATTCTATAACACTAGACACATTGAAATCAGGATCCCTCATATCCAAAACCTAAAATCGAATCCATCATGTTCAAATACTTGCAGGAAAAAAATGGTTATAAGAAATTATTTAGGAAAATTTCAAAAATAAAATAGAACAATTTAGCATCAAATATTACTTTCAAAATAATCTGCAATTTTTCAATTAAATGATTATACAAATCTGATCTTTTTATGTAAAAAACAAAAAATACCTGACGTATCATTGGATGAATATCGATTGCCTTCCCATGTTTATCTATATTGCAGTCATATAAGTACAACTTGAAATCACACACAACAACATAAGTAGACTGCCATCCTCGCTTGACTCCAGCAGGTTTTGGCGTTTTCACTAGACCTAAAATGCATTTGCCACAACAAACCACTCAAAATATCCAAAAAATTAAACATGAAATTTACTGAACAAAATGAGACAAGCGAGTGAGCGAACCCTCATAAGCAGTTCCAACGCCTTTCTGTGGATCAATGCCCAGTGGACGACGAGCCTCAGGTGGCACAGGACAAGAAGTGGGTACTTTTGGCGCACAGTGCACATGACACGCATATTGACAATCTTGACAGAAAAGGCCTAAAAATATTTTATGACTCATGAAAATTCGTTTTCTTATGCAAAATCCCGAAAATCAGATAAGAAACCAACCCTGCCTGTCCAAACCGATTAAAATAGAAGTACAATGAGCACATTTCGAAGGGGTCTGTAGATGAACATGAGAAAAACGATGACCTTTACCATTCAGTGCGTTATTCAATGACTGAATTACCTAAGAAATTAAAATCGAAATAAAATCGTAGCACAAAAGAAATACTCGTAAACAATGACTAAAAATAAAGAATATTAAACTGTCGCAATCCGTACGATAAATATGCTGCATTGGTATTTTACGTGCATACGTAAAAAAATTCATCAACTTCCACCAAAAATGGCAAAATTTTCGAAATTCTTTCCATACCCTGTTAAGAAGTATTCTCAGTCCTAGATTCGCTTATTACTCTCTTTGATCTCTTCCACTCTCGCAATACCACCTTATCTTGATCAGTAATAACCTTTTAGATTAGCCTAAGTTTTCAAACTGTAAATTGGCGCCTCTCAAAGCTCCACTTTATTAATGATCCTCTTAGGTTAAATGAATTTCGCTGAGCAATGATCCATCAATAATATTACCATAAATCTCCTTATACGAACTGATGAACCATACTCCTATTCAATGTGACTTTGTAGTTAAACAGTTACAGCGATAACGGAATCAACCAAACCAAAAATGGTAAGTGTTGTTGGAAAAAAACCGATACGAACTAAACAGCTGCGAAAGAAACTACCTTTGGGCTAGCTCCTCGACCTTGCGTACCCAAAACCAAGGTCGACGCAGTACTTGGAGTAGGTGTACCAACATGAGCATTCTCATATGTCGCAGATGAATGTGACGTACTTGCACTGAAATTTAAAAAGTATAGAAAAATTTTAGCATTTAAATCAATTATATTCAATTTCTATCAAAAATAAAATCATTTTCAATGAACGGTATATTTTATTTCTAATACTGATATTAAAAAGATTTCCTCAACAGAATATTCTGAGATCTTTCAAATTTCATAACAGAAATTTACGGAATCAGGCAATTATTGAATGCTAATATATCCTATTTGGATAACTATTTATAACTCTAAAACACAAAACGTCAACGTAAAAAAAGTGAAGACATGTGACACTGAGGTGAAGCTACAAGTGTGTTAAAAAAATACAAACAAGTTCAAAATAATGGCACCAAAAAATTGTAATAAAAAGTGGAATATTTGCCATTTTAAAAATGTATTTTAAAAATGTAAATGTAAAATGTAAAAATGTAAATGTAAATGTATTTATTTTACATCTTTGAGAAGATAATCCATAGAATATAAATGGGAATAAAAGATTTCAAGAGCAATTAAATATTACACAATACTGCAAGTAAGGAAAAAAGAAATATTACCAGATGATTGCAGCAAAGCAATTCCCAATTCTAAAGAAAGGTAATAGGATATACCACAATTATCGAGGAATCAGCCTACTAGACGTCTCAGTGAAAATTTTTACTTCTTTTTTACTCAACAGATTTACGGCAATACGGGACAGCAGGATGTGCCCTAATCAAGCTAAATTCAGATCAGGGCGCGATTGTACTGACCAGACATTCACGTTAAGAATGGTGTTGGAACATTGCTTCAGATATATCAGATAACCCACTGTCACGTGTTTCACCGACTTTGCGGCTGCCTTTGATTTAATTGATAGAGCGGCGCTTTGGAGAGTAATGGAACGCGACGGTGTTCCACAGAAGATCACTCGACTCGTAAAGGAATTTTATGAGTATACGTAGGCGCAGGACTGTGTATATGGGGAACTGATAGACTTTTTCGAAATAAGAACTGGTGTCCATCAAGGTTGTGTCCTTTCCCCACAATATTCAACTATGCGATAGACTGGATAATGGATACTGCTTGTCGGTACTCAAGAGGTATCCGAATTAGTCCAGAGCATCGTATCACAGATCTTAAATACGCTGATAATCCAGTCCTTTTTGCTGACAGTTATAATGAAATGCAAGTAATGCACACTTTATTTAACGTGTCAGCAACTGCATCAAGAATCGGACTGAGGGTCAATGTAAATGAAAGCCTTTTCGTATTATGTGCAAGAAACTGATAAAGTGCCACTTTTTATAAATTCATTGCCGGCTGAGGAAGAGCCCGATTTTAAATACCTTAGATCTACTCTAATACCAAATGGCCAGGCAAAAGACGATATTATAGCCCGGATCACGGCAGCTGGAAATGCGTTCTTCTGGAACCTTGACGAAACCTTTATGGAGTCGTCGTGAAATCACCATAAAAATGAAAGTCCGCATCTATATAACCGTGATCCGTTCGATCTTGCTATATGGTTCTAAGACATGGCCAATGAGAGTGGAGGATATTAAGAAGTTATCTGTCTTTGACCACTCTTGTCTAAGGTACATATTACGGATCCGTAGAGCGGATAAGATATCACATGGTCGCATCCACCTTCGTTCAAATACCACTTGCATAAATAATGTTGTCACAGAGCGTCGCCTTCGCTGGTTAGGGCACATTTCCGTCGTCTACCACAGAAGTTGACGCATATTTCGTTACTTGCTAAACCGTTTGATGGTTCGTGTCAAAAGCGAGGTAGGCCAATCAAGATTTGGACTGATACTATCAAAAAAGATTTTGAATGTATATAAGTGGACCAGCAATATATGGACTTAGACGATGGAAAAAGGAATGGCTTTTATTACTATCGACGATGGCATCAGATCGCGTCGCCTGGAAGCAGCGTAGTAGCCGCTAGAACCAGCCTAACCAGTAATGGTGAGAGCTGTTAGAAGAAAACTGCAGTTTCTTAGGAAGGGTGGGTTATAATGGTTAACGACATTGGAAATAACGCTAACTGTATGTTAGATCTAAGAAAAATTTGACGAAATTAACATAGTACAAGGGCATTTAAAATGTTTCTTTTAAAATGTTTCTATAAAACTTCAAGAATATAGCTGTATTAGAGGGGGCATTAAAGAGCATAAAAGATTTAAGATCATGCAGTATCACAGTAAATTCTAGGAAAGTTGTCAGTGGACCATAATTATGTCCAAATGGGTTAAGGTAAATAAGGGTTTTGAATAATGAAGCAATATCAAAAAAAAACAAGTCTGATGGAATCTTGAAAGAACACAAGTTTCGAGAAATGTTAAAAGAACTACGATAGATTTCTAATTATTATACTAACTACCACATTTCTCCATTGTACAAAAAGAGATATAGTAACCTATTTAATTTGAAAAATGAATATGTTCAAGGTTCTCTACGAGATTTTTAGCATTATAAAGCAACTTCACGATTGAAACTACATATGAAAAAGTTACACTTGAATAAATAACAAAAGAAAAAGAGCGATCCACACAGCCGCCTATCTCGGAAATAATTGTCTGTATGTATTACTTTTATATGAACATAAAAGTGATGAATCTAAAAGCGTTACTCTAAAGCTAAACGTAAAAGTTCGATACAAATATTTATGTTAAACTGAATGAATATTTCACACTGAATATTATCAATCTTGAGTAGTCTGGTTACCTTAAATTTGGTTTACATTTATGAGTTTTCTGGGTCGTCGAAATGAAAAGGTATGTGAAAATTGAGCGGAGTTATTAGTTTTTCATATTTTTTTTATAATTATAATTTTTTCATGTGTAATTAATTTGCAATGTAATTTCTCCACTATGCGATTCAGTGAATTTTCATATTATTTTCTTACTATGGAATATATCTATTTTATAATGTAACTTTTCTTTTCTTTCTTGCATATTATTTTTTTAATTCCTGTTGTTAGTATAATCCTCTGTGTTCTTGAATAAATTTGCCAAAAAAATAGGCATTGTTTTAAGAAGTGTTTTATTTTCATTTTAACCAAAACTCTAGATAATACGGCAGCTCAAACCTTGTGAACGACTGTTGTTTGAGTAATTGATTGTGACGCGATAAAGAAGAATTCGAAATTTCGTAAAGAGTATTTGCAGTTAAAATTGGTACATCACAACAGTCGCGTAACAACGGCGTAGATCGCCCTGAAAGCCACAAATCCATAATTGTCAATATTTTTAGACACTAAACGCAAGCTAAGACATTAATTACCAATCACTGTTTGTCGTTCAGTACTAGTGTCACCAACGACATTAAAGAAAGAACTACTGTCCATATAATCAGAACACTGAGCCATGAGAAGCCGCGACATTTGTTGTTTATCATGGTTTAATCTATCAATTTCACGACTTTGAGCAGCCACCTACAAAAAATAAACTGAAAAAATCTGCTGATCACATCTTATCAACCAAGAAATAAAAATTCACTTTAAGAGATATGAGCTATTAAAATAATATACTTTCTTATCCGCCTCATCCAGCCGCTGCTTTGTAGCCAAGTATGCGGAACGTATATTTTTTAGCTCGTCAAGTAACTGTTGTTTTGCTCGAATTTCCGACTGCAAAGCCTGTTGTGCTTCAAGGAGTTCAATCTTTGTTTGCTTATTTACACGTCGAGAACTCCACCCTCCACGCTCAGATGGCTGACTTGACATTGGCGACACGCCTAAAAAGCCATTTAATCTTTTAGCTTAAAATACTTAAAATTTTGAATTTCGAAACTCCTAAAACTTCCACTTTTTTTTCTATTGAAATGACATACGGTAGACCATTATGCATGCATTAGAATGCAACCTTTGAAAAAGCAAAATCATAGACGAGAAATCGTTACCGTTAGAGTAAACAGGCCCGCCGTTACTAGAAGATTGCAGCATTTTAAGCGATTCTACATCCCCATACAACCGAGCAGCCAAATTCTGAACAAAAATAAAAAATGAAAAACAAAAAAAAAATGAACAACAAATGAACAAAATGAACAAATGAACAAGCGACAAAAAAACTAAAAAAATAACTTGAAGAGAATCTCGAGCATCTTTTTCATCATTTACCCACTGCAGCAACTCCTGTAGTTGGTTTTCAGTGAGGCCACAAGCAACCGGAAAAGGCAATGAAGAAATTCGAGAATTTCTATAAAAAAATGAAAAATATATGATACAACTTTTTGACAAAATAATAGTCCAGTAAAAATTTACATAAAAATCCCTAAAAAAATCAACAGTTACAATGAAATTAATTTACATTTCAGATTCGAACCGAGAAATCTCTTTTCTCAGTTCTTCATTTTCAGCTGCAATTCGCAGATTTTCTTCTTCAAGAAGCTTTTGTTTACGTTCATAAAGATTCTAAAAAATGTATTTAAGTGTTTCTCAATTATACAAAAATTCATGAATTCTCGTTAAATAAAAATAAAAAAATTGACAATGTTATAATAAAATATAGTGGATTTGTGAAGGAAATGAGGGAAGCCAAGTGCTGCATAAAAACTTCCTTAAAAACTCTCTTACCTCAATATTTACAATCTGTTCTTCGTGTTTCGTACGCCATTCTGCCTTTTCTTCATTATGACGTTCTTTCAATTTGCCTAAGTCCATTTGCTGTTTGTTGATATTATTTTGCAATTCAGCCACTTGTAACTATATTGAAATTTACAGAATAAAAAAATGATTTGATTGAATAAAATTTTTTCCTTTTCTCATGAACCAGATTTTAATAAAAATGGAGAAAATAAAAGTTATAAGTTTTCCAAAAAACTTTTCAGTAAATTTACCTGCCAATATTCAACGATTTGCTGACGCTTTTTTTCTTCTACCTCAACCACTTCAGAATATCTCATGTTAAGTTTTTGCAATTCGACTGATAAACGATCAACCTCATCATTACCACTTTTAGCATCTTGAGACGCAAGTTTGGTCTGAAGAGTTTCGCGCAAAAGGCGTTCACTAGCTAGATCTTGTTGAATACGATCAATTAATGTCGCTGCATCTTGACGAGCTGAAAAAAATTTCAGAAACTATTAATTTCTATTAATTTATCTAATTAATTATCTATTTATCTAATTATCTATTAATTTCTTGGCGATTTAATTCACTTTAATGATGATCAGTGAGAAAAAAAATTCCCAAAAGAAATTTCAAAAATTTCATTTCAAATTTCAAAAGAAATGATTATTTTAACATGATTACTTGAACAACAAAAAGAAACTGTTTTCCAAAATATTCAAATAGTATGATTTCTTTCTTACTACCATAAACTAACCAAAATGAAAACTGAAAATATAAATGAAACCAATTACATCACAAAAAAACTTACCACTGTCTGACTTTCGTAATTCATTTTTTATGGCATCGAGCTTTTGCTGCATTTGATGACATTCATTTTCACGATCAACCGCTTGCTTTTCAAGTTGTTTGCAGCGATCCCGTTCATCAAGTAAAGCTGTATTCAGCTAGAAATATTAAATCTTATTCGCTCTCGAGTTAAAAAAGTTTCAATATCTGAATGACTTAAGAAAAAACGGCGAATCTAAACTAATTATTTCAATGCTTCAATAAAAAAACCAACTTCATCGTAATCCTGTTTTGCGAGATCCCTGTGCTTAATAGCTTCTTTCAGTTCTCTTGTCTGAATCGTCAAACGCTCAGATGTTTCTTCGAGATCCTGAAGCAAAAAAAAAATTAATATTAAAAAATTAAACAAGAAAATTCTACATACCCACTAGAAGAAGTGATTAGCATAAGCAAAATCATGATACTGAATCCATTCAAGTTGTAAACTCAATTCATTCAATGCAGAATTTGTGGCTACAGCACTAATTTTTTGTTTTATTCCCAGAAAATGAAACATGCGCAAGATTTTTTTCCTTAAAGACCATTTTTTAAGAACAACGAACGCTTAAGCTGAAAAATTGCAGAATCTACTCCGCAAAAATAGTCCAGTAAAAGGATGATGGGTAGTCCAATTAGAACAACCACTGGAATATGGATTTCGAAAATAAATTCATTAAGACATTTTGGCTTATAACCATATCCATATATCCCTTCTTTTAATCTTTTTGATTACTTTAAATTTTGTTTCAGACTGATCTAACTAAACATTTTTGAATAGAAAATGACTAAGAAAAATTTTTAAAAAATAGGAAAGAAGAAAATATTGTAATATGTAGCAAGTTAGTTATAGTGTTATGCAAATTAGTATACTTAATTTCATAGATGAGTTAAGGTAGGATGAAAGATGGGAAAGAAAAAAGAGGGGAAAGAAATCTTCAAATAGAGAGCAAATGGAACCTCGTTGATGAATTGGAACTCCTGCAAACCAAATGCCTTTCATAATATAAGAGAAGGAATAAAAGACAGAAAGCGAAATGGGAAAAAAATTTATATTATTTGATATGGTACTTGCAAAAAACTTCATTCATTCTTCATTCTTTAGAGGATAATAATTGTGGGATTTGTCACGTCCTCAGAATTTTAATTTGAAACATAGATGAACTCATAGACTTTAATCACTCGCGCAGAAAAATACAAGAAAAATATACTGGCTATTTGCTATTACATTCTAAAACACAAAGCATATTTGCATAGATTTACAATGAGTTCAAAAAGGAATGAAAATTAAATTACTTTCAATACTCCGCCATATTGTTAATATTTTCAAATAGGATAATCCTACAATTAAATTAATTCTACATATATGCGCCCGACTAACCCTCTGAAGATCTTGTTTATCCAAAATCAACTGTCTGTTTTTTTCCTTTATTTCCTTTATTTTTCGTTCTAACTCTTCGATATTAGCTTCTTTATTTGATCTTGAAGATGTATTACATTCGTCTGATAACCGCTTTTTTAAAATCTGAAAAGTAAAAAATTACATGGAGAAATAAAACGGTATGTCATATATCGCTCGAATAATTTTTTTACCTTCCAGATATCACACTATATTTATTGTTTCAAATATTTAAGGCAAATTTTGGTGGTAATAACCAATGGTACAAACTATTTTTTAATCACTTTGAATATGCAAATTTCAATCCTATAATTATGTGATAGTCGCTCCTTGTCGAAGAGCCACTTACACACCAAGCTGTCTATTCCGACGCTCATGTTACTCTTGACGTGTTAACTAACAGTTCATCACAAAACAGTAGAAGCTCTCAAGGCCCAAAATGATCAACATCCATGAAAAAAAAAAACAGATAATTCAGTCGTCTACGTAGTCATATCAATATCTTGGCCGTGGGACCTTAAGGGATCGCACGGTGATTGTCCAGGTCATACTGCTCCCACCCACACACTGTAAAACATAGTACTGAAATCGTTTGCCCAACCGAGATCCCTTTGGCATTTTCAGGACCACCTACAGCTATTATTGTACAACAACAGCAGCAAATCTAGTTACATGCTAAATTTTGTGATGCACTGCACAAAAATAAAGACTTCCTCGGAATACTTGAAATTTTACTACCGAACAGGGCATCAAACCAAGAGATCTGGAAACGCATCGACCTTACAACTAGTGGAACGAACCAAATCAGTGCAAGCGCGCAATTAGAAGAAGACCTGGATTTCATCCTTCAGTTGTGCAATTGTTTGCTCATATTTACAATTATTAAGCATAGCAGCTTCTCCTCCAGGTGTTGAACCGTGAAATCTTGTCTGAATTATACGATTCGCCTCTGTAAAGCATTCTTTGATAAAAAAAATGATGAAAAAACTTTTTAAAAAGTTAAAGACATGTTCATGAGCTCGATTCTCCCTTTTTTCTTTTCTTTTTTTTCCTTGGACTGAATTTCCTACCTTCAAATTTTCGGGCTAATTCAATTTTTTCTTGTTCCAATTTTTGCAAGCGTCTTTCGTAAGCTTCGGTTGTTAGCGCCGGTAAAGATTCACCGCTTGAATAAAGTCCATTCATCGACAAACATTTATGATCCGACAAGACACTAAAATAAAGATAAAAAAGATAATAAAGAAAATAACAGAATTGCAAAAAGATTTGAACGAAAACGACTCGAAACAACGTAATGATATAAATGAACAAAAAATAAAATGAACCTGTCGTGGGTATATGTGAATCCAATAAAAGGCAGATGATGGCCAGTGAAAGGTGCTGTGACATTAGGTGGTTTAGTATTCTAAAATAATTTTTGTATAAAAAGAACGAACATGAATCAATACTATATAAAGCAATAACCAGCATAATTTAATTTAATGTTTAATTTAATGTTTATTCTCCCTATTCCTTCAGAAAAGAGAGAGGAACATTAGGAAAAAATTAACGGATAGCAAAACGGAAAACAATTACGCAAGGAGTAAAATCTGGATAACATGCTTCCACATCAAAATTAGATGTATCAGTTGGACTTGAAACTTCGGGTCTATATGGTGCATCCACTAAAATAATGCCATAATTAAACATAGAAGGTTTCAAGCTAAAAAAACACTAAAACATTGAAAGAAAACTCAGTTTTTTTTGAGAAATAATGAAAAGCAGCAAAGACTGAAGTTTATTATTATCAAAATCTAAAGCAAAGCAAAGAATATACATCAAAATTCAAGAAATATAAAAATCCAATTAAATTACCTTCTCTAATGGTTTCCCAATCGATTCCTTTGAAAAATGAATGGGAAGCGAAATCGCTAAAGCCATTTTGACCAAGTCGCGATTCTCGAGGACATATTAAGCGTTTCATTAAATCTTTTGCTTCCTCTGATATGTCGACATCATCAGGAAAATCCAACATTTCCTGAAGAAATTTGAAAAAAAATTAAAAGAATTCCAAAAAGGACAAAATTCTCAGAAAAAACTGTTTTTTGTGCAAGTAAAAAATGAAAAAGAAAAAATTACTTGATGACTCATTATTTTACCATATGTATCAACCAAACTTTCAGCATAGAAAGGTGCAACTCCATACAACATTTCATACATACAAACTCCAAGAGACCACCAATCACATTCAGCACCATATCTGCCACGCCCATCCTCCATTGCCTTGAAATTACATAAATTTTTAATCAAACTGGGTACCTATAGCAAAGTCCAGCAAAAAATAAAGATATCTTACACGCAGAATTTCTGGAGATATATAATCAGGAGTACCAACAGCGACATTTGAATGCACTGTCCCATCGGGAAGTAGTTTCAAACAACTACCGAAATCTGCTAATCTTATATGCCCGTTAATATCAAGTAAAACATTGTCTGGCTTTATGTCTCTGCAATGCATCCAATTTGAAACAATAAAATTACCACAGTAGCTCAATAAAATTTCATTCAAAACTCACAACAAATATTAAAATATAAATATATGCTAATTTGATACTTTTTGAAATACAAAAATGTTTTCTTGTCAAATTTAATTTAATTTTAGCGTACCTATGAACATAACCCAAACGATGAACAGAATCGATAGCAAGAACCATTTCAGCTATATAAAACCTTGCCATATCTTCCGGAATTCGTACTTCGAATTTCGACAATAATGTTAATAAATCACCACCAACATAATAGTCCATTATAAGATACTAAAAAAACACCGGTCAATCTCGACTACTTCAAAACAATTTCTAATGGAAAAGAAAAGATAGCTACCAAATTTCGCTCATCTTGAAACCCATAATGGAGATTTGTAATCCATCGTCGATCACCATGAACCAGTACATCACGTTCTTCTTTAAAACACGCCGTATCTGCTCGTTTTAGCATTTCCCACTTGTTCAATATTTTCATTGCATATATCTTAAACATAAATTCGATGTTAAAAATTTCTGAACGATAAATACTTCAAAGTTTTTCTGAAAGCACAGTGGAACCTGGAAAGTTGAAATAACTGAAACTTATCGATCACTGAAAACAGTATGAAATTTGAGAAATGTGCGAAACAAACCAACATTTTCAGTATTTTTCATTCGTACAACAGCAACCTCTCCAAAAGCTCCACGACCAATCACTTTCAATACTTCAAAATCTTCGCGACATAATCTTAGTGCTTTTGCTTTAACAATTATTGGCTTTACTAAAATAAACATACATTACACCTTAAATCCAAAAAAAAAAAAATCAAAACAAAGAACTGCATTGAAATACCAGTTTAAACAATTTTATTAAAATATTCATAATGTAAAGCAAGATAGTCACTACGATCACCAAAGAGTATTATAATAGCCATATCTGGTTTAACTGGCTTCACTGTAAGCAATGATGTCCTTTCACTTGAGAATTGAAATTTTTTAAAATAAATGATGAGTGATTTGATCACATCAATAAGCTTAAAACTTACAAAATTCAACAAAATCGGCGATATTTTTCTCCTTTCTTAGTGTCGAATTAGAACATTCATCATAAAGGCATATAATGGCATCGAGTAATGTTTCTATCGACAAAACATCATTGTGTTCAGTAACATTCAAATAATTTTGTTCGAGCTGTTTTAGCCGATTTGAACCACATTCACGTAACGACATTATTTTCTTTACTTACTTTACTTGGATTCGTGCTAAAAAAAAATTAAAATTTTTAAAATTTCTATTAAAAGAAACAAAATTCTTGCAATATTTATAACACCTTAGTTATAATTACTTTCTTCTTTATTTAACTATTTTTCATTACTTTTTTCATTGTTACTACTTATATATTTTATATTTTCATTTTGAGCAATTTTGAAAAATAAAATTTTTCAAAATATTTCTATAATTTCCGAAAAATTGATATATGAAAAAAATGAAAAGAATTCAAGAAAAAAACGGCCAAATATCAAGGAAATAGAAGAAATCAAGTTATTATTTACAATAAATCTATCAATTTATAATCACTGCAATTTTAATTTTTCAGTAAAATTTTTTCTTTAACTTTTTTTTAAAAAACGGGGAAAAAAGTTATTTTCGAATGTTAACAATCATATCATAAAATGGATTTTTTTAAAAACACTTTATCATATAATTTTAAAAAGAAAATTAAAGAATCAATCACAAGAAATGAATAGGAAAAAATATTTAACAAGTGAATGACCCAACGAGAAATTGAAAGAACTGTTCTCGAAAACATTTCGCCTTTTTCTTTTCTTTCTTTCAATTTTTTCAAAAAAATACCATTCTCAATTTAAAAAAAAATAAAAAATAAACAAAAAAGAAGAATGAATATGAAAGTAATTCTCGGAACAACATTTCTTCACCATACTTTTCCTCAAAAATTTTCTACACTCTTTTTTATCCTTCATTTTCTCTTTCTTTTTATTCTTTTTTTCCATTAATTTTTGCACTTTTTTCATCTTTTGCTTATTTAAAAATGTAAAAAATAACTGTGTTAAAAAAGGGAAAAAACAACTAAAAAATTAGCTCAACGGTAATGAAAGCAGTATACATTGATCGATTCCATATACTATAAACCATAAAGATCAAAGAGATGACGGGAATAATAGAGGACATCAGACGAATAACGTTAACTGATGATTATAATTAAACAGTACAAACTGACGAGTGATTATTTTAAAAAGGATAATTGGCTAGACGAGAAAGAAAACAAAAAGGACTATGGAAGGGAGATGTGCCTTAAATGAGAGTGGTCATCAGAAATTCATGTAGCGGCCGGCCACACTTCCACTTCTTTGATATGACAAAATATTAGATAATCAGATTTCATATACGTATATCGAATTTCTTATCATATTCTTTTAAATTTCTAATAGAAAAAGAACAAAAAATATAAAATTTAAAAATGATAAAGTGCAAAAGTTAGAAAAGAAATCGCACTTGGCTCGAATTAGACAGATGGTAATTCAATCTAATAGTAATCCGATTAAGCTTAACAAAAGGATTATTGAATTTCATATTTGTTTTAAATTCGAATATGATAAGTATCGAATTTTGAATTATGATATGAATCAGACTTTATATATGGGTCATATGGTCCGAATATGAATGATATAGGTCAAGTTTGATATATATATATATTTTGATATAGATCAGATCTGATATATAGGTCAGATATGATGGTAATAAAATGCTAAAAAAATAACAATAAAATATAACAAAATCAAATGACATACCAACAAATGTGACAGATCAACACAAAATTCTATTTCAATTTTAATGAAGTATTGTCACAAATACGAATCACTGCACATAAAGTTTAACAAAATTTCATTTTCCTTTCTTTCAATCTGTAAGATTTTAAATATAAGTGAAGATAAAGGCAATAAATCTCTAAATATTCCCATTTTGCACGAATCTTAATATAAACTCGAGTGAAGCAATAAACATAAAATTCAAGTCACTTAAATCAAGACCTCCCACCCAAGCCTTATTACTTAAACTCCAAGTTATAACCTCTAAGCATAAGTAATCTAAATTTGAGATCATAAGACAAAAGTATAGCCCTGTTTAGCTTTTGAATGAAATTGGAACTATGGCGAAGCAGAAGATTCGACATTACAGTAAATATCATCGAGTTTCATATAATAGGAATAGAAATAATAGGAATATTATTGTTTATAATTTATTTAATTTTTTCGATACTTTTCATTTTTTTTTCATATAACACTCTTTTTTTCATATAAAACATTTGCTTAAAAACGATACGAAAAACTTTCGAAAAACACTTAACATCCACGTACGTGTTCTCACGCGCGTACGTGTACTCTATTCAAGTAATCAAAATAAATGAAAAATAATGAAGAAATTTAATCGATTTTACAAGTTTCATAAAATGAATTATTTCAAAAAAAAATGTTTAAAAAAGCAAAGCATTCTTCAATACGACAATACGCTATCCTCAAGATTTTTCGATTATATATTGGTTTGTTTTGTTGATAAAAATTATTATCAATGTTAATATTTTAATCTATTTTTCACAAATCCTCAACCATAATTTATAATCGAAAATCCCATGAATCGACTAAAAACCCAAAACTTATAGTTAATCATTTTTATAGCTAACCATTATTATTAAGTATGATCAATTTTAAAATCGATTTTCGATACGATAAAAAAAATGCTCTCAAATTCCCAAAATATTTGCGAGAAATATCCAGCATACGTCATCAAGTACCACAAAAATCACGCAAACACGTAACACATTAAACATATCATCAACTCCATCATACCAAATCCAAGTACCCAACCTATACTCACACACATTCCACAACAATAGAAAAATTGTATGAGGTCAGGTTTGAAATGGGACGAATATTCCCAATCGCAAGTATCGGCAGCACTGAATTTTTTTACAGTCAACTATTATCCGTTGCTGTTATGTACGGGTTCCTCTGATAGTCTGGCGGTGAATTTTGGCAGGTTTAAGGTTCGAGTGGTTCCAGAGGGGGAGTTGTTTTAACATGAACGTGCAGATTTTGTATTCAACTGTTTATATTATATTGCAACCAATAATCATGTAGATTCTTCTTCTAACAACTCTCACTATTACTGCTTAGCCTGGCTACAACGGCTACAAGGATAAGACGTGAGCTGATGACATCGTCGACAGTAATAGAAGCTACACCTTTTTCCATCGTCTAAGTCCATATATTGCTGGTCCACCTATATTTTCAAAATCTTTTTTGATAATATCAGTCCAAATCTTGATTGGCCTACCTCGCTTTTGACATGAACCATCAAACGGTTTAGCTAGTAACGAAATATGCGTCAACTCCTGTGGTAGTCGACGGAAATATGCCCTAACCAGCGAAGGCGACGCTCTGTGACAACATTATTCATGCAAGTGGTATTTGAACAAGGTGGATGCGACCATGTGATATCTTATCCGCTCTACGGATCCGTAATATGTACCTTAGACAAGAGTGGTCAAAGACAGATAACTTCTTAATATCCTCCACTCTCATTGGCCATGTCTCAGACCATACAGCAAGATCGAACGGATCACGGTTATATAGATGCGGACTTTCATTTTTATGGTGATTTCACGACGACTCCATAAAGGTTTCGTCAAGGTTCCAGAAGAACGCATTTCCAGCTGCCGTGATCCGAGTTGTAATATTATCTTTTTCCTGTCCGTTCGGTATTCTTCTTCTTCTTCTTAAGAGTCCTCACTATTACTGGTTAAACTCGCTCCACTGGCTTGTCGCATTGAGCAATATGCCAGAGAGTCCCTTGGCGATAGAAGTACAGATGAATCGCCAGCATCACTCGGATTTTTGTACAGGTTTGCTCCTGCAGAGAATCGAACCGCAGCTTCGGCTGCTCCAAATTGAGCAACAACCCATTTGGTATTAGAGTGGACCCAAGGTATTTGAAATCGGGCATTTTCTCAACCGGCAATGAATTTACAAAAAGAGGCATTTCATCAGCTTCTTGCACATAAGACGAAAAGACTTTCCTTTTATTTACATTGATCCTGAGTCCGATTCTTGATGCAGTTGCTGACACGTTGAATAAAGTGTGCATTACTTGCATTTCATCATAACTATCAGCAAAAAGGACTGCATTATCAGCGTATTTAAGATCTGTGATATGATGCTCTGGACTAATTCGGATACCTCTTGAGTACCGACAAGCAGTATCCATTATCCAGTCTATCGCATAGTTGAATATTGTGGGAGAAAGGACACAACCTTGACGGACACCAGTTCTTATTTCGAAAAAGTCTATCAGTTCCCCATATACACAGTCCTGCGCCTACGTATACTCATAAAATTCCTTTACGAGTCGAGTGATCTTCTGTGGAACACCGTCGCGTTCCATCACTCTCCAAAGCGCCGCTCTATCAATTAAATCAAAGGCAGCCGCAAAGTCGGTGAAACACTTTACTGTGGGTTGCAAATATCTGAAGCGATGTTCCAACCTTTCTGACCCTTCTTAACGTGAATACCTGGTCAGCAGAACTGCGCTTCGCTCTTAATCCAGCTTGATTAGGGCGCATCCTGCTGTCCCGTACTTCCATAAATCTGTTGAGTAAAAGAGAAGCAAAAATTTTCGCTGAGACGTCTAATAGGCTGATTCCTCGATAATTGTCGCAGTATGTCCTATCACCTTTCTTGTCAATTGAGATCATAGATTATATTTCAAAGAATTGATTTTATTTTATTGATTACTGATTATTCGGTAATGCTCTAATAAAAAAAGCTTAAGCCTAGATTATTCGCTCATGTATCATAGTTCGGTCCTCGCATACGAAGCCTAAACCTAAGCTATCGCTCTTATGATGGTAATGAGGTGAGAATAATTGTGAATTTCAACCATTTGCTGAGATCAATTTTTATCTTTTCATTGATTTAGGCTGATTGTCTTAGATTAAATTAGATTCTTTAAGTGCTTCCTTTATGATTGAACTGTGTATAAAGGATTGTTTGAATAGAATTTAAGTAAATTGACTGAATATATTTTATCCCCTTCTTGATTTAGTTTGATTCACACAGTAAATAATACAAAAAAACGAAACCAGTCAGGTTGAAATGAACGAAGAGAAAAAACAAAGAATCTTCTGGTTGAACCCATTCCATTGCAATATTAGAATGAGACCACTTCATTTCGAAATGATAAAAGTACTGGTGAGTTCGCAATGCCGTAATTTCTATCTACGATCGAATCATGGACCGTGTATAAACAAATAGTCTAATAGTCTAAGCCATATATCACTCGGCCAACTTGTCTCTTTTGTTATAATTTCATACAATGAATCCATAAAAAAAGACTTTTATTTGATCAAATTTATTTACTATTATTTTATTCTTAATTTTTATTTTTTCAATTATTTTAAGTGAAAAAATTTAAAAAAGAAAAATTTATATAGCGATTGGAATTTATTTTTTCATCATTGGTTAATTAAACAGTAGTAATTAGTAGAAAAAAAAATAAATCTGTAAATGGAAAAAGTCATAAAAATTCTTTCGGATGATAATGAAGTTGACGAGCGAGTAATTATATGGCGAAGCTTCAACGGAGAAAATAATGTAAATAAAAAATAATCAGAGCATAACTGAAATACAAAATTATCACAAAAATATAAAAATAAATAAATACATAAAATTCTTGCTTTCCTTCAAATTATTAACGAAAATTTCTAAAAAAAAACGTATTAAGCTTGACCATAAAGCACTTGAAGAGAGAGTCCAGTTGGTCCTAGTTTTAGTCCAGCAACCTCCCGCATTTAACAGCTTTACTTTTATCAAGAAAAAGATCCAAAAAAAACTGCAAAATATAACTTGACAATTGGGTTATTATTATTGTTGCTATTGTTACTATGACTTTTTTTTTGGAGAGTCCTCACCATTACTGGTTGAGCTCGCTCCACTGGCTTGCCGCATTGGACAATATAACAGGGACAATATAACTTGGCGATAGAAGTACAGGTGAGTCGCCAGCATCACCCGGATTTTTAGACAGGTTTACTCCTGCGGCGAATAGAATCTCACCATCAGCGCTCCCTATTGAGCAATACTTCTATCCCCATGACTATGATTTACTAATGATTAAAAATTAAATTTTATAAGAGGAAGGAAATGGGGTCACAACAATCGCTCATGACTTAAACAACTCGTCTTACCCTTATAACTAGTGTAGGAAACTTCAAAAAGACTTGAAAAGATGTAACAAGCTCTCAGGAAGATGCCGATTAAGGCAAAAGGGTACACTAGGTATTAAGAGGTTAGAGATTTGGAAGAGTATGACAAATTTTAGCAAAAATAGACGAGTTTTTTGGAAAAAAAAGACTTTATTTCACGGAATATTTAACACATATAACACAGTTTACAGCAAAGACTATCCTATAGGCAAAATTGTCTCCAAACCTTGATTTACCTCATGGTATTTCATCCTTATTTTTAGCACCTCTTCAAACTCGCGGTCTTTCTGCTCTACTGGTTCGGAGATATTTCGACGCCATATCGATTTGCAATTCTCATTTTTTAAGCAGCACACGAAAATAAAGGAATATTGACAATTGTTAATAATTTAAGGCGAAAGGAGTAGGACGCAGTTATGGGGAGGAGAGTTTTCAAATATTGGTTTATTCAGAAGATTAGCAAAAAAAAGCATAACGAAGCTTGACTGTTAGCGAGGTCAGAGGAAGGAAATTTGAGGTGATGTTAGATTCTGGTAGAGATGAGTTTGATGGAAAGGGAACCACGTTGGCTTTGAGGATCTGGAGTATTAGAATAGGTTCTGAGGATTATGGAAGGGCAATAACACTAAGCTGGGATAGTGTATACAGTTTAATACAATATTGCTAAGGGCCTATAACAAAAGCTCAGCGGGTTTCGATAAAGCATCGAGGTGACGTAGTACAGCGAAGTTTCAGAGATGCCTCCTCATTTCCCTAATTCCCTCCAAAGCAACGGATTTTACCTTACCATTAATCTTCTTTATTCTTAATTTCTTAGACACCATTAGTACCTTGATTAACCAGTTGCAATCTCTACTCTTCCTAAAATCTCTTTTTAACAACTTCATATCGCGTTCTTTTTCAAAAACAAATAGAAAGGTTGTTGGTTACAAACTATTGAAGTTGAAAAAGGATAGAGAAACCAAAGAACTGCAGGATTGTAAGATAATGTGAACCTTATTCGGAACCTTTTACACCCAATTAAACTCAGCTATATTTTCTTTTGCTAAAATTTGAAAAATACTAAACCTATGAATCCTAAGTAGAAACACTTGGATATTCGTTTGAATTTACCATAATTTATGAAAAAATCACTCTTCGCCCACCTACCTATTTCCTTATAACTAGAAGAACTCGATGTTCCTACGATCCATTAACAAAACCCCTCCCTACTGCTTTAATCTTCACAAACCCCTTAATGCGCAATTAACATATTGTTTTGTTTTGTCATTAAATCCCGCAGCACACTTTTATTGCGATCGCAGTTGCTGGAAGGGAACTTGGAAGACTCTTTTAAGAAATATTGAAGGAATATAGCGGATTTCAAAGGAATCTTTAAACGATCAAAGTTCGAATAAACGCCTGAAAAGCCTGAAAACAATTCTAACCGTCCATCGAAATGGTTCTATTTGGTGATGCTTGATGTATATTTAAATTATAGAATAAAAAATTTGACGGATTTTTTAGCTGTTTGAATAAGAATTTCTCCTGGAACGACTTTTTGCGATATTTTTTTAAATTTTTGATTTTTTATTTTTCAAATTTCTTCAATTCATTTTTCAAAATTTCGGTTGTTTTTTAAATTTCAATTATTTTTTAAAAATATTTATTTAGCATTTCATTAAAATTTATTGAAAAGAAATTTCGCATATTTTTTTCTTAAATTTAACATTTTAGTGATTTGTAATTTGTAATAAAATAGTGAAATTATGGCATCCGAAATTCGTTACAAATTGCGGATTTTGGCCGAAAAATTATCTAAAAAAAGTATTTCGAGCTTGGAAAATGATTTGATTCGTAGAAGTTTGTCATATTTTTTTTTTATATTTTATATTTAATTTTATTTTTTGAAAGATATTTTTTCTTTTTTTTTTTGATTAGAAAATATTGAATATAAACTTTAAAAAAAGAATCTTTATAATTGATATTTTCAAAAATATTTTTTTTGAAAATTTTTTTTTTTTAATTTTTAGTTGAACGTGAAAATGAATCGAATAGCGCTACAAATTTTCCTTCAACTTCTTTAAGCAAAACTAATTTGTTTCCTATCGAAACACCTTCAATTGAATCTAATAACTGTTTTGAGACTGGTAATGTTAATTTCTTTTTTCTTTATTTTTATTAGAATTTTTTCAAAAAAATTTTTTATTTGAAATTAGAAAAAATTTGAGAAATATTTTATCAAATTTATTTTTTTTTTTTTACACTATTGCTAGTGATTTAAAAAAAATTTCATCATTAAAAATAGAGTAAAATTTGCTATAATAATGAATTACAAAATGATTTACTGTTGGAATAATTTATTCCGGTTTTTAGATTATTTTTTTTTGTTTTAGTTTATTAAATTTAATATTCAACTTGTGATTATTTTATTATTCTTACATGATTTATATGTTTTATATGCGTATAATAATTTATTTTCAAGAAATCACTATTAAAGCCTCACCTGTTCAAAATCATATAGGTGGCCAAAATGCACCAGCGGCTATCGGAGATAGTTCTCCACCTCACTGCTCATCATCACAAGCTCAAATAAAAGTTTGTTTATTTTAATTCATTTGTGAAATCAAGATATAAAGTTATGTATGAATATATAAAGTATGAAGACTAGACTTTTTTCCATTTTTATTTAATAGCGAAGCGTAAGGGTTTATACTTTTTTATTTTTGATAAAAAATGATGACAATTTAAAAAAGACTCATCTTTTCTATTGTTACTGGTATTGTCGAGTTGATAGAAAATTAATGATGGTTAATGACAATAATGCTTTGTAGCCTGTCTTACCTTGTTTCTCTAACACCGATATTTATTCTAATCGTGATTCGTTATTCCTGAATGGTGATATCATCGAAGTAAATGGTGATAAGGTAAAAGTAATTGATTTGCTTGGTAGAGGTGGCTCAAGTGAGGTATGTTTCATAGTCTTTATTGCTTATAGGATATTTTGTTTTTATTGAATTTTTTTGAGTGTATTTATTAATAAGTAGCAATATAATTTGTGAAAGAATTCTCATAATGGAATTATAGTACTAAACTGTGGTTATGTTTTTTATGCATGCCAATAATTTAAATAATGAATGTCGGTTTCACAAAGTAATATTATTTTTCGTATATCCCAGTTGTTGTTTAGCGATGATATGATTTTCTTTTATACAGCGCATTTTTTATGCATTCTACTACTACTCATTAAAATGGATTTTGATTAGTGCCTTATTTACTACCATTGTAGGTATATGAAGTAATCAGCGAAAAAAAGAAAAAATGTCTTGCCGTCAAAATTGTCTTTTTATCAAAAGCTGACGATGAGATGCGATCTGCATATATGAATGAAATAAAAATCCTCACGGATCTGCAGAATTCAGGATGTGTTGTTCACTTATATGATTAGTTATTATTTTATTTCACTTAATAACATTTGATTTTTTTTTTGAATCTTATGATTAGTTATTATTTTATTTCACTTAATAACATTTGATTTTTTTTTTGAATCTATGTTGCTACAATAAATTTTTTTTTTTGAGTGAGCTCAAAGGAGATAATCTATTTATGGTGATGGAAAAAGGTGATGTAGATTTGGCAAAAGTTCTTAAAGATAGACGGGCGCAAATAGACGATCCATTTGTACGCTTCTACTGGAGTGAAATGCTGAAATGCGTGGCAGCTATGCATGGAAAAGGTAAAGTTTTGGCATATATCATTTCCGATTATTAAAGGGTAGTTTTACCACATTATGACTTGGTGATAGAAGCACAAATTTACGGATATTAAGCGCAATTCTTAGTATTTTATTTTGTTTTCGGTTTATTTGATATTATCACAGATTTTGGCAGATATTTTAGCAATTTTTTTTCATGGTATTTTTTTACAAATCGATCCTTTCAGGGATTGTACATTTAGATTTGAAGCCCGCTAATTTTCTCCTTGTTGGAGGCAATTTAAAGCTTATCGATTTTGGCATTGCTTCTTCGATACCATCGAATAAAACTTCAGTAATGAGAGAATCTCAAATGGGAACTCCTTCATACATGGCTCCAGAAGCAATTTTTTCTGATGGAAGTAATGGTGGTTTTAAGGTGTTTTTTCGCCTATTTTTCAATCTATTATTTTTCTCTTTAATTCTCAGTTAAGAGTCTTAGTTTATTTTTATAGATACAAAAAAAATCTGATGTTTGGTCACTTGGATGTATTCTTTATTATATGGTTTATGGACGTACGCCATACCAAAAATGGGCGAATCCTTTGCAGAAAATGGCTGCCATTGTTAGGGAACCTGTCGAATTCGAAGACATTCCTGACAAGGAGCTCCTCGATGTGCTTCGAGTGAGTTAGTTGTTGTTTATCCATTGTCGTCGTGCTATTTAATTTCCATAAATATCACTTTGATTTTAGCGATGCTTAAACAAAGATCCTTCTTTGCGATGGTCGGTCGAAGAACTGCAAAAGCATCCATATCTGACTAGTAAGTCTTCATTAATATGGTTGGTCATCAAATTTTTAAATTTTTTGTATTATTTTCCAAATTCTTTCAACACTTCTTACTATTATTGGTTAGGATAGCTATCAAGGTAAGTCGTTTTCGAGCTGTTTGATCTGATGCCATTGCAGACAATGAAGCCATTCCTTTTTCTATCGTCTAATTCCATATATTACTGGTCCACCTAAGTGTTCAAATCTTTCCTGACTATTATTCCAGGTCTTGATTGGCCCTTCTTGCTTTTGATGCCATCCCTCACAGAGTTTAACATGTAACGAAATATATATCAACGTCTATTGTGTGCGAAAAAGAACTTGCCTTAACCAGCGAAGATGACGCTGTGTGATGACGCTGTTAATGCAAGTGGTATTTGAGCAAAGGTGAATACACCCATGCGAGATTTTATCGGCTCAGCGAATCCATATTTCTCGGAACAGCGTCACGTTCCATCTCTCTTCAAAGAACTATTCTGTCAATTGAAGGCTGCAAAATTGATGAAACAAACGGTATTGCAATACGGTGGGTTGCAAATATTTGAGGCGATGTTCTACCTTTCCGCTGCCTTTCTTAACGCAAATATTTGGTTAGTGCAACCTCATCCTATTCTAATACAGTGTAGTTAGGAAGCGTTATCTCGCACTCCCAAAAGTCTTCAATAGAAAGGTAGCGGAAGTCATCTCGGAGATGTCTAGTAGATTGATTTCTCAGTAATTTTGTCATCATTATCATTCTTATCATTCTTCGTGGGTATTTGAAGCAGAACTGTTTTGCTCCAGTAATCTGGTATTATTTCTTTCTTTTATCCCAGAACGTTAAAGAGAGTTGAAAATCTGTATAAGTGTATAAATATAACCATAACAATAAGTAAATGAATAATATTTCGGCCCTAAGACCTTCTCTGAGAAGCTGGCCTTAAGCCTTAAGCTTCTGGATGTCTGAAATTATTTTCTGTTCTGCTGGCGCTTCGCAATTGCAAGTACATTGCTCCACGAGCGATTCAGCAGTGTCCGACGATTCTTAATGGCCTTAACCGGCTACCATTTCATTTTACGTTCCGTAATAGCTGCCTTATTTTAATTATTTTCTCTTATCTCCTAATCGAGCAGCCGTCTTCATCCTCATGGCCATATCACTTCAATAACGATTTCTATCCTGCTGTCGTTGTGTTTATTCAAGACATTCGATTGCCAAGGTCTTCCGAATGTGATTTGTAGCATTTTCCTGCCGTGCTGCTGTCATTGTGATTTGGATAGTTGGGCCGTTCCTTCTTGCTAGTACTTCCTGGCGTGGAAGTGACATCCTTTTTTTGGGACTGACATTCATCTGCCGTTCCAAAAAACTTGTTTATATCAGTGTTGCTTCAATAATTCGGTTTGAAATGTGATATTGCAATTAGTGATCATTTACACAATTTTTTTCGCTATGTTCAACTGTTATAATACCAAGAAAGAAAACTGATTTCAGAGAAAAATGAAATATCGATAAATCCTTCAACTGTCACAAAAAAAGATTTGGATTATTTTAGAATGGCTGAAGAATTACGTAACTGCACACCAAAGACTTCGGCACATAAACTACGTAAGATAATAGAAAGGCGTGATCTCTTGTGATTTTAATGATCTCTTTTTTCCAGAGTTTTAGTTAATAACTACATCTTCACAGTTATTAATTGTATTTTGCTTTTAGTTGTATTTATTAATCGCATTTCTATATTTTTAAACAAAATCTTTTTCTTACGAAATCGAGATCTCTTTTTTTTCCAGTAGTTTTAGTTAACTACATCTTCACAGTTATTAATTGTATTCTGCTTTTAGTTGTATTTATTAATCGCATTTCTATATTTTTAAACAAAATCTTGCGAAATCGGTATTTTTACTGCTGCAATAATTCGCTTCGTATTCATATATGTCTATAAGAAATGAGGTTTCATCCTTAAACAGCGAAGTCAAGCTGGAACCTTTTGATATTCTCACAAAACTGTGTAGTAATTTTTTAAATTTTCTCTCTATTCTTTTCAATATGCGATAATCCAATACAGCTACTGTTTTAAACCTCGTTGTGCTTACTATTTTACTGCTTTAATATGTATCTATCCCAAAAGAAGCAAGATCGTCCAAATTCTTAGATTTTTACTGAAATCTGCCATATTTCATGAAAAACCTTCCCGAAATTGAAAAGTAGTACTCTTAGAATTCTTATATACCGGTAATTTTTTTTAATATCGTATTCCACACAACCACCTTTCATAATGTCGCGGTGACTGCATAAAATTTTGTCGGAAACTTTTATTTCCCTAAAACTCCTTGGAAGCACGATACTTCCCGAAAGCTATTAGCGATATAATCTTTTGTAAGAATCTATTATTTAGGCACTCCTAAACCCACTTTTTCTAATTATGTGCGAAATTCTCATTTTGAACTTAAAATTTGCATTTGTGATCGCACGAGTACTGGTGGTGGGTTTTCGGGAAAATAATAGTGATAAGTAGTACTGAATAGAAAACTAGGTTTAAGGTTAAAATGGCCGCAAGGAGTTTGCATTAACATAACTTATGATAGAAAACCACAGTGGAACATTGGTCTTAACAAAATATTTCAGGTCATCTGAAAGGTTTTGAACAATTGCGAACCGGACATTCTTAGCTTAGGGTTGTTTTTTCCAAGCATCAGTAGCAACATGAATGGGTATATTAACTAAACGTTTTATTAAATGGGTTATCGAGCTGTATTAGCTTAAGCTTTGTCACACTGCTTCTATTTCCTGAGACCTACCTGGGGCGTTGCTGTACCGAAAAAAGGCTCTCAACTGTGTGTTCGTAATTTGTATTCGTTAGCTCTTCGGTTGAAGGTATCGTAACCTATCGTTCATCGCGTACCTCAAACTTGAATAATTTCACTTGCATTTTTTAGACCGCGACAGTACACAACATCATTGACCATGCAAGGCAGTAAAATTCCAACAGTATAAACGAATACTAAAAGGCTAGCGTCACGATCATTCTTCGGCTGATATTTGTCATTAATCCTCCCCGAGGAAATTGTTCGTCTTATATAGCCGTCTCAATTGGATGTCTATGACCTTTGCTTCGTCGGGCTGCTGACCTTTCATTTCTGTTCTGCTGAATCGTGTTTTGCTCATCATGCTCATTTTTAAGCATAGTCCTAAAACCACTTATATTCGCTTCATTACACTGTCCCACAGTGTGTTTTATCTTCACTTCCTAAATACCCTAGCGGTCCTTTGTTAGTTTCACCTCGGGACCTGTTATAGCCTTCCATACTTCTAAAATCGCCTCGGTCTTTTTGCACAACTCACCAGATTCTGCATCTCTTTTAATCCGTCACGTATCGCTGATTTGTTTGTTCAGTTTCCAACGTTCTTAATGCTTAGCACAACGGTAGTTTTTTCCATTATTCACCGATTTTGTGCTGCAATAGGTTGAGTTTTTTAAAAATGTTGATGAAAATCCGTTCGAGGTCTTAGTGGTTTGAATAACGATCACGCTGCGTACGCGGTCATATGAAAATTGTATGTTTACGGTTTTATGGTAGGTGGTCTCATATGCATTCTACGGGTTTGGCTTTGTTGGCTGCGGGGTTTTTCGAATTCGGCAACGCATAATCGATTGTTCACTAAGCGAATAGTTCAATTTTTTGCTAAATATTCTGTTATATTTGCCATTTTTTGGCTTTTTTAATTTAGATAAAAACTTAAATTTGGTTTTGATGTTTGCAATGCTTTTTGTGATATATTCGATATTGCTTTTCGATAATTTATGAAATTAATCAATCAATTTTTTTCATTTAACTTTTATTTCGTAAATTACGCTTTTTTTTCCTCTACAAATACCACCATTTTTACGTTTTTCTTTTGGCTATTTGAATCGAAATTCTGGTCAGCGAGAAAAGAAGCGAAAAAGAAACAATTTTTGGCCGCACTCTTGCAAGAATTTTTTTCACGAAAGATTCGCTGCTATTAGGTGCAACAATTTATGGCTATTAATCTAAATTTAATCCATTTTTTATCATAATTAATATATTCACAATTTACACATAAAAAATAAATATCGAAATTTTTTGTAAACATAAAAATAAAAGTTATATTTTATAATAAATTTAATTTTATGCGAGAAACTTCTGAAATATTTATGTTATTTATTGATATATTTAAGATTTTAAATATTTTGATAAAATAATTGTTGAGCACAGTCGCTTATTTGTTTTATTGCAGCATATCAATTTTTGCACTTTATTTTCAGTCAGATTTATTCAATCAGATATATTCATTTAAAATTATCGTTTATGGTTTTTAATGGATAAGTGCATATTTTGTGGATGGGCGCGTCGAAGTTCGAGCCCTTCGATTCGATTTTTTGGAATTCCTAAAGAACCAGGCTTGAAGCGTGTTCAGTGGCTCTATGCAATCGGAGGTCGAGAAATAACGAGTAAAGATCGAGTTGGTTTCTTTAGAAATTTTCTTTTTTGATTATATCAATTCATAAGGGGATTAGTTCTTTTGTTCAATTAATCAATGCATGACGAATGACTGTAGTCTTCAAAACCTGTAGGCATGTTTACGCTCATATCTGTTTACGTATCCACCCATATTCATGAATAGTTATAAATACTTTTATAATATTGGTGATTTCTTTCGAAATTCACATTTGAAAAATTCACATTTATTTTTGATTTCAGGGCTTTTTAAATTAGCTATTAGTTTATACAAATAAACATTTTAGCATTGCAAGCTATATATATATATATATGTATTTGATGTTATGAAAAGGTTAACTTCGGTTGACTTATAACAAGGTCCTGTCTTTACGAGCTCTTTTCTTAGATAAGTGGCGAAATGGTCCAAATCTAAACATTATCCAGCTAGTCAATGGAGTCAGCCAGTTGACTATTGAATTTTTTTAAAAGCGATTTATTCCCAAAAATATTTTTATATTGTTCAGGTATGCAGTCTTCACTTTCGGCAAGGTCGACCTTCTAGTGATCCATCTCACGAGGATTTTGTACCACATTTGTATTTAAATCGTGATACTCCTCCTGAAATCATTCAGTGCTTGGAATCACTGGCCGAGAAAAAAATGGAACCGGAGTGGTTTATTGAAAATGAGGTGAAAATTTTTTCTAAAAATTCGCGATATTTCTTTTCATTTTTGTATTCCATCATTATTAAAACCATCTCCAGAATTTTTGGATATACTATAGGCTGTTTCAGTATTTATACGCTTAATTTTAGAATTATGGATCTTACTCATCGACTGGATTGGGTCGCATTTGTAGGCCGTTGATTTTGCAACGTAAGCGAAAAGTGGTATCTGAACGATCAGAAACTGAAACAGTAAAGGAGGTGGTCTCTTTTTCGAATGGTTTTTTATTTTATAATTATAAAACTCTTAATTAAAAAATTTTATCATTAAATTTGAAGGAAGTGAATTCTGCGCCTCAACCATCTCATTCAGTGGGAGAGACATCAACTTTAAAGAAAGAAACAATTGATGAAGTCAGTAATACCGTTGTTGGAGATGCAAAGAAGGCCAAACTGCAGATTTTGCAACGGCCTTTGGTGGAAGCTGTTGGCGTAAAGCCTGGGCAAACTGTAATAATCAAAAGGCGTTTTCCAATTTTCAAACCATCACAACAGCAATCTTGTTAATTGTTTGGCAGATGTTGAAAAAGTACATATATTGAAAAGTGCATGTAACTTCGAAAGTACATACAAGATAGTATAATGATGATTTTTGTTAATTTTTGTTGCATCGAAATTTTCATTTCAAAAGAAGGAAATGTGTTGCACTAATTTGGTTGGATTTTTTGTTTATGTCTGTATTCAAATTTTCTCAATTTTTATCACATTGTTCTCAAGAATTGGGTAAAAAATTTTACAAATTTCACATAAGTACGAAAACTGTCTAACACTTTTCGCTAAAATATTTTGTGAATATTCAATTAATATTTTAAATTATTTCATATTTTTTATGTCATGTTTTTTTCTTTCTATAACCATTTTTTGTTTCGGGAATTATTCTCTCTAGTCATTTTTGGATAACATGTTCCTAACTTTTTTGGCATATATCATTTCTTCATTTAAGATAAATTTTGTGTTGGAAAAGAATTGCTTAGTGAATACAAAAAGTATTTATTTAAAGGCTAAACAATTCCATTTAATTTCCTGCTAAAACTGAGCGCGAAAGGAATTGAGTGCCGCATTACTTGATGATTGGTTTCATTAATTAATTAATGGTTTTTGCTTGATTTATAGGCTTAATTTTACGCGTAGATTTTGATAATTTCATTCCATACAAATTTGAAATTCAAACCGAAGTCACAAACTTATTCAGAAGGATTTTTCTTTTCATGGATTATATCACTGGAATGTAATAAGCGCAGACAAAAGAAACACCAAAAGAAATCAGCGATTTCCTCCGAAAGTATAAGAAAAACCAGTCAGGATGGGCTTGTATGCAACCAAAAACTGCACATTAAGTAGCGCCAATTCTTTTTGTGAATATTAAATATCAACATTTTAGATTTTAACAAGTACACAAGAACACAAAAATACCGCAATAAACAATTGAACTGACAAAGCGGAGAGATTATATGCAACGTTCTTGTAAATTATAGGCGTTTTGCTTTTTGTGTGAACCATTTACAAACATCAAAACATGAAAAGTTTTGCATTTTATAAGCGAAATAAAGATAAATCATTTATCAACCAAAGGGAAATTATTTAAGTTTATTGAAAATTGTATTTTCGAGTTGTGCCTTCGTAAGGATTTTATTCAGTCGTCGTTTATCATGCCTGTCTTTAATGCGATCGCTATCAGAAATTGAATTCCACATGAGAAAAATAAGAAAAACTGATATTCCTGAAAAAAAAAAGTACAGCGAAGGAATTGTATAAGACGATATCAAAAGTTTATATGATTTTACCTGATAAAAAAATCTGAATTAAAACGGCGCTTGATTTGCTCATTGTTTCGAAATAAAGCATTTCAATAAGAATATAAAAAACTGATCCAGTAGAATATGCGAGATGAAATGCATGAAGTGAATGATTGTCAAAGTAATATATTACAAATATGCGTAGAATGACCAATATTGTATAATTATAGAGAAATAACCGCGATATAAACGATAGTGCTGCAAAATGTTCGTTAAGTTGTAAATTAGATATAAATTATCAGATCTGAGGCAATTCTTCATTCAACTAAATAGCAGGATCACCATTTCTGATTCGCCTTGGTCCAGAAGACAATTAGAATGAGACTGGTTGACTAATTCATTGAGTATTAAAATAAGAAACTTTCACCTAAGAATATTACTCAGTACAAAAATATAGCAATATTAACAGGGATTTCACTTTCAATAGTAGGCTTAGTCCCATTAAATTTCAAACAAATTCAAACTTATGTTGCCTTTCTTTAGGTAAAACAACAGTGCTCCAGGACTTAGATAAATATTACAAGTATTATAATGAAAAACCCAATTCTTTTTTTCTAACAGCTCTCACCATAACTGGTTAGGCTGGCTCCGCTAGCTATAAAGGTAAGAGTTTCCAAGTTGCTTGTTGTCTGCAACACTATGCTCTAGACTGATTTGTATACTTCTTGACAAGCGGTGTCCATTATCCAGTCTATCGCACAGTTGAATATTGTAGGAGAAATAATACCAGGTTTTATTTCGAAGGATTCTGTCAATTCCCCATATACACAGATACGGATTAAAAGATGGCATATCATGGTTAAACTTGACCTTAAAGAATTCCTTCCATCTTATGAGACGATCCTTAATATTCTTAAGAGGCACACCATTGCTATTATTTCATATTATTATTTCACTGATCGTTATAGTTGCTTTATGAAGAAGGCGAAATAGATCACTATTATTGCCTAATCGAGTCTCTATTCTGAAGACCATATCGCTCCAATAGTAATTTCTGTTCCGCTATGCTGCTGTCGTTACAATTCTTCAAAGCATCCAGTAGTCAGGATCGCCTGACTCGTGCTCTGGCAGCTTTTTCAGACAATTGGACAGTTGCTTCCGATATCCAACTAGTATGTTCTAACGTCACTACTTCCTACTAATATGGTCCTAACGTCAAAGTGGCCGATTTTCGGAGATGTTTCTTTAGTTTGGACCAGTAGACCAGTATTCATTTGCCGTTCCAAAAAAGTCATTGATATTTGTATTATTGAGATACTTCAATAATTCGGTTTGAAATGCCTCATTGTTCCTGAATTTTTTAGCTTGAGATAATTGAAGGGTCTTGGAGAATGCCGTTTTTTGCGAGTTGCCAATTTTATGCGGATCTTGGCTCGGACCATAACATAGTCAGATCAATGAAGATTGACGTTTCAGCTGTGCGACTATCTACTACGGAACTCTTCCAACTGCGACTGAGTAAGACGTAATTAGTTTGGCTGAAGTGTTGGTTATCTGGAGAGTTCCACGTTCTTTGATTAGATGTTCTTTATGGTGCTGGAAACAAGTATTATTAGTAAGAAAAAGAAAATTGTGCTGCTCTTTTATGCTGTTCGATAAAGCAAAGGATGTATTCCCCATTGGTCTCCGATACTACATTCGCCAATTGTTGGGGTCATTGCAGCGGCATTATGATCTACGCGCGCACTCCAGTCTTCACCGATTATGACCATTTCATATTTCAGTAGAGACTTTGTTAGCAATTGAAGTTCCAAGAATTTATCTTCATCACGGTTATATGCCGACAGAGTTGGAGCATAAACACTGATGACCGAGATATTACAGGATTTACCTTTAAAGCGGGCATAAGCCATACCGCTTACCAGTTTCCACTTAATTAAAGCGAAACGAGCCTTTTCAGACATGACAATCACTACGCCATTTCATCCCAAGTTATCCGAGACACCACGGTGATATAGCCTATATCTTTGCTAAGAGCTAGGTCTGGTAATTACTCAGGATTCGAAAAAAGAAAGACAGATTTCTAATAAGCAGGCGACATCTATACGACATCTATAATATTTTTAAAAAGAATGTAGATCACTTGGCTTGCTGCGTTCATAAGCATTCTGACGTTCCACGCTAATACGGCTACGTTCCCCTTGATAGATTTCGAGCAATTGTCCTGGCTTGCAAGCACAAGTATTTTGCTTAGCAACCTTGGGATAGTTTTATGCCGGATGGTTTACTTATCGCGTGTACCACCGAGCTGGGAGTATCATTATATTATAATAGCATGAGAGAGAAAAAAAGGAACCCAATTAGTTAAGAATAAAAAAGAAATCTTCAATTACCTGAACTGTTTGCGCTAATATGAAGTACCATAGGAAAAAATGAATGAGAATTGAAGCACTGCCATATATTTCCCAACAGTTGAAGCACAGTGAATGACAACCATGTTCTAAGAAGCGATAGTCTATTCATTGTTCACTTTTTATCGAAATTTCATTCTTATTGCGATTAAAGCCATATTTAGAAAAAATTATAACAAACTATTCAACGACATCTGAAACCATAAAATATGAATTTATACGAAAAGTGTTCTAAATGCGGAGAGTTGTTTTGCGACAATTGCGACATTGCGACATTTAATTCAAGCAGGAAGAAATATCTCAAAAATTTGACTATTCATATTTAATACAAATATGGATAATTTCAGATAAGGATTCCCAAAAGATCGCTAGAATTTTAAAGAGAAATGAAAGGCTTTGATGGAAAATTTTTTTTTTTGACGAAAATTTCAAATAATTAAGAATATTAATAAAAAATTTCTAGAAATTTCTTTAATTAATTTAATTAATTTTTAACTAATTTTTTTAACTGCAGAAAAACTTCCCTAAGTACCAAAAGGGGGAACATAAAAGTGTTCGCCATCAAGAAATCTATACTGTTCGAAAGTCAGTCAGTAAAAAAATCAGAAAGTCAGTAAAAAATTGCTGACATTTTTCTCTTTTTTATAGTATGGAAAAAAACAAAAATATTCTACAGCCATCAGGAGATGGAACGGTTCAGTGAGTTGCTGCTCGATTCGGAGCGCCGAGGCTGAGGTTCTATTCCTCGCGGGAATAACTAAAAATCCGAATCATCTTTACCTCTATCGCCAGTGGACTCCTTGGCATATTTGTCCAGTGCGATGAGTCAGCGGAACGGATTTAGCCAGTAATGGTGAGAACTCGTAAAAAAGGAAAAACTCTATGGCGATCAGATTATTGGAAATCTCTGATTTAAGCAGAATTTATACGTAAAATAACTTATATATAAGCAAATTTTAAGTAAAAAAATTGCATATAAATATGGTACAAGAGAAAGAGGAGTTCGAATAGCAGCCAACATTTACCTTTCCTTGGCCTGAGGCCCACTATGAGCTTATCTGCCCTATCTCAAATATGACAGAGTCTACATTGTATGATCAATTGAGGATAGGATGGATTAGTGGGTTGTTGCTCAATTCGGAGTAAATTTGTTCAAAAATCCGGGTGATCCTGGCGACTCACTTGCATTTATATCGCAAATAACTATCTGGCATATTTATTTATCTAATGCGACAAGTCAGTAGAGATTCTAAGAAGTAGATGATTAATAGGCATTGATGCATTAGTTTTATATATATATATATATCTACGGCTATCAAAAACATAGTGCTCAGAAATTTCACCGTAATCACCTCCTTTGCCCCTTCAAATTGATTCAGTCTAGATAATTTATTATGTAAGTGTGGTAACTGTTGTGGCAATTCTTTCCGTTGCTTCTTTATCAGCACCGTCAAATATTACATTTCTCATCAGGCATACGAAAACTGTCCCTCGTGATCTAGATGACCGCAGAGTCTGAAAGATATTCGGTTCAAATCCTATCCAGATATACTAATCGCTCATGAGTCGACCACTCATTAACTTTTGCGTTTGCAATGGCTCATATAAGTACCACTATTTCTTTCCAAGAACAATTGGAGAATAATTCGTAAAATATGAAATAAAAAATAAAAAGGTATAGATTATCTGAAAAGCAGTGAATAAATGAAATTTCCTATAAGTCAACTGCATATAATTAAAAATTAAAACTTGAAAACTTCAATAACGACGAAAACTGCCTACAACGACGCATGAAAGCGGACTGAAGCGATAAGTTATACATTACTTTAGCTTGAGGAAAAACGAATTAAGTTCATATATCTTTTAATGAGGAGGTTTGTCATCGAAAACCTACAACTATTGGCGATCTCCCACTGCCTCTGCAAAATGCTTCACCTTATCAATCAAATCAAAATCGCCAAATCACAAATGGAAAATCTCAACGGATGGTTTAAGATGGTTTAGTGAGTTATTGCTCATTTCGGAGCACCGAAGCTAACATTCTACTTCCCACAGGAGCAAATCTGTCCAAAAATAGTGATCATGATAATGCTTGCAATTCACCTGTATATTTCTAATCGCTAAAGAACTTCCTGGCATATTTGTCTAGTACGACAAGCCAATGCATCAAATCTAATCAGCAATGATGAGAGCTCTTAAAAAAAAAAAAAAAAAAAAAAAAAAAACAACCCCAACTTGCATAAACATGGTAAAAAGAAGATTGATCATTTAATATTTCCTTAATTACAAGTGATTTAACAACGATAATAAAATGTGCTTGGAGCTTAGCCTATCCATGCTATGCATGAAACACTCAAAAAAGAAAAATATTTATTCTGTAAACAAATAAAAAAAAATTTTTATTAATACAAAATTAACGAATGCACAATTAGAAAGATAAGAACTTTGTAAAAATCTATATTATTTCACACTACGACTAAAACATTTAAAATAATTAAAACTAAACATAAACACTAAACGATAAAAATAGAAACTACTAAATAATTTATCAGAATTAAAAAATTTTAAAAAATATTTTAAAAAAGCAATAATTATCGAAGAAAAACTCTTTTTTCGTGAGTCTAATTATTCCACAAACTTAACTACAAATAAATCATTAGTGAAAATTGGCTGTGATTAAAAATATATTAAATCATTTTTTAAAAAATCAAAAATAAAAAATTAATAGCGCAAAGTAACAAATAGTAATAAAAAATAATGAACGTGCAAAATTATAATGAAACCATAAAAAAAGAAACTTTTTTAAATCAGAATTTGAGGAAACTTACAAATGAAGAAATGAAGAATTATATAAAAAAGCCTGATTTATCAAAAAAGTAAAAGCCGTTTCACAAACAAAAATAAAAAACGATTCCTGATATTATTTTTTGGACCCTTCAATTTAAATGTTACCATTAGATCAGAAATAAAATAAATAAATTGAAATATTTTCGAAAGAGAACGATTGAATCAAACTGTTTTTGTAATTTGAGCAGCACTTATGATAAAATCTTAAACATAATAGGTGTGTGATACAAGCAAATCTGTTAAGATTGAAAGTTGATCCTCACTGAACTGAGTCTTATGTTCATGCCAACAATCTTGATGCGTACGCTTGAATTCGTTCAGTGCCTTTTTTACTGTTCCCTAAAATGCATATTGCGGTATTAAACAGATTGACTCAAAAGAGAATGTAATAAATTTATTTTCAAAAGTTTACTTACCTTAATTGGTTGATCATCAGTTGCATGAGGACATAGCAACATTAATACTCCAGGCAGAAACGACGGTACTGAATATGGAAATGCTTGAACGATTGCTGCGAGCGCTAATACTCCTGCATGACGCGTTACAGTATCTTCTGACTTGGACCAAGCATGAAACTCTTCCTTCAAAAAGAAAGAAAAATATTAAATGAGGAAAAGAGATTACGAAATAAGTTTAGGTTTTTATTCGATGTTATTCGAGTAATAATTGTAGCAATGATTCGAATGATTTATTCGATTCAGGAAATGGCTAAAAGGTAATAAAATCATTTTGCTCGCTTCATTTGCATAAAGCATTATTTTAATTTTGATAAACACCTAATTTCATGATTAGTTGTAACGAATCTATCTGATAATTAAAAGATGGTAACAAACATAATATACTAAAATCAAAATTATGAACCATACAATGAGTTCATTCTGCACATCAAAAAAGCAGCAGTGGAAAAAACCAGAAAGAGTTTCAGCTGCAATATCACGAACTTCGAGACGTGCATCCTTGATCAAAATAGAAAGAACATTTTGAAGCGCAGGTCGATGAGCCATGAATACAAACATATTAGAAAAAATAGCTACTTGCAAATATTTGCATAACGATACTTTAGCCTTCCACCATGATGAAGAAGAACAGGACAACTGCAATATATAAAAATATATTGGATGTTAATCAGTCGCATTTTAATGATTACTATTTTAATCACTAATAATCGAATAACGAGTAACAAAAGACCAATTTGACATCTATAAAAATGCCTAATGCCTAATGCAAAAAATATATCTGGCAATATTTATAATTTATAAATGCAAGCAGCAATAAAAAATACCTCCGTAATACCTCCTATAATCATTAAAGCATTATCTGCTGAGATAAAAGCGGTTGCCAATCCAGCATGAAGCTGACAGTGACAACTTGCTTTTAATTCTTCATCACTGCAAAAAAAACTATATTTAATAATTTGGGAAGCGTTCATTTATGAATATGGAAAATTCCAGCCATAAAAACATTTGAATTAAATGCTATCAACCTGGTTTCATTTTCGAAATGCATCAATAGTGGAAGAATATTGAATATTGGAAGAGGAAGTGAAGTAAATGAATGAATCCAGTGAGCAGCCAAGTAACTTAACGTCGTTTTTAGAACTGATATTGCCTGAAAGAAAGCAAATTTGACACGCTTAGAAAATACTAGAATACTATTTCAGAAGAATGAAATCCAGCATAATCAATTTTCGATTAAAAAATGAACAAAAAAAATTTCATAATCGACCTTTTTTCGCCCATTTTCATCACAGTTGAATTTATGGCTATCATTATTTTCTTGTTTCTCATCACATCCTTTAGCTTCAGCCACCTCTGACCACAAACTTTCGATCTAAAGAAGTCCATTTAATAAATGAGAGCGAATCTAGCAAAAGAACTGGTAGAAAATTGCCTCATAAAAAATTACCATTGTATTGATACAAGCCATCATATCAGATACTCTCGGTGGACGAAATTTTGGTGGTACACTTTTATCAACGAAAACACCATCTAAATCGAACCATAAAATCGTCGACAAACATGAACCAATACGTTCTCGAAGATTTTGATAAGATTCAGTCATTTCTTCATAACATAGTTTAATGAGGCGATGCCAAAGTTCCATTACGCGCCACTCGCATTGATTCAGTGCACCCTGCACAAAATAAAGCCGTCTGAAATGCAAAGATAAAAAAGACTAATAGTAACAAAAGTGCCTTAGAATCATTTAGGTTAAATTATTTTAGTTTTTCATCGAAAATAAAACATACACTGCAGAATGAAAACTGGTTTCAGTGGGCTTATTAGCCACTGCAAACAAAATTTCGATATACCAGTGCAAAATGGTTGGATCGACAGCGCCAAAAACAGTCGCAATGGACGTACCCCAATCCTTCACAAATTCATTTTTTATTGACTCAAGACAATTGGTGATAAATGGCGTTAACCATTTCCACATTGAAACCAACTTCTCATATCGCCATAATTTACTACCAATTACCAACCCAGCTATTATTTCCGATGCGAAACGTTGTTCACCTGCCTTAAATAATTTTCATAAGCAGAAAAAATTGAGAAAGCATAGGCTTGTCAACATAATAAAGCATAAAATCCTTAACCGATTAAATTTTTGTTTGTAATATAATGTATAAGCATGCATCAACATACAAGTATTGCTTTATTAATATAGTTGTTATTGTTAAAAGGTAGGATTCAAGAAGTATATATGCGGACCAGTCCAGAGTATAGTACCACGAGCCTTGAACACATTGAATAACATCCTTATCGCCAACAGTTACAAAGAATTGGAACATCGGGTGTTGATAACACCAGAAAATTGATCTTCAGACCAAGATAAATAAGACAAAAAACTGATAAAATCGCAATCCAAATAAATTCATCAACGATCGAAGAAGTGTGAAATTTAAATACCTCGCACCCACTCCTATATCTAATCGCCAGGCGAAAGACGAAACTTTATTTCAGATAGCTGCAGCCAGGGGTGCCTGCCGGTGACGCCACTCTGGGATCGCCACAAAACGAAGGTTCATCTATCTATCTATCTATCTGGCGGTATAATCGTACACACAATATGGATGAGAAACATGGTCAATGAAAAAGCAAAATTTAAGAAAGTTATATTACCCGTGAGGAGCATTCCTGCATCCTATATTCTCAACACGAGGAGAGGATATCATATAGTTACATCCATTTTCCCAAGCACACTGGTAATGCATCAATAATATCATCGTTCACGCCGATTAAGCTAAATTCTTCGCCATATATCAAAGCAAATCTCACAAATCTCAACGAATGCCAAGCTTAATGATGAACTGCAGGAGAAAGGGGAAATGAGAAGGCACAATCGAAGTGTGGATTTATACCGTCTAGATTTTCAGCCCATAGGCCAGCCCAATGATATATGAAGTTGGACGGTGGAAAGAGAGGTTCCAATTACTTTCATTTATGGATCGGAAACCCTACCCTAGTCACTAGTGTAATCAGCCAAACTAGCATTTATATAAGCTGTTAGAAAAGGAAGCAGATTAAAAGTTTATAAACCACTTTCAAATTATTTTTCGATGTATTAAGCGAGTATTAATTTTTGATAAAAATAAAAAACCGCTGATAAAAAAATTCACCTTATCACTTGTCAATAAAGCTTCTATTTGTTTCTTTAAAACTGGTAACAACATGTCGTTGAAGTTTCGAAATAATCCCTATAACATAATGAAATTCAAAACAAAAAAAGCATAAAAAATTCAGATTACCATAACCAAAATTCAGATTTAATTTTGGAAATGAATGGCTCCTGCATAGTTCCTTTCGTTAATCGTATTCTATAATAAATCGTATTCTAACGAATGAAACTTTTCGATCTTTCTAAATCAACTAAAACGATTATAAACCAATACTACAATAATGGCTTCAATTACTACTAGCGATGGCGTTTCAGCGAACAACATAGAGACCTGTAGCCAACTGAGCCAACCTAATCAGTAATGGTGAGAGTTGTTAGAAGAAGAAGACGATTGTATAAAATTTAGAAATAAAATGAAAAATAAAAAAAATAAATTAAGCTGAATATACTTGAAATAAGCATAGAACAATAACATTAAATCCATCATCATCTTTTTTTTCTTCAACACTCATATAATTGCAAAATTTTGAGCAAAATTCATCGTCATTAAAAAACTGCAAAATTGTGCGTTCGGTTTCATTGAGTTGGTCCAGACCACGATTAGCAGCTTCTTGTTTCGATGGAGCCGCATAGACTTTGAGAGATCAGAAATTGGATAAAAATTAAAAGACGAATTAAACGAAGTCCAATTGAATCGGTTTAATTTATGAATTTTCATAAATTTCTCTTCCCTATGAGTCACCTTCAAAGCTCATAGCACAGAATTGCTTCGTAATTACTTACTTTTGTATGATTTTATAATTTTTTTCGAAAGGGAAAAATAAAAGAAATATTGTTTCAACAAAAAATTCACTTAAAGTTCTAAGTTTGCAAATATAAAATATTGAATTACTTTGGCCAAACGTTAAAGCACCAGTGTACTTTTGTGTAAAAACATCTATTGTTCCACTCTTCAGCATTGCGTGGAATTTTTTGAGAATCATACATGAAAACTAAATTATCCTGTCGTAATCCGTAAACGATAGGCCAGTTGCTGCCAGGACCAAGATTTGACGGCTGAATAAAGTAATAAACATTGATGATATAGAAAATGAAAAACAATTAATAAACTTTAATTGAATGCAAATAGGAAAAGTAATAAATTAATAATAAATTAAAGCAAAGAAATGTAGAATTACCGGGTCTACATCATAAATGACCTTAACTGCTTTTTGCTTATTGATACGAAGCCATGCACCGACCAATCCAGTAGCCATTCGTCGAGTTTTGATTTTATCATCAATTAGCAAACGAACGAAAAGTCTGGAAAAAATAATAATGTGTTCCTAATAGACATGTCACACATATTCATATCAAAAAAAGCCATAAGGCAAATATCCCGGCTTAAGTTTATAGTTAAAGAAAAAGAATTTTCAATTAGACTAAATAAAAAAGCATACTTAATAGCCTCGTCCGGATACGGCACATCCCTACGAATCAATATTGACAAAAAGGATTGAGCCATGTCCACATGTCGCCAGTGAAGAGTTGTATCTGTGCTTAGTGCAATTAATTTTTCGCATAGAGCATAATAAAGCCTGTAAAAAATTTTTTTAATTGGGCAAGTATGATCTTTTACAAATCCACATGAGAATTCTGAAGTTCAAAAAATTACCGTCGTTTCTCTCGAGACAATTCTTCCTCAGCTAAAATGGCCAATTGAATCTCATTTTCATCAGGCATTGGCCATGCCGGTGAATGAACTGAATTATTACAGCCATTTTTGTATAAATTCTTCGCTGCATCAACAGTATTATCCAAAAACTGAAAATCAATTTTTCATCGATGGATGGTTATTTTCTATATTTGCGAAATATATTTCCGAAAAATGCTCGTTATATGTATAAAATTAATTTACAACTTACTTTGAAATTGATTTGAAACGACTCAAAATTATCAACAACAGTATTTTGAGCAAACTCAAGTAACTGTATTACTGATGGTTTCTCTGAATGCTGTGCTTCAACCAATGCCGGCCAAATCTTGAACAATGTCTCCCAGTTTTGTCGTACACAAATAGCTGCACGTTTCCCGTTTAATAATATATATAAAGCTCCCTAAAATTTCAACTATTTTTGCGAAACCTTTATCAGATTATCGAAGAATGTTATCATTTTTTTCTTTAAAAATTCTATCTTTTCTTATGAAAACACAAGAAAAACGTCATCGTTGAAATTTGAATCTTTATGTCTACGATAAATTTTATCTTACTTTCATTTGTTCATGTGATACTTGTGGAGAATTTCGGAGAAGAGCAAGAATATCGTCAAGAATATAGCAATATGAATAAGGTGTCATTTGGAGATAACTATCAAGAACTCGTTGGGCACTAGTACGAACCTAGAATTTAATTTATAATATTTAAAATTTAGTAAAACTCGAGTTTGTTCCTTGCATTTTTTAAAATTTTATCATTTGCTGTTGATAATATCAACAAAACATACTAAGCTATAAGTGCTTGTACTTAATCGAAATAATAATTTGACAACTTGCAAATATTTATCATTGAAATAAAAACCCGATCGCCACAAAAGCCTTTTCTGAAAATGCAATTCATATATGAGTTTATAATACAAAAAATCAAAATTAATTATTTTACTTATTTCTTATATAATTACTTATTTATTTACATTGGGTACTTATTTACATTGGGTAACTGGCTAAACAGCCTTCAGCTAATCGCAAATATTTTAGTTGTTTAAATTCACAAGACTGGAAATCAAGTTGAATAATTTTTAGACGTCTTATTTCCAATATTTTCTAATAGTTTAGATGAATAAATAAAAATAATTAAAAATAATTAAAAACAATTTAAAAATAATTTTTTTATCAAAAAAACTTTCAAAAAAAAATTTAAAAAAAACGAAAAACTTTGTGAAAAAAAATAACAAAAAACTTACACTGTGTTGCAACATGATACCTTCCAGTACCACAGTTTCTAAATTTCCCTTACTACCACGCACAATATCACCCGTAATTCTTTTAGACATTTCATAACTATTACTTAATCGCATATATTTGTTCTATAATTCAATAATGAAATGAACGATAAATTTAAAAAAAAATTGTCATTATTAATATCATTAATTAATAATTGTCATTATTAATATCATTAAAATCATTATTAATAATTTTCATGAATAAAGATAAAGGTAAAAATAAAGATAAAGGTTGATAAAAATTTCATGCAAAAAAATCAATTTGCTATCAATAAATTATTTCATGATGAAAACTCTCTATTTAATTTCATATCCTATTAATAGTGAATTAATAAATATTTTCAAGTTCGCCGAACAATTTTTTTTTGTTTTTAGAGAAAATTACCTTATCTAATCCTTTCGTGAATAAAATAATGTGCAAAATCCCGACAATTACTCTTAGTGGCTTGGTTTCACTTTCACGGAACTGCAATAAGTAGTCGGCAACAGCTGTTATTCGTTCTAATACGACATTCCTTAAATTTAGTCCGTCCTTGACCTTGACTGAAAAGTGATCAATCTAAAACTCTCTAAAAAAAATTTGGAAAATAGATTGTGACAAAACTTTTCGACAAAAAAAAATGGACGAAATTTTATCTGATGCCTAATGATTTCCCAGATTATAAGCGGTTAACGCAAATATAAATTTATAAATTCCTCGTGGAATTAATGATTCGTAATTATAATGTAGTGAAATAAAAATTTAAAAAACCCACGTTTAACACGACTTGGAGCCGTTACACATTCAAATAGGTAAAATTTGATAGGATGTTCTTTCCAAATCAGAGGAGTACCATCCAATGGTGGAACTAAAGCCAAAACACCTTCCAACGCACTACAAACGATTTCCAAGCTCTTCAAAAGATCACCTCTGAATGAAAATTAATTAAAATTAGATATTTTTCATGAGGGAATTTTCAGTCAATCACACTTTTCTAAATTACTAATATTTTATATTATTTTAAATAGATAAATATAAATTTATGCGCCAGCATTCATCATTTTACGTCCAAATTAATACTACCCAAATTTCTTCCCTTAACGGCCCATCGAAATGCAATATAGTTTTGCCCAAATTTAAAATCATAAAATTAAAAACTTTGTTAGATCGATTTAAATTCTTTAAAGGTCTGAAGTTAAACTTGATAAACACTCTTCTTAAACCTCACCACACCCTTTCGTCTTCTTAAATAGCCATTTAGTAGTTTCGCTTTAAACTCCATTGTGCCCCCCAATTCACACTCCGCAGAACCTCTTTAACCTTCATTAATTTTTCTACCTTTCCAAACTCCTTCATACTCTACGATCGCACTTCTCCAGAATTTATAGCATATTTTGCTTTCTAAACCCCATTTTTGTTCTTAAAAAATGTAAGACCGACTTCTAAAATTTAAGCAACCTTGCCATATTCATTTACCACTCATAAAAATTTGCTTATCGCTCGCTTCTTCCATCACTATTATTACCATTATCAATAAATACCATATAAACTACTGTTCTCCTAATCTGTTGAAACCAATGTAATCCCTTGAGGAATACCTCAGAACAGTACTAGTTCCTTATGATTGTTCCAACTGAGGAAAATCTTCCTAAATACACTTTAATCCCCAGAAATCTCATTTTAACCGTCCCAAATATACCCTGATTTCTTTTTGCCTTAAAAATCTCCATCAAACCTCCCACTGTAGTTTTGCTGTAGTCTCAGCTAATGTAAAAATATAAAAGATAGAAGTGAACGGAGATATCGAATAAACATAGTAGAAATTCAAATAATGAATTATAGAAAGTTAAAGCAGTGGGTAAGAATATGAAGCAGGAAAGGAAGTTTTACAACGAATTTTGAGAAAATATGAAGAGATAAGGCATAATTCAAGCATCGGATGAATCTTTTCTTCTTCTAACAACTTTCACCAGTACTGGTTAAGCTGGCTCTGCTGGCTACAAGAGTAAGACGTCTCCAAGCTGTTCGGTCCGACCATCGCTAGTAGTAATAAAAGCCATTCCTTTTTCCATCATTTAAGTCCATATATCGCTGGTCCCCCTATACGTTTAAAATCTTTCCTGAATGCATCAATCCAGATCTTGACTGGCCCTCCTCGCTTTTGACGCCAACCATCACAGGGTTTAGCAAATGACGAAACATAGGTCAACCTTTGTGGTGGACGACGGAGAACGTGCTCTAACCAGCGAAGGCGACACTCTGTGATAATATTATTAGTAAAGGTAGTATTTGAGCGAAGGTGGATACAATCACGTGCGATTTTACCTGTTCGGCAGATCCATAAAATGTTCCTTAGACTCAAAGGTTAATAGCTTCTTAATATCTTCCACTCTCATTGGAATCTTTTACTAATAAATGAAAGCGAACTTGCAGAAAAAAAAATTTGTTCTTACTTTGATAAAGCTTCAACATTCTTTAATTTTTCCAATTCCGGAAAAAAGAATTCTTCTAAGATCTCATTTACAAATGCAAGTTCCTCATCAGAAGGTACGTGAAAATTCACTTTCAATGTTCGCTTATCAACAATTTTCGCCCAATGCTAAAAATTTTAGATTTTTTTTCACATCATTATTCAATTTCTTGAAATTATTTTAAAAATTTTGTAACCGAAAACGAAAATTTCATCCACAAAACCAAAACCTTTATAACTGTATTAGTGCGCAAAATTTAAAAGAAACCCTTATTGGAAGATATTTTTCCAGTGGTTTATCTAAATCTTCACAAGTTTTAGTTCTTGACAAACAAATATTGCAAAGCGAATAAAGTAAACGGAACAATGCATTTCTAGAAACCTAAAACAACATTGAATCATTTGAATTTATTGAAATAATTATCAATCACTAATTAAATTTTAAACAGTGAACAGTGATGATATCAATCATGTACCTAATAAACGAGTACAAAAAGAGTATAAACATGAGAAATTCAATTAAATTCGAATATTTTATTTCGTTTTCACCCAAATTTGTTCTTATCGTTTTAAAAGAATGAAAAAATTGTGGTGAATGGATAGAAATTTCCATTAAATCCAGAAATTTTCATAGAAACCTAATAGCCTAATTATTTAAAAAAAATATTCCACGATTAATAAATAAAAAATTTTATAAAAGACGCAATACCTCACAGGCAGAACGACTTTTTAATGGAAGAATAAGTCTAAGTAAATCCAGGACTCGGTTTTTATGTTGAAGTAAATGTGGCCCTGTGGCGGCGAATAACTTGGAACCAAGTGTCAGGTACCACATAATTGTTGAATCTAATTCTTCCTCTTCATATGTATCATCTGTTAAGATAATAAAAAGATAATAAACTGAATAAATTGATAAAAATAAAATTTCTGAAAAAATTTTAAAAACTTTTTAAAAATTCAAAATAAAACAATAAAACAATAACAATATATAAAAACGAATACTAACCGCTGATTAACATTTTCAGCTTATTTGAGAAAAGATTGAGAAAGCGTTCATAAGTTTCTGACTCGCTAAGCTAAATATATTATAACAAATTTGATAAATATAATCGAAAGATAAATTTGAAAATAAAAATAAAAAATTCATAAAAATTTTTTTATAAATCAATATATATAAAATCTTTAAATTTCTAAATTAGTATTCATTCGAATTATTTAAAATATAACCTTAATTGACCGAAGTATCAATTCTGCAATCACGTCTGCAGCAATATGACTATCGTACATAGTTTTTTCAACAAAATCATATATTAAATCAACAGCCAACTGCAATATTAAAAAATTAAAAAAATATATACTTAAATCTTTTGAAAAATTTTTCATTCTTCTAGTAATATTATCAAATTAATGAGTTAATAAAAGTACAAACAAAAAAATTAACAATAATCTTCTAACTGATTACGGTGTGGGAAAATTCGTAAAAACATACAATCCTAATGTTATTAATACAAAAATACTAAATTATAGCTAATCAAAAAAATATAAAAAAAGAAAAATCAAAAAAAAAGTTGGTAAACCATTCGGATTGAAGTACTGCAGTTGGAAATAATAGCTTTGTATATACCACAAATACCATTTTTTATTAGACCTTCCTCTAAAGAAAGTTTACTGGTAGATTTCGTCATTGATCCTTGTACATTTGTTGATGCTTGTGGTATGGTGCTTATTAATTTGTCAATCATTTCAAACATTCTACAAATCGAATATTTTATTTAAAAAATAATAATCTTTCTTTGCAGCATATAAATTTTTCTGATGAAAAATTTTTTCATTGAATCTTTTCAATCACTAATGGTTTAAAGCTTGCTAAATATATAAAAAAAAATACCATACTTTTCTATAAGACTCTGAATAATAGTATCAAAATTGGCTGTTGCCGAACAGACTTCTTTTTCCTCCTCATTAAGATCGTCTCTTAAATGTACTGCGTCAGAACAATCAACAATGGGAACCATTGTTAATAATAAATGTAGTACCTATAAAAGTTGAAACAATTAAATACTAATGTTTATCTTAATAAATCATAGATATCTTAAGATAATGTAAAGATAATCTGACAAAAAATGCTTACCTGAAAAGCCACCATCATTTTGGGTATATTATTTCCATCCAAACCAGGTATGATTGCGTTCATAAGGGATATAGCATGACCACGATATGGTTTTCCAGATAATTCCTCCATGGTTTCTAAATTTCCTCGTTTACGATTTCCTAGATTCGAATCATCTCGCACAAGAGCAACAGCGATACCAACCAAAGCGCACAAAGACTGAATGGTTCGATGGGGTTCAACAACATTGTCTAATGCTGGATATACTCTGAAGATATATCACTTGAAGGGGCATATGAGCATCAGAAAAAATATCACTTTCTACAATTATCGAATGGATACTGGCACAAATTAATATGTAGAGAGACAAAGACTCGGATTCTGCATGAAAGGAGTAAATCACTAAAAAATCCAAGTGATTCTGGTAACCCACCTGCAGTTCTACTGTTAAATGACCTCCAGGCAAGTTTCCAACCATACTAGCCAAAATTTAATGGAATTGAAAAAAGCTTCTGCAATGTTTTGAAAAAAAGCATAAAAATTTAAAATTTTTTTGATTTGAAGCAGTAGTTTAAGCATCTTCTAAAAGTACCCACCATTTCTGGTTCACCTGGTCTCATTGACTATTAAGAAATCTTCCTGCCAAAGAAAAGAGGACAGATGCGCAGATGGACTTCTGACATTATCCAAATCTAAGTCTTGATAGATCTTAATAAATCTTTTTGATAGGAGCAAATCTTATCATTAAAAGTGAAACCCAAGTAATTTTGGAGACGCACATGTTAAATTCTATTTCTAAGCAAATCTCAAGCGGAAACGCTTCAATTTAACAGTTATCCAAGTCAGAAACGGTGAATGAATATTAAACGAAAGACAATAAGTAGAATGAAAAAAACCAACAAATCTAATACAGCAGGTACGATGATACGGGGTGCTAGCTGAGATAAACAGTGCATAATTGTTGGTCCATATTCTGGCTTGTATTTCGAGAAAACTGCAAGCCTTGCACAAGGTAACATCGATTCAACAAATGTATCTAATTGTGCATTTGTTAAACGCAAATTTGGAGGCACCTTAATAAATAACATTGCTACAATTTGTAATTACAGTAATTAAGCTTATTATAATTGTGTGGAACATTATGGTGTTCGAATTGGTCAGTGTTCAAAATCAGTGTTCGAAATATTCAGCGAAGCTCAAACTACGAGGAATGCTCCGAGTTAACTCGGAAAGATCATATTAAAAAAAACTTTGGGAAATTGCAAGCAAAATAAAAAATCCTGTAACCGCAAGAAATAATAATATGGTCATAGTAATAGCAACAATACTAAAAACAATATTAAAAAGTAGATAATAAATAATAATAATGGATAATAACAGAAAATAATAAATAATAGAAAATATATAAAAATAAATATAAATATAAGAAAGTGTATAAAAAGTATAAATAAATAATTATGTAAATATTATGTAAATAATAATACAAATGACAAATAATAAAAATTATCCTGTAATTTTTTTTAAAAATTTCCTCAAAGAAGCACTTGAGGGTGCAGATTTTTCTTTCTATATCGCTCCCTATTGACTCGCCCACAAACTGCATTAGAAAGTTTTTTCAGAAAACCAAGAATGGCTGCCGAACCATGCACGTAATTTGAAGGATACAAATATGTTTCAAGGGAGCGCAAAAGAACTGTTAAATGAGATTGAATCCTGTAAAATATTTGTTAATAGTTCAATCCTGAATTAAAGTCAGTGATATCGGTAAAAATAGTGGCAATGAGGAAAAAAGTAAATCTTAGGTATTTCTTAGAACTTGAAGGTAAAAAATAACGGCAATATTAATTAAAATGCACTTAAAACATTCGAACTAACCCATCATTTGGTCCACCCAACATGTAAGCAATCCAAGAGGCGGCAATATCAAGATTAAACGATGTGACGGCAGAACCAGCTTTAACACGTTCCTGACCAACTTCAAGATTAAAACTTCTTAATACACGTGTCATGATTACATCGTATTTATCACTCCAATCCACATATCCTGGGCATTCACGAGTCAACCTACAAATATAAAATATAACTGCAAAAATGCAAGAAATAAATTAATAAAACAACGTTAAAAATAATAAAAACAATATAAATAACCACCGAAAAAAACGGAAAATGACTATTTTTTGGATTTTCGTAATAAAAAATGCAATTAATTAGGAATTTCGCTAGAGGAAAAAATATGAAATTTCATGGAAAATTAGGAAAAGGTAAAAGAAAGATAAATTGCTTTTTTTTTCTATTTTATTAAAAATAGATTATAATTACATTGCTTTAATAAAAATTAAACCTAGAAAGAATACTCTCGATTCGTTGTTCATATATAGCATTCACTTCGAATTTAGTAAACCAATGCCACATTTCTTCGAACCATAGTCGTGCACCATATTTATCATGAAGATTATGATCAAGACATGTCGGCAAAAACAGATAAAATATTGTCAATGCACGGTGCATACTTTCATCCCAAGGACACATATATGGTCGCACCTAAAAGCTTTTCTAATCGACTATTTCACAAAACAAATCTTTCGTAATGAATAGCACACTAATAATACATTAATCTTTATCTTTCTAGCCTATTTGACTACGATTAAAATCTCAAATTTCAAGATATTAAAATATTTTCAAGATACATTTTTTTTCAGAAATATTAATAAAAACTTAGAGAATCACCCATTTTAATTGAAATTTTCTGCGAAAATGTGCGAAAAAGAAATTGAGATTCGATATTAATAATATGATGATAATCAATTGCACTGATAAAGTTTCAGCTCCAACCCGACGAAATATTGCGGAGATTCCATTCTTCGCGAATTTCGCAGTTAGAAAATAATTAAGCACCACTGCATAATATAATGACAACTTTAGTGTTATGTTTTAAATTCTGATCAAATTGTTTCTCCATTGTTTCTTATCAATTTTATCAAATTACCAATTCATCCTCCTTCATGGATCAATGTATAAAATATTCCAACGATTTCTTGCGGAGAGAAGAAAGACGGGAAGTTGATTGCAACAATATTTATCATTTTAAAAAACGATATTTTTTTAAAAAATAAAACGAGAAAATTAGAAAAATGTAAATGTAAGGCGAAGAATCGCAAACATTTTATCTTTGTGGGGGTAAAAATCATGCAAATACTCTAAATTTGCGACTTCAGAGAAAAAATTAACTCTTGAAATTTTAGTTGCCATCAGAAAAGGACCATAGATTAGCTGCTGCATAGAATATTCCTCCGTTTGTAAAATGAGTTAAGAAAGAGGCACACAAACCATATGCCTGTTTTCAAATGGAAAAAATCGACAAAGTTATTTCAGGCAAATCCAGAAAAATGACCTGTATTCAGATGTAAAGTTCGAACATTATAAATTTAAATATAAAGATAGCCAGAAGCGCTTCAAAAATCTCTCAAGAGGAAAGTTTCTTCTCCTTTTAACTATACACTTTCAAAAAAAGAAAACCTTATCAAAACTCAACTTTCGTCTCGAAATAAGCACCAACATACTCAACATAGTTTTGGCATTTATTACATCTGCATAAATCTGCCGAAACCTTCGTATCTTCGCAATCAGACAATAAATTTGTTATCGAAAAAAGATATTATCACTGATATTAATGATAAATTTGATTTTAACTGTAATATGTCACATCGATCTGGATAATTTGCTCATAATTTCACACACATTTTTGTATAATAACGTATTGCTTTGATCATTGTCATCTTAAGCTGATATTTTTTGTCATTTATTATAATTAAACATCGTTTATATCGCCGTTATTTTAAATGCATAATTAATCGAATTCAAAATTCATTAGAATGGCTCATTAGAACTGAGAACGATAAAACAAGATTTTGGTATTCATCTATGAAATCTTCCATGGATGTTCCATGTAAATTGTTGAATCATCCCAAACATTATAAAACTCCGACGCAATGAAGCTTTTTATTGAAATTATTGAAATCTGCAGAACTAATCTAAGAACTCATCCGTAGTTATTTTATTCGTTCAACTAATTCCTAATTTTTGCACTATCCATATTTATTTTTAGATAAAAACTTAATAATATTCAACAATTCAGTTTGAACAGGCAATATGAGAAGGTCGCAATGAAGATTTTTTGTCTTTTATTATTTTAAATTATTTTAATCTTAATCACATAAAAAATATAAATCTTAATCACATAAAAAAATTTATGTTTTACCTTCTTTTCTAATCTTGCAATTCTAACAATTTTTCACTTTATTTATCAAGCAAATTGCTATCTAGTGAAATTTATTTGGTGAAAATTTTCATACCTCTAATTCGTTTCAAATAATTTAATCTCACCATTTACGATCCGACATTATTTCTTTGTTAATTGTATAAAAAAAGCAGTTGTAAAAAAAAAAGATAATTAGTAAAATTGCTGTAAATATCGATTAGCGAATAATTTTACCAAGAGAATTTCGCGTTACTTACCTCATCTAAGATTTCCCTTGTAGCATCATGAGTGAAAAACAATCGACATCGTGCGATTACCTAAGAAATTGTATTTATGATAAGCAAAAACCAGAAAAATAATTTTTATTAGCTCTATAAAAGTTGAAAAAAAAAATTCCTTTAAAAATTTTAAGAATTTTTAAGAAAGGTAAAAGGTAAAAAATTACCAATTCCAATGATCCTTTTAATTCTTCTGGAAGCAACAAAATTCCGTCTCCTTCTAAATTTTTATATGCCACTTCCACATAGATTTCATACAATCTTCGCCAGCCCAATTGCAAATCGCTATGTGAAATGAGATCTTTCTTCCTAAACTTATGACAAATGGCAAATTTTTATTATTTTACGACTAAATATTATCTTTCATCCCCATAATTTTATTTACTAAGAAGAGATCTTCTCAAATTGTCAATAATGCAAAATTTCACAAAATTAAAAAAAGCAATAATAAGTAATTTGGTAAAAGTAAACTAAAAAATTAATTGAATATCCCATAAATTTTACAATAACGCTGCAAGGCACAATGCACTATTCTTGACAATACGAAAATCTGCTCCTTTCATTGTCAAACAAGCGTATAAAAATTCAGCGAGTGATATATAATCCGCTTTACTGAATCGACATGAATAGAATGAAATATACCTAAAGGCAATTAGGCAATTAAATAGAAAGGCAATTAAGTCACAAAGAAAAAGTCGTCGAAAATCGAAACGATTAACAAACTGAAAAAAAAAATAAAAGAACAAATGAAAGCTTTTCCCACTAAATTCAATATTAACAGTTTTTACCACTTATTTGCTACTGAAAAAACGACAATTTAAATGATTACGAATAATGTTAGCTAACTTTTGAAGCTCAAGCATCCATTGCACCAGGCTGGGCTGCGCATTTCTGAGAAGAACAGAATGGGCCAGACCGCCTTTGATACTTCTGAAATCATTTACTGAAAAACCTTTCTAAATCAATCGACTTCATCTTCTTTTAGAGATCACTTAGCTGGTTAGGCTCCCTTCCCTGGCCTGTCGGGCTAAACGAATATGCTAGGAGTCCCTTGGCGACAGAAGGATGAGTCACCAGCATCACCGACATCTTTGAAGGATTTGGTTTCCCTAAGTCGGGAAAAGAACCTCAGCACTAGTGCTTTGAATTAAGCAACAATCCTCTGAGAATTCAACTTTCCTTTGCTTCCGCCGTTAGACCCTATGAAGCGTTGTGCGTCAGCTGGATTCGAATCCAAGCCTTGGTTCTCCGTGGCTTTTACCTTATCACTGATCTACCACGAACAACTTAGTATATTTTATATATTGAGAAATATAACATTAAAATGAGATAAAAAATAAGATACTCGGAACAAATCACTAAAAAGTTCTCTATAACTGAAAAAAAATTTCGCTATTCTTCGAAAGAGCCTCTCGGGAAAGAAATTATTCAAGTCGAAATGGCTGCTGGGTATAATCTCTATTCGTATGTAACTCTATGGTAAAAGAATTAATTTCACCTTAGCAATTAACGAAGATAATTAAAAAGCTCCAAATGACTATTTATTATATGTAAGAATATCTCATTGTATCATTTATCATTTAAATAATTTAAAAATTCATTCAGTTGCAATATTTTATATAAAAATTCACAAATCTTCTTTAAAAAATTCTCGACCTGAAATATTCATTTGCTTCCTTTTCAATTTCATCATAATATGGAAGAAATTTAAGTTGCCAATATTCTTTTAACCAAGGCGATAGGCTGTCTTCTTCTTCTTCTTCTTCAGGATCAAGTTCTTTAAATTAACCATAAAACATATACATATAAGATAAGGGGAAATAAAAAATTAAGAATTCGAAATACATTGCCTGAAAAATTTTAATTCAGATTTTTATCAATAAATTCAATAAAAACGATCGATTCTGATTATCTCTAAATAATTTTATGACATTTTATATATAAAAAACTATCGATCACTCTGAAAAAAATTCTAAAATGATTTTAACCTTCAATTTCTGACATTGGTTGTTCATCATTTTCATCAATTTCCGTTTCAGCATCACTTGAAGAGTGATCATCAGAGGAATCACTGCTATCCATCGCCGAAACAATTCAAATAATGTGCCTGAATTTAATTCAAATAAAAAAAAATTTCAACTCACTTGAAATTCGATAATAGCAATGATCATTATTGTTGAATTTTATATTTACCTTAACAAATCAACAAATTGAATGCTTTATTGCAAACTGATAAACTAAATAACTGAACATTTTACATAACGGTGGCTATATCAAATGTCAAATAAATATTGCCTCTGTACTAATAAGTGAATTTTCATAGAACGCGTACGTTATTACTTCGTTTGCAACATTCAACTGCCATAAACGCACTGATTTCTTCTTAGTTTACTCTTGACGAATGAAAAAAAAATTATCCTAAATAAGTAAATTAAATAAAATAAAATCAATTTTATAAAATTGGTTCTGCACGAAAGAATCCAACAATTCAGGATAGAGTGGCTTAGAAACATCAGAGTACTGAATAATAACGCAGCCAACTTAACCATGGCACAGATCGTTGGAAGAAGGAAAAAATTTTTGAAATACAAAATTTTAAATTTTTCGAAATCGCTTGAACAGAAGAAAAGTATTTTGTGAAAAAGATTTTCATTTATTGAAATATCTTTTTAATCGTCAAATCATTTTCTTTCATCAACAAAATTCCTAACAGCATTCCTATTACTCGTTAGGCCGGCTCCACTTGCTACATCAATAACACGATTAACAATAATTGCTAACTGCCATTGCTAACAATAACAAAAGCTACTGCTCTTTACAGTATCTAAATACGCAAATCAGCCTACCAATATATTTAAAATCCTTCTTAACTGTATCGATCCAGGTCTTGAATGATTCTAAGCCGGTGCTGAATTGCCAAAAATAAGCAGTTACCAGTTTCTAGCATGTAAGACTTTCGACGAAACACTTTCGTTTCATTTCCATTAATGAGTCCGAATCCTTCCACTGCAATTGCCAACATATTGTTTAGCATTATTTGCATTTCGTCATAACTCAGAAAAATGCATCATCAGCGTATTCTGATACGATCTGGACTGATACGATGATCTGGACTAACTTGCAAATGTCTTGAGTGCCGATAAGTGATGTCCATCATCCAATCGCAAGTTGAATAGCGCAGAGGAAAGAATATAATCTTAATGGACATCAGTTCTTATTTCGAACCAATCAGTTTCCCATATACAAAGACCTGTGCAGATGTATACTGATAAAATGCTTTTATGAGCTAAATGGTCTTCTCTAGAATCCATCGTCACATTCCACCACTCTCTAAAGCGTTCTATCAACTAAATTGAAGGTAGCTGATAATCGATGTAACAAGTGACGATGGATTGCCAATTTCTAAAGCAATGTTCCAACACCTCATGATGTGAGCTAATTAACATAACTGCGACCTGGTCTGAATCCAGCTTCGTTAAGGTACATCCTCTTGTTTCGTACTGCCATAAGCCTGCTCAGTAGAAAGGTACCGCAAATTTTCCCGAAATACAATGATTCCTCGATAACTATTACATTATGTCTTATCACTATTTTAGAGAATTGGAAGCGCTTTGCTCCAGTCATCTGGTACTTTTTTCTTCCATACCAGAGAATTGAAGATGTGTTATAAAAAGCGCTTGACAATAAAGATTTTAAAGATTTCGGCTCAAAAACCATATTCTCCCAGTTTGTTGGCCTTAAGCTTCTCGAAGGTAGAGATTATTTTGTTTTGCTGGCAATTCGCAATCGCAAACATATGGCTTGACAAGTGACACAGCAAAATCCGAGACAAGAGATCATGCACCTTCCACTTTGAGCGCCGCGATAGGAATAACTACCTAGAATGTAATTCTTCCAACGACGACTGACCAGGATATAATGAAACTAGGCTATGTTCCTTTAATACTCCATCAAACCAGTTACAACCGTCCATATCTATAAAAACCGCTAAATTCTTGTCGAATTACTTTTTATCATCTCAAATATCCTTATACTCCACCCAGTCCCATTATGGACCCTACGAAATTCCACTGGGTCTTTTTGATAAAAATCCACTAATAAATACTCGTAAATACCGATGCAATACGTGAAAATTTATGAATAAACTGAATAAACTAAAATAAATTTTTTTGGCGGGGAGATACTGTAGTATCGCGGTATGCATTACAATATGCGCAATATGTGCGCAATATGCAAAACCCACGTAAAAAACACGTTAAAATGCTCGGAAAATCTTGAAAATTCATCATGTCCATTACGTTCCTCAAAATCTGTGATATTGTTATTGTGAAAAATCTCCGCGATCGCCGTTGAACCCCCTTCCGACTCGTTTCAACCGCCGCTGCATATTTCCATTATAATTGTAAGCAATATATTGTTTTAAACTCCCTCTTCCTTACGCCAACCTTTAATGAGACATAGGATTTAACAATCTCTCAAAACTAGCCACTCTTAACAAATACCCCGCTAAAAATTCGCATTTTAGCCGTATCGCAGTGATAAATTGGAAAATTATAAAAATGGTGGTACCGTAGGAATATAGGAGAATATAATGGGTTTCGAGACGATTCAGGTTGTGTGCAAAGATTGGAAGACAATTCTGTACACGTAAGATAAATGATTTCCACTCATAAACGTGGAAAACGTTGAATAACAATCAACAAATCAAACATCATTTAGCCTAGCTAGCAGATGGTATCGTCAACATTAAATTTCGGCTGGAATATAATGACTGTCATTTAGAAAACTCTACTTTTCGTTTTCCAAATATTAGTACTGTCTGAGCTTGGTACCTAACATGGATGCAAAGCGGTCAGTTTCAGGTTGCATGAAGAACGGTTTGATGGATTTTTTACTAGGAGCATTCGAATATGGTAAAAAATTAATAAAATCATAGTTTTTGAATAGTGAGACTACAGTTTCGAGTAGAAAATTATGAGTTATTGATGAGAAAAAAAAAGAAAAGCCGAAAAGTATAACCGATCAGTGTTCACATAAGCGAAAAGTTCTGATTAGGGGCCGCTATCCACATAACCGGAAAGTGCAATAAATTATTTGTTTTTAAACATTTTTGGGAGAAAAATTTATAAAATTTTCAAATGATAAAATTTTCATTTAGGAAATTTTTCGCTTTTGCTTGACCAAATATTAAAAGTAAACTAAAAAGGGTGAACATAAAACTAGTGGGATATTTGGTCATATTTTCGTGAAACTATTGCATCAGTGCTTGCTTTGATGGAAAATTGCATAATAATTGATGAAATTTGACGGCATTACTCGAATTCATTAGCCGTAGTAGGTTCTGCGCCCCTTTCTTAGGCGAAATTTTACATTCTAAAAAAAGGCTAATATTGCAATTATATTTTTATTCTTATTTTAGAATTGTTCATTTGTTATTTAGAATGAAATAAATTCATTTTTTTTGGTACTGAAACTCGAATGGAAAGAGAAATCGATCAAGAATATTTGAATAAACTTGGTAAATTTTTTTACAAAATTTTTGCAAAATATTTATTATTTTTAATTTATCAATTTTATATCAAATTTTTAATTTTCAATTTATTTTTAATTTATTTATTTTATCAAAGTAGAATGAGAAATTTGATAAAACTTATTACTAAACTTATAACCTTAAATTGCTAAATTTCAGTCTCTTCGCTATAAATTCCCCTTTAGATTCTATCATATTTTGCGAAAACTTCTTCAAATGCCACCCCTTAATACCAAACCCCGTTTTTATTTAATATTTTAATACCGTACTCTCATATTTTTCTACAATACCTAGGCTGGAGCGAGATGCAATCATCTAACTCCACCCAGTTCATGATGTTCAGCCAATACCATATCAGACTTTGCTTTTCTGCATCCTATTGCCATAATCCATTAGTAAGACTGAAACTCTCTTGTGCCGTCTTGATCCTCTTAGACTCTTATAGTCCATTGGCCAGCTTCATGGAGCCTATTTGGTGCTTCGTTTCATCAATTTCCCGCCAATCCTCTTTGGCGCTACATAAAATTTTTCTCTATCATTTTGCGAAAAGTTTACAGTAATAGTTTTTTAAATTACCCTTTGTACTATTTTGGCTTCATTAGACCCCACTATGGTCTCCTATCACATTGCCAAATTCTACTGCGCTTTTTCTTTGCGACCTGCTAATGCTTTTGTAACTTTTTGCTTCGAAAAGCTTCGAACTGCCATGTTGAAACTCTTTGAAATCCCTTAATTCACAAAATTCTTTCAAGCATTATTTTTCTCTTTTTCCATAATCCATAACTATTTCTTTGTTTTCGTAGAAAATCATGCTTGGGAGTATCTCGTCAAATCACATAACGCACTTTCGCTGCTACCTATTATATACAAAATTATAAAGTAACAAAAGATAAACTGTGAGTTTAACAGGAATTGGTTGGTGCTAAGCGTAGTTTTATGCGAAAAGGAATCGTAAATAGCTTTGATGGAGGCCATCTTTAAAACAATTTTTTGATGTTTTATGATTTTGATATATAAAAATATTCATATTTTGTTCAAAATCTCAAATTTAGTCAAATATCTTCTTAAGACATCTAGGATTCCGTTATTTTTCTATTGCTGCTAAAATTCACTGCCACAATCCTTTCGTACCTTTTGAGAATTTTTGGATTTATTAAACCTTAAATTTCACGTCGTAGCTTAATGTTTCTAATGCATATTTCAATTCCATTTCAGATTTGAGCATTTAAACTTCGTTTCAAATATTTCAGAAATTTATAACATTTATCAGTTTTCTTTTCACTGACTATGCATTCCTTTTCAGAAAATAGATTGAAAATTTTGCATAATCGGGGCGAAAAAATCAAATCAACAGATATTATCAGCGATCTGCAAGCTTATCGTGAAGATAGGGTAAATGCTTTTTTTCTTGTTTACTTTGCTATCTCTAAAGTATTGTGTATTAAATGTTATTATTATTAGTAGATAGGGTATTTTAAGAAAATTTTACTATAGGATCATGGGTGATATCTATTACTGAATGCAAATATGGTTATCAATGCCAGTTATAAAGCTAATATTTTTTTTTAAGAGCCCTCACCATTACTGATTAAACTCGCTTCACTGGCTTGGGCAATTTGCCAGGGAGTCCCTTGGCGATAGAAATGCAGATGAGTCGCCAGAATCACCCCGATTTTCGTATAGTTTCGTCCTGCGGGGAATCGAACCTCAGCATCGGCAATCCGAATTTAACAACAATCCGCTGAGCCATTCTATCTCCTATAAAACTAATGTAGTGCAAGATGAATCATATATTCTGGCAAAAATAGTTGCAATTATTCACAAATCAGGGAAAATTAAGGCATTTTACCAAATTTTGCCTTGACGGTTCCTTGACAGTTTCGATCTGCTTTTTATAAATTATATTTTTCATTAATCTTTTTATTACTATCTGCTTAGATTTAATTTTTCAGCTTTTTACTTTGATGACAGGTAAAGATCTTCGTTTTGACGACAGTTTTGAAGATATATTGGTTTCATCGTCTTACATTCAACGAAAACTTTTTCCTCAAACTGTAGCCACTAGCGCTGAAGAATTAATTGAACTTGTCAAGGCAGATTTTCTTGAAGTACATTAAAAATTTTACTATTAAAGCTTTAAAAATATTTCATGGTTTGATAGAAATAAAAGATTACTCGTTTCTTTCGATTATTTTAGAAAGATATGCTGCCATTTTCTTTGTAACATTTGTAGTTATATGTCTTTAAACGAAAGATTTAGAATGATTCGTTTTCAATATATTTTTTTGGCAAATTAGACATTTGTAAAGTGTAATATTGCATTATAATCATTGCAATATAATTATAAAATGAAATGAAAATGTAATGCTTCCAGAATATAATATTAAATGCTTCCAGAATTCTGCTGACGAAAGTAAGAATTTTATTGAAACGAATGAATAAGTTGCCCACTTGGGAAGAACGTTTCTTTATTCCGGTACTTTCCTCCAACACTTACGGTTTACACTGTATTCGAGGTATCTTTTCTTTTTATCTTGATGATATTATGTATTAAAAAACTGTTTTGTTGAAAATATTTCAAAAATTTATTTCATAGAGTGATTTTGGTGATAAGTTTTCTAATAATGAATAAGGATATTGGTTAGAAATTCGGGAATGATAATAAAATTTGATAATATTGATATCAACAGTCTGATTTGGAATATCAAGCTTTTATTATCACTTTTTTTACTTATATTGCATTCATTCCGTGTATACGAGACAAATATTCCTACAGCATTATTACTCGTATTTCTCGGATTTTTTTTTTATTACGAAATCTATAGGAAAAAATGCAAAATTTAGAAAGTACGGAAACTTTTGTATTATGCATTTCCGTGTTCGGTGACGTAGTATGGATAGACGGAGTTGGTAATTCGAATTTAACAAAATTGATTAAGCAGCCATTAAGAGAAGGAGAATTGATGGAACTGGTCGCTTCAGATTTTGCTTTAAATCCAGATCCAAAAATTCTTGCTTTCTTAGTTTCATGGTATAATTTTTTATTTATAATATCAATTTTATTTTATTTATTCTCTTTCCATTCTATTTGAATAGCATTTACTTCGGCAACGATGCTATAGGTTAATTTCATTAAGTTAAAGATTCTTATGACAATTATTTTTGGATATAATGATTGTTTAATCTTGAATATTAATCTAAAATAACTTTTAAATTTCTAAAATTAATTTTAAAATTAATTCCATAAAATCATTGCAGCTGGGTTATTTTCGATGATCGTTATCGTCCAATTCGTTATTTTGCTGCTTTATTTAAAATTCTTTCAGATCGCTCTTTTGATTTAGGTATGAAAATTTTCGGGAAAAAAGGCTTTTTATAGAATATCGAACTTGTATATTTCTTTGCTTAACGATGAACGATGTTATATTACCTTGATTTATTTTTTAATTTGCAGTACATGAATTCCCCTTAGAAAATCCTCCTACATTCACAAAAGTTATAGCAGAATCGCAGACTGTTAAGGATCGCAATTGCTGGCTTATTTTTACATCTTCTCAAGCTGCTCGACTATATCTTATTGATGTAAGGTTTAATTATACGATGCTGTCTTTATATTTATATTATTATAGATCTACATCCATATATGCTGAAGAAAATTTCTTTTTTAATAACTTTGTCTTTTAAATATTTTAATCTACTTTCACTTACCGTTGGCAGTGTTTTTTTCTTTCAGCCACTCTCTTTAGCAGTGGAAGAGGTGGATTCGATTGGTGATATATATCCTGGTTTAGATCTTGGCGATTTACCTGGTTCGGTGATAAGGTGGGAATTTAGATAAAAACTTTCCAGCTTTTCAAATTCTTTTCTGTAACACAGTTATATGAAGTACGATGCTAATTACAATACTATTTTTAGGTCATCGTGCTTCCAGAGTTGTACCTATCGTTGGTCACTTTTGGGTTTTGACACTGGTTATGCAATAGTAACAACATTATCTCTTCAGACCAATTTCATCGTCCATAGGTTACCTTTTTCTGCCCAGATTGGTTCTAGTGATTTAATGTCAGCATGGTGAAAATTACATGAACATGTATTTAGATATATGCTAAAAAGAATTTATGTATGCTAAAAGGAATTTTTCAAGTTGTGTTATCGTCTTTTTCTAGAAGCAAACTGAAATTCTCTGGACCAATATCTGTGCTGCAATTTTTGCCCATAGAAGGCCGTGAAGACAAAATTCTGGTGCTAATATCGTCAACGCTTGGACCGGCAGCTATCTGGAATATTGTAATGACTGCTGATAAAAGTCGATTTGAGTGGAAAAAATTAAAAGTTTTGTACGATACTAAGGGGGTCGATATGATAACCTGTTCTTATACTGGTGCAAAGCTTCTAGGACTTGGCAGCTACGGAGGAGTATGTTGTTTTTATTCATTAATTTATAGGCATTAACAGATGATGGTGTTAAAAATTCAACTGTAACTTATTTATACTTTTATTCTTATGAAAAATTTCTGTTTCAGGTTTTATTGATCTATAGAATTTGTGATTTAATTTCTGAAAACATCAATATAACTCCGCTATATCACATAAGGCATATGACTCCTGTGATTTCCATGGTATTTTTAAACGATAAATTTTTGGTTCTTCTATCTTGCCAAGGCATGCATTTAATGGTATGTTCTGAAAAAAAATCGGATGACATATACTTTCCCTATCTAACGGGAGACCATTCGAAATACTCTCAGAACAGTCTAGGAAGTTGATATAAAAAAAGCTGGACCTTTTTACGAATTTTGAAACCTTTTCAAATAATTAAATTAAATAGAATTGCATATCTTGAATATATTGTTATTATTACTTTATTATATATTATAGAATAAAATAATTTCAAAAGCAAATTTATACGACACCAAATATTTCTAGGTGAATATTTGCTTTTTATTGAAGGTGGAAGTTTTAAAAATCAAGAAAAGAAGTCAGCAAAGTAACTGGGTTTTACTAAATTTCAACGACTTATGGCATAACGGAATTACGAAATCTTTTTGTTTTTTGATGTCCTATGAAATAGGTTAGGTGATATATGTATACAAAGACGGTTTTTAAAAGTCCTTTTAGGGTTTTCTCTGTTTTCTTCCATTATGTTTCATCACTGATCAGCGATATGATCAAATAAACATTGCAACATTTTTTTTACATTAATAAAAATATCAAAAAAACTTTTTACATTGTCAAAATATCGGCATAAATTCTATAAGCGTTTCCATCAAATTTTTTGCAAATTTCTTATTAGTGCAAAATCAAACAAAAGAAGACAGTTTTTTTTTTAAATTCAATGAAAATTTTCGTTCTCTTACGAATGGTAATGGAAATATTTCTTTAATGGAAAGTTGAGAATTGGCAGTTAAAAAATTAATTTGGTTTATCGATAATTTTCTAAGTGGAAATGTAATCAAACATTATTTTTGACGTTATTTGATAAGATTTTAATGTATTAAAGTTCTTATATGAGATTGATAATAAGGCTTTTTGAAAAAAGAGGATTATTTTAGTAAAAATCATCGACCATTTCGAAAAGAAAACATTTGATCAAGAATTTCATATATTCCCTTATACTAAAGAAAAAGGAAGTCAAATATTTTAACGTAAATTTGACAATTTTTATCATAATCATAGCAAAAAATAAAGATATACAGCATGTGACTATCAATAACTATCGAAATTTCTATGAAACTTTTATTTTTTTCAGGTTTTTTTTTTTAAATGAAAATATCAAAGATGAGCAGAACAAGTTTCAACTATATGAAAAAATTACAAGAAGAAATTTTTTTTTGTCTTTTTTTGATGTTTTTTCATCGTTGAAATTTTTCTAGACTTATGAATTAATTCTACAATTTCTGAATTTTTGAGTTTAAAGGATAGGGACGAACCATAAAGCACACTTTTTATTTTTATTGTAAAAAAAAAGATAATTGCAACTGGTTTTGTGAATGATGCATTACATAATTAAACTGGAAGCGTTAAGTAGATTTTTTTGTTCTTTTTTATATTTTTTATATTCTTCATTTTTATGTTCTTTTTTTTGGCATAAAATACACACTTAAAATAGAATCTTCCGACTTCGAGGACTTAGTTTTGAATTAATCAAATCGTAGGCCATGAAGGATTCATTATTTCTTCTCGAATATTGCAAATTGCATAACAATTTTCGAATATTTTCTTGATTAAAGTAAAGGCTATTGTTGTGAATTTTACATATTTATATATTATATATTTTATATTTTATGCCTATTATTTATTATTCAGCACCAACCTTGCACACAAATATTTATGTTCATTTTTTTGATGATAGTTTTTTTTTTCCAATCAAATGGCTGAATTTTTGGAAAAACTCACAATGCTCCCCAGCAAAGCATCGACAGCTTCGAAAAATGATTGCTGAATTTCAAAGGTTCTGAAAGAATCGGAAATCTAATTGTATAAATAATAAAAATTTCGTTAATAAAAATTAAATATTTTAGGGCTATCTTTATGATAATTTTTATATATTCTTGATGCTCCTAAAAGTTTTACTGCTAAGGATTTTTTTATTAGGGAATATTTACTAGGATTTCCTCACAAAGTTTTCCTAAACAGAAAGAAATCTTCAAGGAAGAATTTATTGAAATTATATGATGTAATTTAATGCTTAATCAGGTTTGATATATTTTAATGCTCAACCCGGTTCTAAAAATGCGTATAATTTATAAATTTATAAATTAATTTATTTATAAATACGTATATACTTCATGTAAATATTCCCTTAGAAATCGATTATATATTTTTTTCTAATAATAGTTCCTTGTAGCACCATCAGTCGTTTTGCAAATGTAAACATGCTTTTTTCTTTTATCAGTATTCTACTGATAAATTTCGCTTAGTCTCTATTATCAAAAGGTATACCAAAATGATATTTTAATAAATTTTCCACAAACACTCCTTTTCTGATTCTTTTATGTGATTATAAAAAAAAAGATCCATCCAATTTTTTTTCCAAAATCATTAATTTAGTCTTCTAAATAAACGACCACAAATCAGTATAAATAAAATTCACCGCAGAAATTCTTAACGCATCTAAAATTCATCTTTCGATTAAGTTTGGAAATTTTATTTTGGTAAGAATATATATAAAATCATTTTATCATTTTTTTAAATCTTTATTCAAATAATATTCAGTAAAGAATATTTAGGAAAAATTCGATTTTTTAACTATTCTTCTCAGTTTTTACCAAAATTTTACTTCATTTTGGTGCACGAGTTTCCAGTTTCCCGTTTTTCTTCTTCATATTTTCAAGTAACTTTGTGAAAAAAATGAATAAACCATATGAATGAATAAAGCCAAATTAAACCAGAAATTGATTACTGTTTGAAGATGAAGAAAAGAAAAAAAAGGCTTGGTGAACAATTTTACTCTACCAACAGGCTACAGATATATCATTGGCTACAGAAAAGTTTTGATCGTACTTCTTATGATTTGAGTTTTTTTGTAAAATTGCAATGGTAAAACAAGCATTGTATGAAAAACGATCCTCTATCCTCTAAAGTTTTTATTCAGCCAAGTTTTTATCTTATTGTAATCATGTTTGTTCGTTACAGCTGAGATTATTTATATCGCAACAACGCTGATATTTTGTTCAAATTGCAGGAATTAGAAATTGGACCTAATTCAGTGCAAAAATTTGGGAAAAGATATGGATAAAGATTGTCAAGTCAGTACACAGCATTCATTCCCACTAATTAATTATAATTATAAAATGCCGCCAATTCACGATTTCTTCCAAATTTCATTTCTTTTTATGATCTTTAATTAGATAAAAATTCCTCTCTGTGGGTGGCATTGGCCATCTTCAACCACGGTCCATCTACCAAAGACCTTGGAAATGACCATATTTAAATGTGTGCTTTTATTAATAGAAATGGTGCATTTTATGTTCTCATTATTTTAGGTGATAACATTCTTCGTATTGTTCTTAACAGTGTATTTTCTGGAAGCTATAGGTGGATTTTATATGACAAGGTAACCATTTAAAGTATTGTCTTGAATAGTCGCACGAGAATATGTTGTTGCAGACCAATTGGGTTTTGTTTTAGTTCAGTGGTATCAATTGAGAAACAGTTCCAAATTACAAGTCGAATGTCTGGCTTGATGGTATCTGCTGGAGATTTCGGTTATATTCCTTCTGTTATATTCGTCAGCTATCTCGGAGGAAAAGTTCGTCTTATTTTCTTTAATTTTCTTGCGAAAATCTTCGCCTATCATAAATTTACTTTGATAATTGATTTTCTGCTATGATTTTTCTCAATCAATGAATTTTATAGGGTAATAGAGCGAAATGGATCGGTGGTGGATGCCTGTTAATAGCTTTTGCTAATTTCTTGATAAGCATGTCTAATTTTTTATTTCCGGTTGGAAATGTTCAACTGAATACAAGTTTTATAGGTTAAATAATTGCACATTTTCAAAATTTAACAGTATATACATTTATTCCTTTTTGAGGCACTTAATGATTCATTTCATATAGGATGGCTCAGGTGGGTTGTTGCTCAATTTGTTGCGCCGATACTAAGGTTCTATTCCCTGTAGGAGTAAACCTGTTCAAAAATCTGGGTGATGCTGGCGACTTAGCTGTATTTCTATCGCCAAGGGACTCTCTGGCATATTTGTCCAATGCGACAAGCCAGCGGAGTGAGTTTAACCATTAATGGTGAAAACTCTTTAAAAAAATGATGCATTTCAGAACATAGACTTGAAAGAGATCCAGACCGGTTAGATAATAGCATTTTAGTGAATTCGTTTACGAGCTTCATCAAAGACCACGGTTTGCACGAAAATTCTACCAACCAGGTTCATTCTGATCAATATTCAATATATAGGAAATAGTCTGTTATAAAATTCTGGATGACCTATTCATTTATTTTTTCGCGAGTTTCAGCTCAGTTTTATTTTAAATAACGATAACGAAACTTCTGTGAAGTCATTTATTCGAGAAAAATTAAATTTTTGTTCAAAACAAAATACTACGTTTGCTGCATGCAAGCAATATTTTGTGAGTTAAATCATATATTAGAAATTAAACTATCTTTTAAGTTTATAGAAGGAAAATTTGTTGATGAAATAATGAGGGAAAATAGATAATATTGAATGGTAAATTGATGGAAAAGAACTAACGGCTGTTCTAAATTAACTAAATTAAATTATCTTAACTAAATTATTAAACGGCTAGCTAGTGTGTGGTGGAAACAGATATGATAAGATAAGATAGGATAAATTCTTTATTTAATTTGTTAGCTATTTGATATTTGTCATAAATTTATTAAATTTATATTTTTAAATTAAATTTATTGCTGAATTAAATTTATTTTTTTTGATAGCCTTTTATGCATCTAATCACTATTACTGTTTTAAGGAATATTTGAGCAAGGCAAATACTGTAAATGCAACTGAAATATCGAGTATTCGAATTCTTACTGGTTCACCCTTCTCTATGTGTAGTGTTTCTCTAAATGCCCTTAGGATTAAGGTATATATTAGTTTATTGTACGCTAAATATTTTTTAAATTTTGAAGTGTATCGTTAACACAATATGAGGGGTTAATAGTTCACAGTTCTATGGTTCTATTTTATTCATTTGTTGGTGAGATTTGATAATGTTTAAGTATTGTGTGAAATGAGATTCTAAAGGTGTTGCGACAATTAATAGATTTGTTTCTAAGCATGCAAAAAATTTATTTTAGATTAAAAGTATAAAATGTTCAACTGATCCGTCGAATTCTGGTCCTTTTGTAATGATTTTTGTTGGCCTTCTAATTCTTGGTATTGGTCGAACCATGCCATTTTCACTTGGCCTTCCTCTTGTTGATGATAACGTAAGAGGAAGGAACCTTCCAGTTTATCTTGGTGCCATTTCTTTGCAAAAAAATTATTAAATTTATTTATTGAAATATCAGTGAAGATTGAAATTTTTAAATTATATATATTTAGCATTTGATAAACATAATTATCAATCATTCAACTAGTTAATCATTAAAAGAATAATGATTCAAGGTGACAATGATCTTTGTTATTTACTAGTGATTTTTTCGCCTGAAAACAATTTTTGTTATAAAAATTCAAAATTTAATTTAAATAAGTTAAAAAAAATTAATTAACCTTGATATTTTTAGCTGGGATGTTTTTTATACGCATTCTTGGACCGGTACTTGGCTTAATGATCGGCAGTGTTACAAACAAGTATTATTATTCATTCAGTGGTAATAAATTACTGTTTATTTTAGATAATTTATTTATGAAAAATCCAAAAAAATTTTGAGTAAAAATATAGCACATATATAGAGATTAATACTAAGTGTTTCTGGTTAGGCTCAATCTCTCCTATTAGATTAGGAGTTATTGACAGGGAATCACTTGATGATAGAAGGAAGTAGCCAATTGAGTCGTCAGCATATCCACAAGTTTTTTAACTGGCAGAATTATTCTTTCTAGGGGCATTTCATTTCAATATAATAATCTGAATCACTCCGCTTTTATGCCACTTGATTGATTCATATATATGTTTTGATGTGTTTTGATGTTTATTCATACTTTTTGTCGCTGACAATTTTCAGACATTCATTGTATATATGTATATATATATATGATAATAACTGATAATATATGATACGGTACAATAATTTCTTTCTTTCCGTTTCTGAATTGGTGCTTTTCTTTTTTGCATGAAGCGATTGATGGATTTCTTTTTTTGGAGTCACAATGAAGCAACAATTCAGAAACCGAATTAAGTCTATGCTTTATTAGATTTTAGCACCTCCTGGTATCTCACCTCGTGATCCAATGTGGATTGGAAGATGGTGGGCTGGATTTCTTGGCATTGCTATTATTATGTTTGGTCCATCATTAGCGCTTTATTTTTTCCCAGTCCCTAAGAAGGTTCAAGTTATTCAGCTTAATTTTTCACATTGTTTACTTTCTATACTTTAATACTTTTCCTTATTTCTCATTATGTTTTCGTGTCTTTTGACTTACCCTTCGATTTTGATCATATATATATATATATATATATTTTGCTCATTTTAGGACAATGTCGATGCGACAAAAACTGAAAATACTGGTGAAAGTAAAATAAAATTAGAAATTGATGGCGGAACGGAATTGGAGGCTATAATAGAGTAAGTGCTTTTCAAAAATGTAGTTTATAAATTTGATTCATTTAATTAAAGCACATTAACGTTTAAAAAAGCCTAAATAGTTGATAATATTTGTGGTCAAAAGCTCTTACTTAATCTTGGTTTAGCTATTTCGAACCATATCGAGCTCTTAAATTTTCAGAAAAGCTGATAAGAAAAAATTCAGTCTAGCACTGATCGATCGAAATATTGTCAAGGATCAAGAAGGAAATGCCATAATACCACAAACAATAGCTGAAAAATTTCATGGTATGGTATAGAGATTTCGAAATGTTTCCAAAGCACTATTTATAATAAGCTTTTCCTTTTACTTTTCCATTTCATCGCAGATGAATTCTGTTCAGATTTTGCTTCAACAATAAAAGCAGTTTTGAAAGCTCCCGTATACTTGGGTATGCTTTTTGGTCGTATTCTAGATGTTCTCGCATTTAAAGGATTTTTCCTTTTTTTACCCAAATATCTCGAAGTTCAATTTGGTATGCCACAACATAAAATTAATTTCTATATGGGTAAATGATTAAAATATTATTATTTCTCTCAAATATATTATTTCTCTCAAATTTTTATTTTAATTTTTATTTCTTGTATTCTAATTTTTTCAGAATTTTTTTTGAAATCATATTTTTAAATTCGAATTTTTACAATAAAAATCTAGAAATTGTTTGAGTTTTTTCACAAAGCATCATTATTTAGCAATGGTGAAGTCCTTTAAATATTAAAATATTTGTTTACTTCAAAATGAAACTATAAAATAATAACTATAATCAATATAAAATTTATTAATATGGCTGCTAGATCTCGCTTGAAATATTGCCAGGTCGATTTGACTAACTGAGTTAAATTTCATTGGATTCATTCGAGCCAAACCTATCATTTCAGGTATTATCGGAGTAACTGGTTTTGCAACAGGTGTGGTTACAGGTAGCCTCGTGATGCGAAAATTCAAACTACGAGGTATAGCTAAAATTTTATCTTATCTTATTTGATTAATCCATTAATCCACTAATCCATCCTTGAAAGACAGCCAAATAATAATTAAACTATCGTTTTTCATTCAGTCTAGGAATGAAATTTTAGATTTAAATTTAGTGAGTTGATTATTTATTCGATGAATGGAAACTTGGAGCGAACGGAAGCGAATTTTTCACCAACAAGTCTTGAATAGATTTATTTTTTAAGGTCGTAAAGCTGCAGCATATGTAACTATTTGTTCGGCAGTAGCAGCATGTCTTTCATTTATTAATGCCGCTGTTGGCTGTAAATCCGTGTTAAGTAATATTGGTGATTTATCTGTGTAAGTTTTATTTTTTCTACGCAATTCTAATGGAATACAGGATCTTAGGCCTCTTAAGAATCTTATTCAACTACATATTCTGAGTTCTGAGACATTTCATTCATCAAAATTTAAGAATAATATTTTTGTTTGAAGATTAAATAAGGGCGAATTCAACAATGCTTGCAATGAACGATGCAATTGCGATAGCGCTCCATTGTATCCGGTTTGCAATTCCCGGGGAGAATCGTTTTATTCTCCTTGCCATGCGGGTTGCGCACTTAATTTCAGTGTAGTAAGCGATTCATTTGAAAGAGTAAGTAATTTTAAATATGCAGATAAATATTCAATATAGTAGACCACTTTAGTTCAAAATATACTTGTGTTGGAAGTTCAGTTATACAGTTCGATTAATAATGACTGATCTACTTGAGTACCATTAAATTTTGTCATGAAACTCTAAAAAAGAAATAAGAAAAGGAAGAAACTTTGTATTTATACAAAATTTGCCACTCTTCAAATTTTATATTCAATAGGTATTTTCCAATTGCTCTTGTTCGAACACGGTTGATAAGCAGGTAGCCCGTGATTTTTGTAGTCAAGATGACTGCGAATCAAAAATTGTCTTATACTTGATTAATATGGCGGTGAGTGGTATTTTTGGCGGAATGGGTTTAATACCGAGTATTCTGATGATCTTAAGGTTTGTTTCCTTTAAATTTCGCTTCCCAGTTGCTTAGAATGCTTTCATATTACCAATATTAAAACTTGAAGAAAGAAATATTAATATTCTTTCTGTCTGAATTTAAAGCATTTTATTACAAACATAAAATTTTTTTCATTATATTTCTTCATGAGCTTTTCTAAAGGGGCGATTCTCTTTAATTTGTTTTTTTCCTCATAAAGCCAGTTACTTGTAAACAAAACCATATTTCAGGTCAGTGCCACCGGTTGGCCGAAGTATTTCATTGGGATTTCAAGGCCTTCTCGTCAGTTTATTCGGTTTGATTAAAAATTACTATTCACATAGAAAAGGTCATTCTGCTAATAACAGAATAATTTAAAAAACTCTAGTGTGAGACTGATGATAAGGCAACACTATTATCAATAATTATTATCTTGAAAAATTGTAAGTTTTTTGAAAATTTTAAGCTCTTTATTTCAGCAACTTTACCTTCACCTGTAATCTGGGGTTGGATCATCGATAAATCTTGCATACTGTGGAATAATGTGTGTGGCGATCCTGTTCGGGGTGCTTGTGCTATCTATGATTCTGATCAGTTACGTATACAACTACATATGATCTACGGGTTGATGAGGTGGGTTATAACAAAAAATATTTATGATATTATCAAAAAATTTCGATAAATAAATATTAATACATATCATATCAAAAATATATATGTATATCCATAAATATCAAAAAAAGTTATTCGACAAAACAAATGTTTATGGTCTTTTGTTTCTTTAATGCCTAAAAATAAATGAATGGATCGAACTCGATTTCTGTCGGCATTTATTGCTAAAATAATAAATAATAAAATAATAAAAGACCGGGCTATAGTTCATGTTTCTTTGTTTATTCAGCGTTTTTTGCCACTGAATTTGAAAATTACCAATATTATTTGCTCGAAAATAAGCAAAGTAGGCCTATCAAAATCCACAGCAGCGGTTCCATTTGTAAATTTTATAAAAATCTTAAATCTTGCAGAACTGTTGGCTTATTCGCAGATCTTTGGGTTTTGTATTTCGCGAAGAATCTCATATTAATAAGTGAGGAGAAAACTGGTTTCAAAATATGATTATAGACTATGGAAGCTATTTCGTTTAATTTTTTTTTGAATTTTGATAAATAAATTCTAAATAAATAAAATAAAATTTTTTTTTCTTTTCTTATAGCACTAAATCGAATTACCAAAAATCTAAATGTTCATTGGTTTAATTAATAAATTCTTTAGTTAATTGCTACTCATAAAGTAATAAAAAAAATTTTACAAATTTTAATACAGCAACATTTTATTATTCTTGGTTTTCCTAGTTGTTTTAAAATATATTAAAATATATTTAACTTAAAATATGTAAATATTTAAAATATAAAATATTAAAGTACTTTTACACATATTTTAAGTATATCAAAATATATATATATATATATATTTAACTAAATTCTTGTAGAGTGGAACTTCAAACATAATTATTTGAATTATTGTTACTGCAACCTGATTTAGTATATAATATCAGTTGTATACAATCTATATATAATTGTATTTTTGTATTTTTGATGCTGACGATGCTCACCTGTACTTCTATCGCTAAAGGACTCCTTGGCATATTCGTCTTGTACGACAAGCCAGCAGAGCGAGTATAACCAGTAATAGTGAGGGTTCTTAAAAAAAAAATTAGTTATATATATAGTTATTCTTAAAAAATTTTATCATAACCATGCACTTGAATTGATAGTTAAGTACAACACATATCTAATATGTGAAGAAAAGTTGAAGAACGCATAATTCAGTGATTAAATAAATAATAACTGAAGATCTAGATCTCTGGATAGAATGTATAATAATCCAGTAGCAAAATTAGATAAATATATTTATCAAATCCATGACTGCCATTTTTCATATTTATAACGATAGCGTTATCAAGAAAAGTGAAAATTGCTGTATGTTTTATACATGTAACGAAAGAAAAAGCTCTAACAGGAAATTTTCTGGCCATTAAACAAATTGAAAGCCTCAAAAAACAGGTATATTACAACACAAGAAATATAATATTAATGGCAGCTTATTTATAAACAGAACAGAAGTTTATGCCTTTCAATGTTAGTTAGACTAGATTTACTAAATATCGAGGTCGTGAACTTCGTGAAGTTTAAATGCGAAAGGCATTATGGAAGACAGATTTGAAGACGACAAAGGAAAATTTTATAAGTGAATGAAAAAGAAGAAAAATTTGTCGCGAAAGCGATTTAATGTGGATGAGCAACAAATTCTCTGAATGACTCTATATAGATATTAAATATTTCGCAAATTTTTTTTTTTGCATTTATTTATATATTTATAAAAATTTTTTTATACATTTTTAATATTTTTAAAAATTTTTTTATTTAATATCTGCAAATTTTAAATCACCTTCGCAGATATAAAATCTAATTAATAAAATCATTGGAGATTAAATTACTGTTATTAAGCCAAAATGAGGGAACCCATTGTGGTTCTGTCTCCAACCTTTGCACCAATTCTTTCAATTCATTTAACGAACGATCCAGATCGACGTTAACTATTATTTTATCGAATAAATGACCATATTGCTGAAAATATTACGAAAAATTCATATAAATCGCAGTGGCACTTTTAGTATGCATATTTTAAGCGGTCTATTTGTATTTTTGTAGACTATATCTTTATGAAACGCCAACAACGACCAAACGTTCAAAGCAATCTGCTAATTTTTTTGTAAATTACCTGCTCAATCATTTTCCCTTCATTAAGGATCAGTTTGAGTTGATCATCCTTTATGTTATGCTGACCAATCGATTCTTTTTGATGTCGCAATTGTTGCAATGAAGGGGGTGCAATAAAGATGACATAAGGCATTAAAGTCGTTTTGCGTAATGCTCTTAAATTCTAAAATATATAAGTTAAGTATATAAATGTATAAAATATAAAATTTTTATGTAAATATATATTTAGCGATTAGAATTACTTCAGATTTTAAGGTAAGCACACAAATTTTGGCTCGATCGACGACAGCTTTGATTGCGGCTATTGATGTGCCATATAAGTACTTTTGATATTCACCATACTCAATAAATTTTCCACCTCTTGCGTCATCTTGAAATTTTTGCTTCGTAACAAAATGAAAATGTACTCCATCAATTTCTTCATTTTTCTTGGGCCTCGTCGTATCTGAAACCAATATTCTCAGTATTGTAGGTTTTATGCAATTTTCAAATTAATCAATTAATCTTTTCTGTATGAGTGGAGTCACCACAGTACTGAAGCAGATCAGAATCGAACCACTATTATGGCCTATGAAATTCAAGGAATCTTGCTTATTTGAGATAATCATTGACACACTTATTCATCTACCACCTTGTCTAAGAATATAAAAATATCACATCCATATCTATGTGGCTGTGATCTAAGCCTAAGTCGAGAATGCTTTGGATGGTTGCAGGACAGTCTAAAAAGAGAAATTTTTAAAATTCACACGTAAACTCACACATAAACTAAACTGTACACCCAAAAAAGTCTTTGAACAACATAAGTCATACGAAAAAAACATATTAGAAATAATCAGCCACTAAAACTGCATGTGCTTTGAAACATTAGCCTAAAACATTTATCCGAAATCGGAACAATTTGTTGCACAGCCTTCCTTATTGAATTATAGACATTCTTTTTGGAATGAATTGGACTCAAAATCATTGGCTGCAAAGGCCACTGATAAAGTAAGACAATTAGAGTTTATGAAAATTTTATATTAACAATTCCTATATTAAATTCTATGAACAATTTTAATAATTATATAGAAAATTTACGAGGTATCGCACTAGCAAATTTCTGCTTATCGGTTTCGGCCAACCGCTGCCTCAATTCTAAACACCCAACTCCCTCAGGACCACACAAAACGATAGGCCTCTTTTTGCCTGTTTTTGATAAAAATAGAGATACATCTTCGTACGTGAGAATCTCTAGAAGCAGAACAATATGAAATAAATGAATATTGAAGATTTTTTGACGAGAACCGCCATATTTACTTGAATTAAAAAGAAGCCAATCATATTTTGATTGCTCATTTTTTTCCACACATAAATTTTTTGATTAATAATTAGCAAACCTAAATTTTCAGTATGAACTTCATCAGCCGGCTTCAAATCCATAGTTGCTTTTTGAGATTTTGAGATTTTAACTGATCGTTTTCGAGCACATCCGAAGAAATCTTTCCGCTTCTCAACATCTGTTTCATTTTCTTGCTCAAGTTTACGGTTATGCATCACAACTCTGTTAAATTTACTAAGAAATTTACTAAATTGAATTTACTTAAAACAAAACAAAAAAAAGAAGATAGCATGGATTTAGAAAAAATGAATAAACTTTCCCTTTTATAGTATCGTCAAAAGCCTAATTGTATGTACTGTTCTAATTTTACAGACCTCAGCATCTAATAATATCCGTTCAGCTGATTAAAAAAACTTACTGTTGTTGAAAGCTCATTGAAGGAATAAGGCCCGCTAGAGAACTAGAAGGGTCATCTCCATCTCGATACGCTTGCCACCAATTTTCGTCCGAAGTGTTTATAACATGGAGGATATCACCACGTTGAAATTTTAAAGCAAGCTCTCTACAAGGCACATACATATCATCCTGAAATCAGTTTTCGAATGGGCACTTTAAAAAACACGGTTATTTTTAATTCTAAATGATTGAACAAAGCATATTGAAGAATGGATATTTAATTAACCTCGGGATCATAGTCAAACAACGCCCTTAAATGTTTCGTAGATGTCGATTGCTTTTCGGACATTTGGGATTCAGATTTGTTGGAAGGAACAACTACCAAAGAAATTTCGCCCAACATCGAACGCTAGAAAATCGTTTCAGTATTAATCGACGGCTCAAATTAACATTATTCCAGAGAAAGAGGGAAAATGAGGGAAAAATAATTATCATAAAAACATACAAGTATATCGCAGACTTCGGTTACATTTCTTCCTCTCAAGTCATAACCATTAACTTCAAGCAGCTCATCACCATCATGAAATAACTGTGACCTCTCCGCAAGGCCACCTTTCACCACACGTCCAATGACTACGCGATCTCCATCATTACGCACAGTTGCGCCCTAAATTGAAAATAATTTCGTTTTTTTTCTTGATATTCGAAGTATTATTTAATTTAAACAGTGGAATGACTTTAATAAAATTTTTTTTTACTTACTTTTACTATTATACTTTTTTTAGGAGTCCTCACCATTACTGGCTAGACTCGCTTCGCTGGTTAATTGCACTAGACATATGCCAGCGAGTACTCTTGACCATGGAAGCACAGGTGAATCGCCTGCATATGGATTTTTGGACAGGTGTACTCCTGCAGAAAGTATATACCTCAGCATCGGCGCTCCAGATTGAGTAACAACCTATTGAGCCATTTTTTTGGCTTATTTTTGATATTGCACTTTTTTTAAGGAGTGCTCATGATTATTGGCTATATTCTCTTCGCTGGTTCATTGAATTAAGGCAATTTAAATACCTTCTTTCTCAATTTATATGCAATTTGAAAGACATCAAAAAATTAAGTGAATATAAGTTAAAAAATCATGCGGAACGTTGATTCTAAACTTATTAAACCCCATTTTTCTTTAATTCCATTTACCATAAAACTGAGATTAACCACCAACCAAATAAGCATCAACATTTTTATAAATTCGAATAATCTTCAAATCGCCTTGCATTTCGATATATGCTGTATCGTAGTCCGGCGAAGGAGTTGATGAGCTTAGAGCCTTCTATAAGCATATTTATGACGTTAAAAGTCGGAAAAAACAGAAGATATAGTACGCCGAAATTAAACAGTGGGAAAAAGAACGGTAAGGAACAGTTTGGCATGGTACCCGACCTGAAACATTTGACCCTTGTTGCGAGTGGAGTCAGCAATTTGCAGTAACTCATGACAATCTAGAGAAGAAAAAAAGATTACAGGAAGAAAAATGAACAATGCAGATATTTCACTGTCCATGCTCAATTATTTTTATGCCATATAAGTTGGAAAAAAGAAGAGACCAAAACTAATATGAAGAGAAAAGAGTTAGCAAATTTGGACAATGAAAGTACCAATCATAATCTGAGCCTTGAAGACTATTAAATAAATTCTTATCGAGAATATATTATTATAAAATATTTAGGCAAATGGATAGACATCTTATGAGAACTGATTTGACAGCGAAATACTCTTACTTTAAAAGTCAATAAGAAAATAAGTTTCAATACTTTGGTAGATCGACTTATTGCAGTTGCTTCAATTGCTTGTTGTATTGGTTCCTTTTTAAAATATTCTCGAATGAGCTTTGATTCCTCTTCTCGACCCTCATTTTTTTCTAGATGATCGGCAACTCTATAGGCCGAGTCAATAACCTGGTCCAATCCTATAATTTTACAATAGTCATATGTGCAATTGAAAATCACCATTGGTGAACCATTGCAAAATAACTTATTTCAGTGAATAAACTTTTCATTTTATGAATGCTTTTCAACTTTTTGATAAGAACTTTTTGATAAGAGTGATGATTTAAAAATGGAAGGAATTTTCAGAATGTTATTTGACTACAATTAAACTATAAACAGTGCCAGCTATTAATATATATTTACCGAACCATATAGGTGTTTTTTAATGTAGTTTTTAATGTAGTCTAAAGAGTAATTTACCTATGACTTCACCTTGATATTCAGAGAGATTTTCTCGGAATGATATATCACTAATCATATAGCACTGGTTGGAATAAGCTGGAATCCTTTCCTCAGTTAAAGCACCGTTTATCGCCGCACTTTTACTTTTAATGTTATTTGCCAGCGAATGCAATTTTTTTGATCCTCTCAGAGAGGCTCTAAATAGAATGAGAATAAAAAATTAATTTTGAATAAATAACCAAATGAGAAGGATATAGGAAATCATAAGGATAAAGGAAGAAGAGAAAGGAAAAGATGAAGCGACAGGAAAACATATCATTTTCCATTGGCAATATTTGCGCCGAATAATACCAAAAAGTCATTACTTACCTAAATAATTTTCGGAATATGGAAGTTTTTTTCGATCTCCGTCGAGTCCCTCACATATTATTAAGTCTGTATTGCTACGAAATGAAATTATTCATTTCTATTATTTTTAAAAAGAAAGCTCAAACAAAGAAGTGGAATAAATATGGCGCAGCGGTTGGTGAACAAACCTAAGAAACGCTTCATCTTGAGCCTTTTTATCAGCTATTTCTTTCCGCCTTCGTAGATCGTTCTCATACTTTTGTAGTCGATCTCTTTCATTAGCTCGTGATGTGATATCGTTATCGTTCTATAACCCAACATTTAAGCAGTAATATTTTAATATTTGTTTGATTTCCGATCGAATCAGTGAAGATTTTCCTTTTTTATTTGTCAAAGGACAAGAAATACTTGTGTATCATCAGCGCTCATAATTGTATATTGAGTGGACTCAGATTTTGCAAGAGGTGGAATACTGCCTTGAGATGCTACTGCTTCCATATCATGGGTCTCTATTCCAGGATAATCTCTGAAATCGTTCCAGCTAAAATTTATTTCCAAAAAAAGAATGTTTCGAATGAATCCTTATTTTGGTAATATTTTCCATTTGTTTTAAGATATACATTATAAGTTGAAATCAGTGATCAGCGGAAAACTTATTAATCCTTATATTTCAGATCGATGCACACAACTAAGTTGAGGGCTAAGTAAACAATAAATGGAACGAATAATGTGCTCTCAGTATATGAAAATTTGTTAAAATATCTATATTCAGTATATTGAGAATCTCAATTTATCTTGCTGGCTCTGTAATAAATTATTCGCCTGCAAATTCAAAAACCCTAGATAAAACAATGGATGCAAATACTGCCCACTAAAGGCATAAAGGCAAGAAAAAGAGCCGGAGATCTAAATCCGATATTTATAGAAAAAGCACTAATTTCTACAAATTTAAACATATGAGTCGCCAGCATCACCCGAATTTTTGTACAGGTTTACTCTTGCAGAGAATCGAACCTCAGCATCGGCGCTCCCAATTGAGCAACAACTAAGTTTTAATAAAATACAAAAGCACTCGTTATAATTATTCAAAAAAATAGATGGAGGAATTTTTCCGACAAAAATTTCGGAATCAAGAAAAGCAGTTTGCTTAGTCAAATGGGTCAAATAGCGCAAGTTTACGAAACTTTCATGCGATTGTATTTTTATTATATTTTTCATGTACAATTTTTAATAATAGTGAATAAAAGTTGGAGACTCTTAAGAAGCTAGAAATTTGAGGGGAGTAGATGCAATAATTCTCCTTGTTTTGAGTAAAATTAAATCGTGATAAAATTTATAATCTCTAATTTTTATATATATTCGGCACTTAAATGGAATGGAATGTATTTATTTAAAATATGTGTGGTTAGAAAAATTCCTCATAAAATTATCTGCCACCAGTGCCAACCATTATTGATGGCTGAATATTGGGCATAAATTTTGGGAAAGCTAACCTTTTCAGTTTTCTGCCGATCTCCTTTGCATGATCTTTATCAACAGAAACAAAAAAAGCATCAGATACTCGAAAAGATCGATCGGAATGCAAACAATCTACAATTTCGATATTATGAAGCATCCCTGTCATATTTCAAAATTACTGCTAAAGGTAAGAGGAATAATCCAACTAAAAAAATAAAGCTAAGTCAAATCTCATCTCATACTTCCAATCTATAGTTTTTGAATTGGAATGGCGATTAATTTTTCAAATGAAAAAATTCTGTCGAAAATGAATGACGAAGAAAAATTGAAAACCTACAGCCAATAAGTTTATTGATTAAAATTATTCGCTATAAAACGATCCTCAAATGTTTCAATAAAAGTCCCTAAATCTTTTAAATTTTGAAAAATTCCGAATGGTGCTACAAATTTATCTGTGCTTCTATTCTCAAATGTCTCCCTGGCAGGCCTAGTCAGAAATAGTGAATGTTAACTACTGACTAAAATTAACAGATCAACAATTCATGTCACTTGTCTGAATGACAAAAATAGATGAAAATTATAATGCTTTGCAATTCGAAAAAAAAGAACGAAAAAAATGCCATAAAAAACGGCTCATTATTGTCGATCTGAACAGAAGAATTTTGATTTGGATAAAGTTTTTAAGATAATTTTTGCATTATTTAGTGCTTATTACCTCCATCAAAGAAATTTTATGCAATATCCTTGAAAATAGGGGAAATTTTTAAAATTTCGCTTGTCTTATCAAAATATTAACCAATTACCAATATTCAGAAAATGTGCCAAAAACAAAATATTCTTTTATAAAATTTCTTATATTGCAAATTATGAAAAATTCGAAAAGAATAAAAATTTCATAGAAATTTCTTAAAACTGACAATAAATTTTTTATTTTTACTTGCCACTAACCATAATTTCTTTCGGAATAAAAATCCCAAAATACTAATTTTCTACTTTATTCATTGTTCTACAATACTAAAAATAAATAAAATATAATTGTTCGCAATCATTATTTTCTATTAACTTTTTAACCCATTTGGAAAAAACTATTTCAAACAACAAACTTTCTTATTTAAGAATGAATTCATTTTTATTCAATCTCAACATCAAAAATCATTTTGCCAATACATTTATTCCTTACTGTAAATAATAATAATAGTAAAAAGTTTTGTCAACAAAGTGGTTTGTAATTAAAATTGACTTTGCCATTAACAGCTGAATAATTGAAAGAAAACTGCCGAACAGAATAAAATCAAATATTTTTTCATGATTTTTTTTAGCAATGCATGTATGAGATGAATTGAAAAATATTCTATAAATGCAATAAATAACAACAGGTTTTTTGAGATTTTTGAGATTTGAGATAATGTTGATCTAATCCATCCGAAAAAAAAATTTTGTCGTAAAATTTGCTCAATCTAATTGGATAAAAAAGTTTACTTTATAAAGTTATAAAGTAAAAAGTTATACTGAACAAAATAAAATGACCAAAAAATTTTAAAATTTCTTTGTTGAAATTGAAAAATAAAGAGAAATTTTTGCAAAATTAAGCATTCAGCATACAATAATAACTAAAAGCCACGAAGAAATCTGACCAGTGTGCATCTTATAACTTATAAAATATCGTACAAAAATTTGTGAAATTCTACTTTAATTCGACAGATAAGCTAAGGAAAAAAAAGAAAAAAAGGAAAAAAGAAAAAAAAGCTAAGAAAAAAAAAAAAATTTTGTCTTCCACATTGACATTCTTTTTTTAAGAGTCCTCACCATTACTGGTTACACTCGCTCCACTGGCTCGTCGCATTTGGGCGATATGCCAGGGAATCCTTTGGCAATAGAAATGCAGGTGAGCATCATCGGCATTTCTATCGCCATCGTCAGCATCACCCGGATTTTTCTGCAGGGAATCGAACCTCAGCATCGGCGCTCCCAATTGAGCAACAACCCATTGAGTCATTTTATTCAAGTTGATGTATTTTCAGTAAAAAAAGCAAATATTAAAGGAATATCTGGTAAAATAAGTTATATTAAAATTGCTATCTATTTAATTTATTATAAGAACACTACAACAAAAAATATTAATAGTACTATGGTGAAATTTCAAATAATCAGATTAAAATCGATTCGAATTTTGACAAAATTTTCTGTAAAAAGCGAAACATCGAACTTTTACCTGTTTGTCATTTTGCAAACTAATAATAATTATATTGTCAAAATAATAATAATAATATTAAGAAAATAAATGGCTAATAAAAATATGAATGGTTAATGAAATTAAAATCTACAAAAATCTCCCATATTCTTTATAAATTTTATACAATATACAATTTTCTAAGAGAATCAGAATGATATGCTGATAACAGCTGCGAATTAAGAGTTAGCTTGACTCGATTTTTAATTAAATTTTTGTTTGGCTGATAAAACAAAATGAACTTATTTGCTAATAAGTTGCAAAACTGGCGGAATAAAAACCGTCTTTCAATATGCTTGTCTTATGCTTTCAATAAAAATTCTGTTTTTATTGCCTAATTTTGGTGATGGCTTAAAAAGTAATGGCTTCAACTCGAATAGAAATTTTACATCCAAAAAATGCTTTGCTCGATTCTAAAAGAGATTCTAAAAACTGAGTAGTTTAATTTACTAATAAATAACTAATTAAATTTTCCACAAATTAAATTAAATTGAACCATAGTAATGTAAAAATTATCACTAAGAAAATGAATAAATGATTAGAGTTATCAAATTATACAGGTTTTACTATATGGAAATATTTCAAAAATTTCCTTGTTGAAAATAATCGGCAAAAACTCTATTGCCACTGGAGATATAATGGAAAATGCAATAGTTAAAATGGATAAATAATAATTAAAAAAAAGGAAAAGATTTGAAATGAATCTAGTTGGCGAGAATTTCTCATCTATTTATGAAGGCAATACCAATTGAATTTTTTGCTTACGGTATAAATTCGGAATAGAAATTATAAATTTAATCAAATTATAAAGAACTGAATTTTGATATATGGGCCATGTTTGCTGCATGTTTGCTGCTGCATGTTCACCCAAGTCCATTTAATCTTGACCGCACTTTTATCATTTCTCTAGAATTTTACTTATGATCTTTCTCTCCAGAATTTTTTATTTCTAAGGCTAAACTATATAAGTCAATGGAAAGCCAACAGAATGGTCATCTCTTTGCAAATTTTCCACTGATCCAACCTCACTTTTTCTCCCATAGTCCTATCATTTAATAATTGATAACGACTAAGGATGATATCAACAGTCAATTCTAAGCCAAATTTATATTTTACCAACTTAATGTTTACTTCATTCATTCTAATATCGATTCCATTGGGCATTATCACTTTTTTTTTGCTCATTTCTAATAAAAATAAAATCCACCTTTTTCACATTTGGTAAGAAAAATTAGAAAAATTACAGAGTAAAACAAAAAAGAAGCGAATCAAGCGCAATTCAAAGAGATAACTGAGCAAGAAAAGCAGGTAAAAATTTGGCTTATATTACAAGAATCACTTACCACCACTACTATCCATATTTTGTTTTCGTCGAATCCGCAATTGAATTACTTTCGATTTAATGCACTGCAAATATATTGGCTTTATAATCTTTTAAGAAAAATTTTATGAATTTATAATTTTAATTATATTGTTAATTATCAGCAGTTATCATTTAACAGATCTGATTGTTTATCGCTGAAAAACAAAAATTTCCTCTTTTCCGAGCGCATTAAGATAACACGGGAAACGCAACTGCAAAAAAAATAAATGAAAGTTTTAAACTTAAAATATGATATTAATACGAGAATTTTTGAATGGAATATCGAAATATAGGATGTTTATTTGCTTAACGAAGTCGCTCATCTATATACTCGACGAAACAAATCCGAAATGTTTTTTATGCAAAATTTTACCTGTCACAGTCTATAATATTCATTAAACATATATATTTAAGGATTATTTATATTAATGAGTGGTCAATATTAATTATGCAAGAGATATATTAAAGAAAAAAGCCTTTATTAGTTATGGAATTTAAAATATGTGAACAATTTTAGCGAAAACCCAATGAAATAAGGAAATTCTCAGAAGTATGTCTTTTATCCTATTTATAAATAAACTCTCGTTAAACATTGATGCCAAACGAGCAATTAGCAAACTGAAAAGCTGTACTAAATTTCTGAAAATTTTCTTTTCACTTAAATAATGAACATTATTTGAAAATGCTTCATGTGATAAATAAATTGTTAAAGAAAACGCAAATTAATTTCATGAATTTATAGTAATAATTTTTTTCTATTTGTCAAACTTTTGTTGCAATTTATTTTTAATTTAATTTATTGTTATTTTAGTTTAATTCAAACTTACTTATTGCTATTAAAAAAATAATAAAAAAAAATAATAAGCGCTAAAATTATATGATAAATTTTAGCTCATCAAATTACTTATTTTTTGTTGCAAATGAAAAATGAAAGTAAAATTTGAATTTGAGAAAAATTTAGAGAAAAATTAAGGATGTCATAGCAATATGAATAAAACAGAAAATACTGGTAGAAAGTCAGAATAAATTTTAAAAATTTTGCCCACCTTTATAGGCACCATTATATTTTCTATAAATATATGAAAAAGCACCTCATTGTTTTTAACCTCTTTTATGGCAATAACTTCACTTTGTACCAGTGAACATTTGCATGGCTCATTTTGCAACAATGCACAGTGGCTATCGTGTGCCTCGAGAATAAGTGGGATTTGTACTTCTACTGCAGTATAGAATTCCGTCTGATAAGATACCATGATTCACTTAAACTATAAAATATTTACGAAGAAAAAATTGGTTCTTTTTTCGCGCAAATCGAGAAAATCACATGTATTCAAAAAATCAACATCATATTTATATATTATGGGATATGAAAACTTATCGCGTTAAAACAAAATGAACAGTTCTAATTGTAGATAAAAATATTAGAGATCTCTATTCTGTAATAAAAAAAAAAACGACTGTTATTATAAATTTATTGAACAAAACGAAATGGTATTTCAGATTTTTCATTTTCAACTAAACCATGAATTGTGTCATTTTCTTTTTTTTTTTTAACCTGATTTCATCTATAGAACTTGTCAAAGCCATTTAAGCGTCGTTTATTTAACTGGTTCTGTTCTGAGCATTGAACTGAATTTCATTTGCTCTATAGCAAAAAGATAAATTTGAAAGTATTTCGATAAAGTATGCAATTTGTATAAAGTGATATTCCATAAATTTTTCTGGGTTTTTTAGGATTTGGGATTTTTTCAAAAAAGAAATTGCAAAAAAAAGACTTAATAAAATTGTTTATTTATAATTAAATGGTGCTAAATGGTTCTATTTCTATTTTTTTTGACATGAATTTCGTCATTGAAATTCTCCACTTCATTCTATTTCATTTTATTCAGTATATTTTTATGATGAATGGCTCAATAAACCATAGAAATCAAAAAATAAATTTAGCAGCATCGAAAAATATAAACTGCAAAAAAAAAAATAAATGTAAACTACTGCAATTCATCATACTGGCAGTAAAGAGTTCGAGAGCAAAGGACTTTCTATTTTTTGCGAAATTTCGCAAATTTTCTGCCCAATAAAGAATGAATTAATTCAAAGAGTGCGCAATTAATTTCTAACAATCTCTTCTCGTAATTAAACCAAATTATAATGGTGCTTAATGGAAAAAAGAATTACATAAAATATGAAAAGTACCAATCGAACCAAAAGCAATTATTTTAAATCAAATTTATGTTCGTGTTTTTATCGAATTTCGAGAAGGTAGCAAACAATAACAAAAGTTAAAGTAACTATAATAAATAATGATAACAATAACGCGTCTATAATATATTATTATAAACTAAAATTTTCTGGAACTAAAATTTTTCAAAAAGAATTCAAAACTTTAAATTTTTGAGCGTTTTTCCTCTGAAAACAAAAATAGTCTGTTCAAAGAAAAAAAATTCATTTACAGAAATTTAGTCTACGAAATTTTTTTATAAACTATTTGATATTCGTTTGACTAAAATAAGCCACAATGGGATGTATAATGTATGTACGAAGAGTGAAAATAGCATTTGGCAAATTTAATACTGGGAATAAACTTTTTTATAGTTCTCACCATTGCTAGTTAGGCTGGTTACGCTGTCTATAAAGCGCCTTTAAGTCGCCAGATCGGATAGTACGCGTGTTATTGAAAGAAGTCACTTATTTTTCCATCATCTAGCCATACATTGCTGAACCTGTGTTTTAAAAATTTCTTCTATCTGTATCATTCCAGGTTTTGAATAGTCCTCTTCGCTTTTGACATACAACATAGCAAATAGCAAGAAATTTGTCAAAATTTGTAAGTTTCTCTACAAAATACATAACTTAACCATCCTAAACGACACTAGGTGACGATATTTGTGATCATGCAGGATTTTGTCCACTTGACAAATGTGCAAGATATACCTTAAACGTAAGTGAAGAAAAGTGGACAATTTTTTACTATCTTCTCATGAGAAATTCTCATTGGCCATGTTTCCCAGCTACATAGCAGGATAATGCGCACTGCAGCATAGATATGAATTTTTATTTTTATGATGATATCGTGACGATTCTTTAGAGGTCTCGCCAGATGAAACAACTATTATTATCTAAAAACTATTATGATTATCCGAGCTGCAATTTCGTCTTTCGCTTGGCTATTTGATATAAGAATAAATCCAAGATATAAATAGGCATTATAAAAATAGGCATTTTAGGCATCAACGTCTGCTATAGACTTTCGTCTTATTTACATTTATCCTAAGTATGATTTTTGGCACAGTTTTATGAGAATTAACTTAAGAATCAATTAAATAGAATAATCGTTTCCATGCTTATAAAACAGCTAAAACTAAATAAGTATTTCTTGCACTCAATGGAACTGAAACGAAAGCTGATTTCAGTAATATAGGGATGCGATTCTTGCAATTGTAGTTTTCATTGAATTTTCTTCATATATTAAATTTGTATTAAATTTTAGCAATTTTAGTGGAAGTAATTAGTTCAGAATTGAAAAAATATTTGACTAAAAAATTATAGTAACTAAATAGAAAAAAAACGTCCGAATATCTAGAATATCTAGAAATTTAAAAGAAATAGAAATAATTAAATCTTCTAGAAATTGAAAATATTAAAAAAAAACTGGAAAACTACCGAATATAATTACATATTGTATATTGTATAATATTTATAGTGATTATGTTTAAAGAGGAATAATAGTAATAATCGATTGTGTAAAATCCACAATAACCTAAAATGGAACCGGATTTGGATACTCATCTTTTTATTATACCTATTATAAATAAATCACTTATTATAGTCGTGTCAATAACTCAACAACTTCCGTTCATTTTGTGTGTTATACACTAGACGATTATCATTATAGGAAGATTTAAGAAATTTTATTATAACAATCCGCTAGGCAAGGCCATCATACTATTTATTAAAGTAGTAAATTTGTGAAGATTAATTGCAGTGGAAATAATCTATTTTTAAAAATTTATTTTTCGTATTTAGTACTTATTATTGCTGAACCTGAGATTATCCTTCGGATAGATAGAATCGTTATCATTCGTGAAATTTGCCATGAACGAGGTGCTCAACGAGGCTTAATATAATGGAGACGGTTGATGTTATAGGCGGGCTAGAAGAAGGAATGAAAATGGCAAGAAGTAGCTTGCGATGATTGAAAAAAAAATCACAGCAAAATCTTGGGATGCTAGGAGAATATTCGTCGAGTTTTGAGGCTATTATCCACAAAACATAGCAGTTTTTTAGCGATATCAAATAGTATCAAAGGATTTGCACAAGGTGGCTCGAAATTTAAACTTTTTTCTCCCTTCACACAATTATACGATTTTATTTTATAGAATATTTCAAGTATTTAATTTTACAAATTGGCAAAAGGAATCTCTTGAATTTTTTGATTTTAGTAAAGAAAAGCTAATGAATGCGCAAGGAGAATCGTTTTCATCATATTCATCAGTTTAAGTTAAAAAAAAAAATTAAATTAAACATTATAGAGTGGTGTAGAATAAATTTATATTTACATGGCAAGTATATTCACTTTGGTGACAATAAACAAAGATTGGCTCTTTGACAAAAATTGTCGAGCACGATTAAGCCAGCGGAGTGAGCCGAACCATGAATTGTGATAGTTTCAGCAAAAAATATAAATAAAAAGTACAATAAAATGATAGAAAACAACAAAGAATACAAAAATTAACAATTAAAAAAATTTAAAAAAAATTTCAACTTCAAATCCAAAATATGGAAATGAACAAACCTTATGAATAAATTGTACAATTTCGTTATGTGATTTATCCTGAATTGGCGTTTCATTTACTTCAATAATTTGATCACCAATGCATAAACCAGCTCGATCTGCGGGTGTTCCTAAAAATTTTTATATACGCACAAATTATTTAAAATATCATTGAATGCAACTAAATGAATTGATTGTTGAACAAGTAATTTCATAGCAAAAATTTATCAACATTAAATTTTAAATTAAACGATAATTTTAGCTATTTTTATTTATAGAAAAATTTTTTAATAAAAAAGAAAATTTAAATAGAACAATTAAAAATTTCTAAAATTTTACAAAATAAAATTTCAGAAAAATTATCAAATTATCAAAAAAGTTTAAGCTGCAAAATGACATAGAAATTTCAGTTTAAAAAACAAAAGAAGAAAGATTGATATGTTAACGATCATAAAATCTGGTATATTCTTAAATGTTTTTTTGCAACATAAAGAATTTTAGCTTATTTTTATGAAGAATTATTTTTTGAGTTTAAAAAACTTTATTTATTTCATTTGCTTAGTCAGAAATGTTTTTGGTTTCTGAATTGAGCCAATCTGAATTTCTAATAATGATATTGTGGAAAATTTTGGAAATAATGAGCTAAAGCACTGATATATTCACTTTGTAGAAAAATGAGAACAACGGAACAACAACAGAAGATTTTTTGAAATTATTTTAATTATTGAATATTTTTTATTGTTTACGAATATTTTTTTTATTAAAAATGTAGAAAATAAATCTCAGAAATAATTTTCTCTTATTTTAGCTTGAAAATTTTTCTATTTTCTCGAAAAAAGTCATGAAAAAGAAAGACTAAAAGAAAAAAGCAGTTTAATCATCAATCATCTACTAATATAAGTTCTAAGAAAATAAAGCAACTAATATAGAACAGGAGATTATTTTATTTCATTCGTTATAAACTTACTGAAAAAACAAGCAAGAATTTTTTCGTACCTATGGTTTATTAAATTGGGAATTAGACTAAACATACTGTAAAATGTACTATAATCATTTTTCAAATAAAATATAACTTTACCGACCATATAAAAAAATTTTATTATGAGAGTCGTAAACGATATGTATAATAAATCCTGAAAGTGGCATTTCGTATACGGTTATTGATATTAATGATCTCGAAACAGGGGAATAATTTTTCTTAAGAATCGTAGCCGTTAGCGGATGAACTGCTGGAATAATCTGTCGAATATTTCATCGTCATGCATAGACCTCAAATAAATGTTTTCGATCCGAATAAGCTGTAGAAATATTTCAAATCGCATATTCAGTATGAATAAATGGAGTTGAACAAAACTAAATCAAATCAAACTCGAGATAATAAGTATTAACTGATATGATAAATGAAGAAAAAAAACGCATTTAGAAAAATTAACGAAAATATTTAACAAATCCTTATCACATCATATCATTGTACTTCTACAAAATTTTTTACCTAAAATATGCTTAAAAATACTCATATTGTTTGAAAAATTTGCTAATATCTTAAGAGTTTGAAAAATAAGAACATTGAAGAAAATTTCAAATTTAAAAAATTACTAAGGACAATGTTCATACGCTCAATCCATAAAATGACCATCTTCAACCTAGGCCTTCTATGTGCTTATTGGCATCCTCTTAAGTCTCTCTATATTCCATTAGCGTTCCTTCTAATCTCGATTTCCCCACTCATCAAATCCCCATTATTCTTTTGCTCTTAACATTTGCTTTCTTTCTATTCCAGCCTCCAAAAACACTCCTAATATTCTTGTTTGCGAAATTAGCCCCAGCCATTGATGGAGGCATTAATGGAGCACAACAATAGTGAGTGGTTAATCCTAGGAGTGAATTGCGTTTAAGTAAAGGTGTTTAAATTGAGGCTACTAATAAATTACGGAAAATTAGTAGAGTGAAGCTTGGGCTTTAAGAATGCTAAACGAGTATTTAGGATTTGAACGTGTTTATTACGAAATATATTAAGTTATGAAGGAATTCCAACATGGATCAACAATGTGAATTTAAGGCGTTTTTTTGGGTACAAATAAGAAAACGCATATTTTTTTATATTTCGAGAAAAACCAATAACCCATTTCAAGTTCATTGTTATAAAATGTAAATTTCAGCTGAAATTCAAAAAAAAAAGATAATCCATTCCAAATTTATATAGCCAACAGCCTAAAATTTATTGTGACGATTAATCATAAAGCACTAATTTTATAGCCAAAAACTTTTTTGTGACATCGATTCCATAGCAGTTTTTTTATTATGGTCAATATGAATGGAAGCGATAACTAAAAGATTGAGGCCAATAAAAAAAATTTTCGGTTATCTTATCGAAGAATTGATCAAATTTCTTCGAGATTTTTAACGAATCTCTGTTAATAGTAAATTTATACCTCAATTCTTTCTATTTTTATTAAAAATTATAGTAAACTATTAGATGCAACGATTTTAATGGATATTTTCTAATGGATATGGTTTTCAATCAAAATGAAAGTGAGAAATTCCTTCATTCCTCATTAACAATAAAATAAAGAAAGCTGGTAATTTATTTTGGGCTACTAACTCTTTCACAAATTGTATTAACTTCGACAAAGTTGGCAATAAATTCTTCCACTTCTTTGCTTATTTCCGATAAGCTAAAAAAATTTTCAATTGAAACCATAAAATTTATTTTTTCTAAATGACAATATTTTTTCTTATCGGATCGAAATATGCAAATATCCAAATTAAAATAATAATAAGTGATAATATCGAATAAATAACAATAGACTGATAAATTATATCGATAAGGATTTTTCAGCAAGGAATTATTATTAATTGCAAACTTGACAATCTTCCAAAGATAATTTGGTAAGTGGATATGGAAAATTTTAAGAATGAAAAGAATATGGTGACCATAACGAGAAGAAAACTATTATGAATAATGAGCATATCTAAATTTGAAGTTTTAACCATTATTAACTGAAAATGCAAGAGAAACTGGAATAATCAATATATTCAAATAATATGCAACTTTATAGATCTCGACAAGTTTGAAGTAATAAAATTTCAATTTCACATTTTTATCAGTTCTTCCAACATTAATGGATAGGCCAATTCTGCTGGCTACAAGGATAAAGACATTTCCAAGCTGCTCGATCCGAGGTCATTGCTGATAGTAATTTTCTCAGCGGTGCAATTATAATTTCCATATTCATTTAAGAATTACTAGTACAAAATTATTGAAACTTAATTATGTACATTTTACTTGGCAACATTAGCAAACGAGTCTTAAAACATTGATTAAAAGAAAAAAATAGGTGTTAATTGCATTTAATTCGCATAATTTTAAAACTCTTTTTTTCCATGTGCTGCTTAACTTAAGGTTAATTAATCAAACCAAATCAGTGCTATGCAGATAGCAAAAATAATATTGGGGATAATATCGAAGAAATGCTTCAATGAAATATTATTTTTCGAAAAATTTATGGATTGTATGAGATTTGCATCTAAAAGCATCAAATATCAATAATATTCTCAGGGGCATTAAAACCAGTTCGTCTTCGCTCAATCTTTCAATTTATTCCAAAAAATATAAGCGTTGGTGAAATTACATAAAGAACTAAGTTCATTCAAACTTTAATGAAATTGAACTATAAACAAATATATTTTTAAATAAAAATAAATAAAAATGTATAGATTTGAAAAAACGAAAAAAGAATTTCAAATATGTAAAAATTAAAGAAAAAATTTACCAATTTTTAAAATAATCTGCAACAAATCATGAAATCTTAAAGAATGAAATCAGTAATTTCGATGAATTCCATTGCACCACATTTTTGATTAGTTCATTGGAAAAATATCTGTTAGCAATAAAGAATAATGAACGAAAATGATATCAATTAAATTCTTTAGGAATTAGATGGCTGAAGTGGGAATTCAGCAAATACACATCTTACTTTACGCATAATTTCAATTAAATTTTCTCAATACTTTTATTATTCATTAATATTTTGGCAAAAATATAAGCCAATAAATGTGAACGATTGCGATTGAACTCAATGATTTTCAAAATACAAATAAGTAAGAAATAGAATGACTAGAAATGACCGAAGTGGGAAAAAGGCCAATGCAAGGTACTAGCATAGAATGAAATGCGTAATGAGAAATGAGTTACGCCCAGCTTAATGTAATTCAATATGCTTCTCGATAAGAAAGTGAGTGATTTTTTAGGCTAATATTGCTAATTTACAGACAATATTATTTCTTTTATTCATAATTTCTTCAATATTTATAGTTTCAAAGCTATCATTTTTCTTATTATTCATCCTAAAAATTCTTATCGTTTTTTATAATTTTTTTTTGTAATACCACAATTTTATTCAAAATAACCACCATCAAAAATTCATCATGCTTTTGCCCATTCTTCGTTTGCATAAAAATTCGAATCTCTGAAATAAATGAACTGCTCGAAGGTGGTTTCATTTTTCGAAAGTGTTTCGCCCTAAGCCAATTACTCAGAGAACTGCGATGTGTGACCTAGCCTAGCGTTCTCGTATTAGAATAGCGGATTCTTCTTTGCCAGTGTTGATTGTAGTATTTACTATGAATCATCTCCATGTAATTATAACGTCTTTTGTCTGTTGTCGTACAAATTCCATTTATCGTCGAAAGTAAAAATTTGCTCCAGGAAAGGATTTTGTATCATATTCAGGAATAGACCTCCAAATGTATTTTTCATCTGATGCCATTTGGATATCTATTTATCAAGCTTTTTCTTCTTTTCCATTATACGCAAATATTATGAAAAAGTCCATATATGCTAAATTTTCGCAATTCTTTCTGAAAAGTCTCAAGCCAATTCCTTCAGGGACCAACCTATAGAACTTGAGAATAATCTGCAGCGTGGACCATCTTTGAAATCTAATTTCTTAAATCAACCACGATTGACTTCTTCGATTAAGTTTAATTTCAAACTCTAGTCAATAGTTCCGTGAAATCTATCTCTAGTAGATTTGTTATCATAAAGATCGCTTTGCTAAAAGATGAGGTAAAGAAATATCTCCTTAAAAAAAAGAATTTTTTTTCTAGAATGGATCGATCGCATTAATGTTATTTTAAATATACAATAAATATAAAAAAAATCGTTGAAATCTGACAAATCCTCTTGCAAACCTATATTTGACATACATGATACTGCGATTTCTATAAGCAACTACGAGAATAAAAATTGAGGATTGAAGTAACAAAGAATTCAATCAGACAGATGATATAATATGCTATGGCACTGCTTAATAATTTTACTATTATTCTCAAGAGAGATCAGTTAAGTTACATGAACAATTTTTGTATAATATGAGTGAATGAATCTTTGCTGCATAAATTCTTATAATTCTCTAGTTAAAATAAAATTAAATAATTAGCCCTTCAACCCTTAGCCTTTAACCTTTTGTTTTTAACTTAGAATGATTAGAAAAAAAAAAAAATAAATTCAGTATCCAATTCGACCAGTTAACTTTTAGTAATATGTATTTATGTATAACTTTTAATATATATACATATACATATATATATATAATTTGCTTTGAAAATCTATTGGTGTGTTGCTTCTACTGAAGGCGAATAGCTTGAGCTACTTGAGCTACATATTGAGAAGAGTACACTGAAATTTAATGGTATATGGTAGTCACTTATGCCTTTACCCTCATCTATCGCTCAATTAATGCAGTGAACCGAATCAGGAATGGTGAGTGCAATTAGAAAATGAAGCTTTTTGTCCAAGCATATTCTAATATCGTAATGCTATTTATATTTTAAGAATATATAAAATTATTTCCTAATAATTATTATAAAAATTATAAAAAAAATAAAATAAAAATTTAAATAAATAGATGAAAACAGTAATAAATCTGAAAATGATTTTAAACTAACAATCGAATACTTTTGCCGATAAACAATATTATAAATTATTAAGGGTAACAAATCTTGATAAACAAATAGTTTTATAAAAATTATAATATGGTAAAATCAATCGTAAATGGGCTAATTAGCGGTGTTATTCAGAGTTGACAATTGAAAACTTCTTTTCTGGCTTCTCATTTTCTAGTGCCGATTATTTCATTACTTGCTTAATGTCAGTTCCGTCTCGTCAACAGTTTTGTATGGTTTATAAAAGATAAATTTTAACCTTATACATCTAAATTGTTTTAGCGAGCCACCTATATTCCTTAGATTCATAACGTACATTCATAACGTGAAAATTACGTGATTTTCATAATTAACGTAATTTTCTATGTAATAGCAGCGTAAAAAAAATATATCAAAATCTTTCACAATATTTAAATTTTATTTTAAAAAGGCTTTAAAAAATGAGAATAAAATATGAAATAATTAAATTTCTATTCTATTCAAATAATTGGAAAATAAATGCTTTTGATAAGACAGGTGACTGTGCCTTTACACCTCCTTGAAAAATTGTTCACATAGTTTGAATATTTTCTTTCTTTTAAAAATAATTTTTTTCACCCTTTTGTTCAACAAAGTAGTAGACAGTAAAAGAAGAGAATGGCTCAGTGGGTTTGTTCGCCTCATTTCGCAGCGTCGATGCTGAGATTATATTTCTATCAACATTAAACTTGCTAAGCATTTTCAAATCTAGATTATGTTGGCGACCCATCTATATTCTTATGCCAAGTGACAAAACTTTAATATATAATATTTAATATCTGGTCTAATAAGTCAGCAGAGCGAAGTCAACTAACCAGAAATGATAATCGATTTTCGAAAAAAAAAGTATTAACAATAAAAATTGCAGGGAAAAATATTGATGATTATCTTATCATTGATCAACTCATTCATTATTTGCATTTAAGATGAAAAATAATTAATAATTTTTTTTAAAAATATTCTCCAAAAATTCAATATATTGAATTAGAATATTTTCGATAAATTAATGAATTAACAAATAATTGAAATCGTTAAGCAAAGAATCGATACAAAAGAAATATTCTAACCTTTTTATAAGAATTCTTCATCAGCATTTAAATTTAAATTATTAAATAGTGAGTTTCTTAGGTTACAGGTCCTTCGATTTTTTTTTTGAAAACTAGCGCTATTAAAAAAATTTATTAAAGTTCGATGCTAAGCAGTTATTTTTAAACGATGCTTGATTTTTGGACAAATAATTAATGAGGCTTATGCGATGGTTATAAATAATACTGCCATTAAATAGTAGAAACAGCCATAATAGTTTTCAGTTATTGTTTATTTTATGTTTATTTGCTTAAGAATAATAGATAATCGAAATAAAACGGATTTGAAGAAATGCCTAGATACCTAGACTATCATTTCAAATATCAAGATTTGGCCAAATCTGCTGACAACGATAATCTATTAATTGTGAAAAATCCTGATAGTGCTCATTTATATGAACAAGCTACAAAAAAAAAGAATCTTAATGGAAAAAACAAGAGTAACTAGTCCAAATGGAGTTTTTAAATGTAAATTATTGAACTGATAGCAATTTTTTTGGGCTAAAATTCTAATTATAACAATAATGGAAGACAAACTTGACCAGTGATAACCTAACGATTAATTTCTGAAACTTGTCAAAATATTATATTGTAGAAGATATCATTTTATAGGAACGATTGTATTAGGAAATGACTGTATTAGATGGCAGAAAATAATAATTCATTAAATAATAAAATAATGCGTTTAGAATGGTGTAAAGGTATATTAGCAAATATAAAACTGTTTTAAGTAATTTTTCTCAAAATTATTATTTTTTTAAAGGCGTTGACTAGAATGGAAAGTGCAAGATATATATAATGATATTCCATCTAAAAAATTTAATGAATACAACAAGTTAGTATTAAAGAATACCTGGAAGGACTCCATTAACTATGACATCGAAATCTTCATCACTACCACCACTAACTGAGAATCCAACACGCTCCTTCTCATTATTTAATCGTATCACTATATCACCATCTATATATGTATAAAACCTCTGCAAACCAAAAGTTGTTATGTGGTGATAAAAAAATAAAATTTTCAGCGAATAAATTTTAAAGGATCAAAATTATGAATTATCGAAACTAGCATCATCGAAAGACATCATCTTTTGTATAAATCTATGATTGGATTAAATAAATCTTCATTCAACAAGCCACAAGAACGGTTATATCGCATTTATTTGTTAAATGCATACGTCAATAAGCTTTCAATAAACTGGATGGTACCTTCTAGTAAATTGAACAGTTTAAATGAAAAGGCATAAAATTTAGAATGATTTAAACAAATAAATATACTGATAGTGGATTGAGGCTTTGTCTTACTACGAATCTGATCTATGCAAATATTCTTTTTTACTTTATTCATTTCATGACTTTTTTAAGTCAATAAATTATATAATTTGCGAAATCATTGAAATCCAGCATTGATGAATATATAAAAAAGGCAACATTGAGAAAAGATGAAATTTCTTGAATTTTTTTTTTCGAAATGAAGAAAAACTTATTAAAAACTGAATATTGTGATAAAGAAAGCTTCTTATTATGCATGATTGCTCAAAAAAAAATGCTCTGAAAAACGTTATTCAAAATTTTAAAAAATGAATCGTTTTTCACTAACTTTTTGATGATAAAATGGTGACAAAGGGGGTCGAATGTATGTTGTTGGTGGCTGCCAATGCTGACTTCTCGGTCTTGTAAAATTGCACGATTTTCGCTAAAATCTTCGATGATAAAAGAAATGAATATTTCTTTTTTTTTTGATCATATCGAATCAGAATGCAAAAAAAAAAGTTTCGAAATTTGAGAATTAATAGTTTCATCGTTAAACTCGATAGAGGGCAATAAACTTTATTAATTGAACAATCAAACCTAATGCAAATTATGAAATTTTTATGCAAAATATGATGAATAGTAATGAAATAAAAATATTGCATTTAAATATCCGTTTTTTATAAAAAAAAGACAATTTTTAATTCTATTCATCACATCGAACTTAGCAAATATTTGCCATTAAGAAAAAAAAATATAAATTATTTATAATCTTATAATTATTATAATGTAATAATAATTTAATATAATTAAATATAACAAAAAAATCAAATCGAATTTATTGGAATTTTCCAATAATTTCCAATTTTTTCAAGAAACTATCACCTAAGGCGCTATTTTTGTCACGAAAAAATTTTCTTCTTTTAAAAATTTCAAAAAAAAAAAGAATTATTCAAATCAATTTTCGAAGTTTTATTTCTATTATTTTTCTAAGGGCGTTAAATGATAGTGGAATAGATCGGTGATATTTCTTAACTTCATAAAAAGCAATTAGATGCATTCAAATTGAATAATTGAATATAACGAAACATATACACATAAGATATCTCTATAAATGAGAGAATTAACTTTTAAATCCCTTTACTTTACAATTATCCACCATCAGATAATTACGGCGTAGGTGTAGTCGCTTATTTTAAATATTGTTTTTGATGCACTATAAGAATCGATAAATTTTCATAAATAAATAAAATCCATATTATAAAGAAGGAGGGGGGAAAAAAGCACCACAGCTTCTTAAAAATTTCATTTGAGAAAATTTTAAAATATGCCAAAGTTAGCCTATGAAAGAACGAATTATTGATAATTTGATCAAATAGATTGCACTTTTATCTCTTTCAAAAATTTTGCAATTCTAATTTTTTCAAATATTAAAGGTTGCCTCAAGTTCGAACGCTCTGCTAACTTTATTTCATTTAAATTTTCATTTTTACAATCAAATTATTATTTATTGCGCGAATCAAAGAAGTACATAAAATTACTAAAATAAATGGGTAAATAAATATTGTTTGATGATCAATTTTGAATTTTAAACTGTAAATGAATTTTAAACTGTAATAACAGAAATACTAAAAATACTTCTAAAATAATCCAAGATGGGAGTAAGGAAGAATTTTACTTTTAATGATTTATCGTATACCGCAAGAGAATTATTTTTTATTGAATCGAATATAACGATGGCATTGGCACGAACCTGAATTGATGCCAATTGCTTTTCACTGGTAGTTACATACATGTTATAAAATGCTTGTTCTGGCCTATATGCATTTATCGTACAGCCAAATGATGAAGCGTAATAGCCATCGGGGGGTATCGTTGAAGTATACCTAAAATTGATGCAAATATTTTTTATTTCTATTTTCATTTCCTAACGGATAACCGCCAGTGATAGTCCTCTCATTTAATAGAAAAAGATTGCTCAAATATTTCGTCATCTATTTCAGGAAAATTTTATGAAAAAGCAAAATAAAAGTTATCGATAAGCTGAGATAAAATTCGACCGAATGCACGAGTTACCGTGTATTGCCATTGATTCTGGTCTTATTCTGGAAAAAATTCTTCTTATTTGGAATATTCGGATTGCTATACCGCTGGTCGTGGAATGCTATCGAATCTTCGCCCTAAAGTAAATAGTAAATGTCGTTAATATTTTTGATATCTCTAGCCTTATCAAAATATATTTAATATGCTTATTTAAATTCACAATCACTGCGAAAAATAATCTAAATTAATCTATTCTTTATATTTTTATGATATTTAAACTCTATTTAATAAGTGCTCAAAGGCTCAGAATTTTCAAAATTTCGATCAACGTTGTCCTTCGCAACATATGCAAGTTATAAAGAATAAAAAAACATGATACAACAACGAATAAATTGTGAACAAAAATTTTTTTCGAGTTTTTGATAAGATTTTTGATTCGATTATTCAGGCACTTTTTTTGGAAAGATCTATTTCTGATTAGGTTCATTCTGCTGGCTTCTTAGATAAGAAAAATTTTGCTAGAGATCACTTGCCCGAAAATATAGGTGAATCACTAGCAGTAATCGTAATATTTTGAAAGATAATTCCTAATTTCAACATCGCTTCGAAATAAGAGCAATAACTCTCCTTTCTAAGCATTCAATCTCACCATATCTGTAGAAATAACACTTAAGTTCATAGAAAATTCTTTGAAAAGCCTCAAATAAATAAATTAATGATGTTTATTAAACATTCAGATAAAACCTAATAAATAAATATTTTGCGAAAAACTATTTCGCATCTCGCTTCATCAATTTCACAAAATCTTGCTGAATGCAGAAAATCTACAAGATACACAAATAAAACTCTAAGTGAAAACAATCGACTGTTGATGATTTATTTCTATGCGAAATTTCAACAAATTTTCATCGTGAAATTTTCATAATAATTTCATTTATAAAATTTTTTCCAAATAAGAAATATTTATTCAAAATTTTTGAAATAAAATTTATTCATGAAAAATGAAAATTCATCGATGAAATCGATCAAAATATATAATTAATATAATGTTTTAATCATTTTAAGAAATCTATCTCATGGAATCATCATTTCATAACGGCTATAGGTAATTTTCAAATTTTTGACTTAACATGTACTACGATGAAATATCCGAAAATAAGCGAAATAAATTTCATAATGTAGATTTTCTCACCGTGCATTAGTATAATCTGCAAATTATAAACTTGATATGATACTAAATGATGCTTATCAGCAATTTCCCGAAAGTTGATGACCCGAAAAGAAAAAATAATATTAACTGCAATTTATAAGTAAACTATGGTTTACAGTAATCGAGATATATTGATCAATTGATCTGAAATGAGAAGATGAAATGTGAAAAAAACTTATCAGAGGGTCATTATACTTATTGAAATAATTCATATTCTTTTTATTTCAAGGATAGCTAGCGGCTTTTTAAATCTGATTTTACAACTTTATAAAATTTATAAGAGAATTTATAAAATTTATTTTATTAAATTACCAAAATATAAAAGGATAAAAAATAAAGATAGACAATAATTTGACAAAAAAAAATGACATCTTGACGCCTTCTTAATTGCCCATTAAATCGAAACTTCAAGGTTGATTGAATCATGGTCGGTTTGGATGACCTTTTAACCACTTTGAAAATATTTCAAAAAAATTTGTAAATATGATTCATTTTTTATTATAGCTTAGATCCTATGAGAATCGAGGATTTATATTTTTCATTTTTTCATTTCATTTTTTCCGGAACAATGAAGAGAAAAAATTCGCTATGAATTCACTGGTAATTTTTATTGGACTGAAAACATTTGGTCCAAATTTTTTTTCTGGAAAACTGGTACAGTTCCTTTCCTTCCAATTTTAGCAATTTTCTTAAATAGCCAACTAAAAATAAATCACTAAAAGTGTCCAAAGTGGACCAATAATTCACTATCGCTTTTCTTCTTTTTCTTTTTTCCACAATAGTTGATAAATTATCAACTGAATTAGTTAAATGATAGAAAAAATCGCAAATATTTCTGATTTCTCTCATATTCTCGAAATTTGCATTCTTATTTTCGAAAAAACGAATAAAGATCTTCGATTAGATTACCATTGTTGAATTTCTTTTTGAACTTTTTATGACGATCCAATGTTGTGAAAGTGATCAAATAGGTCATCGATGTTCTATGTTATTTGAGCAAAATTCCCGAAAGTTATAGAAAATTAACCTTTTAGAACAAAATTTTTGCTGAACGATATTACTCAATCTGATAAAAGAAAGGCAAAGGCGCTGACCAGTATTTTGCAAAAATAATCAACGTTATGTTGAATTGTGGAATGCAAATTATAAATAAAATATGCTAAAAATTTGGACAATTCAGACAGTGAACGATATTAATATTAAGACCATTTAACATTTAACATACCGATACTTTAACTATTTCTGATTTGGCCGGATTTGTCTACAAAGAAGAGAAAGGTTTGTTAAAAAGCTATTTGGAATAAGAAATATAAATTGGTCATCAAATGCAAATTGAGCATCACCCAAGATTTACTGATAATTATTTATTTGATTAGTTTATTTATTTTAAAAAGATCATAATTATAAAAAAGAAAAAGAAACTATAGCGAAACAAATAAAGTACTATTAGAAGTACTATTATTGAGCATAAATGACAGCTTGTTCCAGTCAAGAGACAGGAATCAAACCTATCATGGCTTGACCTCTTCGATCATTGTGATAAAGTTCAGAGAAATCGTATAGATCTGATGGGTGCTACTTAAATATGCGGTTTGATGCTGGCCAATCTAGCAATAGTTTACTAGCATTCAGCTTGTCTAATGGCCATGACTTGGGCTGAAATTTAGTGAAAAACTCAAATAAGCTAACCTGAAATCGGTCGTTAATGGGTTTAAAAAAAAAAAAATTTAAAATTTCAATCGAATCGACGAATTTATGCTGAATTTATATGAAATTTTGAAATTTTCATTTTTATTAATTGAAATAAAACTGATATGAATCGCGAAAGAAAAATTTTCGACAATATTTGATCAAATTTCAGAACAGTATTTTCGGTTTTTTCTTCTCGCGCCACTCAATTATAAGATTTACATTCATTGAAATAAATTAACAATGTTCACATTTAGTTCCGCTTTTGTACATCAATTACCATTCGCTATGCGAACAAATTTATTTCTTTATCATAAAGAAATTGTTAGTGATAAGATAAGTTTCGCCTTATATACTTATAAGCTTATTTAATTTGTAACTATGGAATGAAATGAGTTAAAGGAAAATCAAATGGTTTGTTAATGTTCGTTATATTTCTAAAATTAATTCAATTTTCGATTTTTTTGCCTAAAATTTTAGACAATGAACAACTAATATTTTTAAGAAAATTGATAATAAAATTATAAAAAAGGTGGAAAACTAACTGTATTTGATGAGAAATTATGGCCATAATAACGTTGCATACGAATTGATATAAATAAAGATTGGATAAAAATAAGAGAGAATAATCGACGAACAAGGTCGATTCGTTAGGAATATTCAATGCACAGTCGCGATAAAAGATAGAGACATTGCAAGCGAACCTACAATCAAAGGTAAACGTTAATTACAAAGGTATATGAGGGCAATTATCTGTTCATCCTATTACCCGAACTCTCATATATTTATTTTCTTCACATTAATTTATTTATACCAATCCTTAAAAAAATTTTCCGAATATTTGTTATTTCAAAATTACTTAAATCGTATCACACATTTTAGGTAAAATTTTTATACATAATTTAGTAAATCAACGCTAATAATGGTTCAGTGGATTATTTCGAAGAGTTGATGCTGGAATTCCATTCTTAGCACAAGTGAATCTGTCTTCCAAAAGTCACTTGTATTTCTATCACCAAGTAGTTCTATGATAAAATTTTTCCAGTGCGATAAGCCAACATAGCTAATCAGCAAATGATGAATACTCTTAGAGAGAAATCTATTAATGAAGTAAGTTCGTAACGCTTTCAACAAATTCTTTGGAATCGTTTGTAAATCGAAGTCAAACTCAACGATTACCAATGTTTACTATTCAAAGAATGCGAACTTTAATACTCCATGAACTAACAGATGAAAATTTTTATACAAATGACAGAAGGTGATGACAATCACCAAAAGATAAATTTTTGAAAGCGAAAGGAAACTTTACAGTGTAATGAAATAAATGAAGAAACAAGGTTAAAATAATTAATACGAACATAAATATGACAATTTTATGATCTCGAAGTTATAGAAATTATAAAGTTCTAATATTAATGATAATAATATTAATATTAATAATAATAATAATAATAACAATAATAATAATAATAATAATAATAATAATAATAATAATAATAATAATAATAATAATAATAATAGGCACTCAACAACTATAATTTGGTACCAGCATAGAATACTGCACAAAAATAAAACGATTTTTTATTTTTGCCGCTCGATTGATCAATCAAACGATTAACAATTGAACAACATCTCAATGTAGTTTTCTTTGTAGAAAATTAGGTTAAGAAGCACTAATAATGTTTCCGATTCTCATTGTATCCATGAATTACCACCACTGAATTTTAGTTTTTCGTTGTATCAACTTGCGTGACAAAATATTTTTTCATATTCGTCGTGCAATAACTAATACATAATTTAAAGAAATTTAGAAATTATTAAATATTATAATATTATTATAATTATAATATTATTATACTATACTTATATTATTATATTTGATAAAATTCAGTAATTTGAACGGTGGAAAAGGCAATAAATTCCGTTATTTAATTTAAATATTTAATTCAATTTCAGATATGGGAAAGCATGGTAACCTCTCACCTTAGTTAATGAAGTAATCAGTCATCAAACAAATCAGAAATGGTTTTCAATAATAATAAAAATAGACGAAGAATAATATAAACATTTAGTTCATAATTCAGTTTTTCCTACAAGATAAAAATGAATAAAATTTGAGTTTGAAAATAAGTGATAATGAGAAAGAGTGAAATTTGGCAATCTCATAAGGGATTTCATGAATGCAAAATATTAGGGTTTATCAGTAAAATGCATGCCGTTATAGAAAAAATAAAAGAAAAACAATTATTATATTAATTTATAAACCAAAGGCCAAGCAGATCCTACAGTCATGCATTAAATTTAGAAAAAAATTAAGCCATATTTCGCATGAATCAAATTCTGCTTAATCTTTCTCAATCTTAATGTACCTAAACTAGTCATTTCTAGTTTTCCTTTACAGTTGTTGGTACTTCCAAGGCTAATGCAAAATTATTTTTGAAATTTGCTAATTCATTCGATTTTTGATGTCAAATAACTATAATAAACTATTCCACTAGATGGTGAATAAAAGCTTATTAGTTTAGTTCAGTAACGAAGGTTTCCGTTCTATTTTTAATTGATGAAACATAAAGTTCAGTAATGTGGGACTTCTTTATGACTGTCTTGCATTAAAGATCAAAATCAAGCTTTTCGTCTACAATTCCAAGATCTGAAATATTCTGTATGAAATAAAATTTATATATAATTTTTTGAATTTATATGCATTTATATTGTATTTTTCAACAGAAAAGTTGGTAAATTGCTGAAACCAGTTAGCGAAAATTCTCTTTTCACTTCTTGTGGGTGTTATGGATCATCTTCAATTTAATATTCTCTACCAGAAACCTGGAAAGAGACTTCCATAGAGCATCGCCCAAGGACTCTCCCGCGAGCTTTATATCCATTCATAATCATAAATAGTCTTTTGACTACTACCCTAACACGGTTTTAACTCTCACATTACCTGTGCTCTTCTTCCTTAACAATCAAATATGAATATATTTAATAAATAAGTATGAATATATAAAAACACTGCATATTTCATTATTCTATACAATTACAATTCTTCGAACAAAAAGACCATCAGCCTCTTCCCATTGCACAGTTTTGAGCACATATAGCAACGGTACCACCACATTTCACTTTATGAAGAATTTTAGATCCATATAAAAATTATATAACAGATCTGCCAATTGGGACAACTTTGCTAAGAGTACTTACAAGATTAGATTAGATTTTATAAGATTGTTTTGGATAATTGTTGTCTTCACCAAATTAAATCAATCTTAACATGGAACGATAACAACCGATAATAATCATTATGATAAGGCGAGAGTAAAGAAATATGTTCCAATTTTTTCGACATTACAAGATGATATATAATTATTTTCACATGTCAAGTGAATGAATACAAAGCACATTGGTAAAAACAAACTTTCTACAAAGAAATAACTTTCAGCTCTATTAAAAATGTTACAAAAGATCTTGAATAATCCTGAATAATCAGCCTTAAATAGTTTATTCATTTAAATGAATAAGAACCATAAGGAGCAAAATGGCATGTGCTAGTGTTAGAAAGAAAAAATCAAAAAAAATAAGCGAAAAAAATAAAAATCATAAAACAACAATAAAATCGAAATAGATAAAAAATATAATAAAAAATATCACCTAATTTCTATTAGTTTGAGGATAAATCTTCAAATAATTTCATGTAAGAAAATTATTATTTGATTTATTCCATGTGTGATCTATGAAATTCTAGATGATTTTTTGGCAACTCTTGATGTAAATTAAAAATCTGAGATCGATTATTAATCCGATATCTAAAAAATTGCTGACTCGAGGGCGACAAATATGCTTGAGAGAACAGAGTATTTCCCACTTACCTGGATTTAACAATGCAAAGTGTATACTAAATTTGAATTTGAATTTGTTTTTCTTGAAGCTAAATAATATTCATAGATTTTTTCATGTGGAATAAATTCTTAGATCTATCATGTGAAAAATGAATTTTATAGTCAGCAGCATACAAGCATATTTAGAATAATAAAAGACCTAGCTAATCACCTCGATCAAATTTCAATTTTTGAATTTCGATGATAGCAGATCAAAATTCGACGAATTCAATGACGTATTGTTAACTCACAAACTCTGCAATTGTTCCTTGTTTCTTTTACTAAGTCAACAACCAGTAGTATCATGAATAACAGTCAACAGTATGGAATAATACCAAAAACTTCAGCTAAATCTTAATAAGGAACTAAAATTAACACGACCAATTGACATTGGCCAGCCATAAAGATTAGCAAGAAGTTGAATAGTGATGGAATTATGTAGAAATTCAGAATTTCAAAAATTAACTTATCGGCATCAAGGTAGTTGCATATATAGTTGCACGAACCTTCCTAATATTCAATTATCGCCAAATTATGTGATAAAAATTGATTGACAATTAAGAGAATTATGTTACTTATCACCTTATTACCTTAAAAGTAGCAATATTTTAAATTTTAGCAAAAAATGGCTCAGTGCTTTGCTGCTATTATTTCGGAGAGCCGATGTTGGCATACTACTCTATACTAATCATACTAATCCAGGCATGAATAAAATTAAAATCCAGGTGATGCTGACGAGTCACCTATATCTCTTTTGCCAAGGGATTCTTTGGCAAATTTTTGCCGGCCGACAGGCCAGCGGAATAAACCAAATTCTTAGATTTTTACATTCTTTCTTTATAAAAGATTCTTTAATTGATTTATAAAACATCTTCAAATAATCTCTATTTGTTAGGAAATTTCTAGAAGATCTGGTTCATTTATTTTTCATAGGAAATTTATACGAGTTTTTTTCAAGAATTTTAAAAATTTTGCTATCGTTTTATTGTTTCTTTTAAATAAAGGAATAAAATGCTGAACAAGCAGGTTTTGAATTTTTTGCCTTATAATAAAGTTGAATTCCAAGTAAAGTTGATAAGCAATAAGCTTATTATGTTATCATAATTATCAGACAAATTTAATCTTCTGGTGATTTTGAAGAAATTCTTCTGATTTACTAGAAAGTTCATCGGAATTTCTCATGTAGCTAATTAAAAATTTCGAACATAATCACTGAAAATTTTATTAAATTAATATAACAGAAAACTAAGAACGAACGAAGAAACATTGATGCTTTCGATTATATGACAAAGGCGATGTATTCATTGATGTAACTAGATTTGATATGTTTTTGATTGTGTAATCAGAATACGCAAGTGTAACAAATTTGACATGAAAATGCGACCTATAAAGAAAAATTTTAATGAACTTCCACCTATATGTTTCGGGATTATATAGAGGAAAATTGTGCGTGTCCCATGGATTTTGATGATTCTTAAGCAATTTAATTGAATAGCCACATTTCGAAATCGTAAAGAGACTTCGTGTGTAATCAATGGATCCAACGAAGATGAAACCTTCATTCATAAGAAGATGAAAACTCAAGAATAGCTCGTGAATTCCTTTAATTTTAGGAAAGCTTATGGCTAGTATCAGCGATACTGGATTTGATAAAATCTTTCAGCAATTGTTTTTAAGTAAATCGTCAGTCGATCGTTTTGCAATTAATTTCCACTCTTATTACTTTAGTCTTATTATATTCTTTTATTATAATTTTATTATTTTACTGTATTTTAGTTTATGTATTATTTTTTGGTATAAATTAATATTTCACAAATTTTGTGTGATATTGGCAATGTGCAAAAAAATATTGCATAACTTTAAGTTGAATAATCGTTAATTTAAATTCGCTAAGGCATTACAAATTTGTCAGTTCTAAATTAAATAGAAAATTTATCAACGCATTTCATTTCTTATCCCAATTGTCGGGTAGACGTTGTTGATTGCGATCATATAATTCTAAAATATGATAGATGAATTATAACTTCAATCCACATTTTCATACAAATACATAATAACTCAGAAGAAGGGTACGAAACGAGACTTAACACCAGTTTTGACTAAGTTTTTTTTTCGCAGATTTTATCCGTAATAGCAATAATTATGAAAATAAAAATAATTATAATAATTAGATGCTTCCAGTATTTCCATTCCGGTGTAATTTCAAACGATTTACTGAATAGGACAATGAGAATATTCAAAAGATATAGAAGTCATACATCATTAATTGGTTTAGAGTAACTTATTTTCATAACCAAAAGACTGCAAAGTCAAATTGGCAGTAAATAGATACCACAAAATGGTGGAACATTTCTTTTTGAGTCATAATGTTCGAATGAAGATAAGTCTGGGTGATGCTGGCGACTCATCTGTATTTCTATCGCCAAGGGACTGCCTGGTATATTGCTCAATTGCGACAAGCCAGTGGAGCCAGTTTAACCAGTAATGGTGAGAACTCTTCAATGAAGATAAATATCACTGATTACAGTTTATCTGAGGATTTTTATCATCTCAAATGGATGGTACTTATGTACTGAAATGAAAGTAAACCGATTAATAGCATCATTTTTTGAAAGAAATAATCAGAGGCAGCCTTTTCAATTTTTTGATGGTCAGTGTTAATAATATGTCATTAAGGCATAAGGATTAGAAGGTGGATTTATCATAAGGATGAAAGAATTTGATACACCTAATAGACTACACTCTAATCCGATGATCCGAGGTGATAATCCATAGTGAACATGCTAAAATTGATAGACCATCAAATTCGTATGAGTTTTTGAACCACAAAGCCCTTCCCACATCGTGCAGGCCTTAATCTAATCACTAGCGACACCATTTATCGATAAAATTTTAATTTCTCTTGTTTGACCAGCATGAAAAATAAAATTGGAATTTAAAAAATGAGCTTGGCTGAAGAAAGAACTAGGAATTAAAACTGAAGGCATTTGGTAGTATAGTACCCGATTGATCCATCATCGTTTCCTAAAACTTGGCGATTATAAATACAGAATTATATAGTTACAGGATTTTCAAAAACTGCAAACATAACAACCAGAGCTGATCAAAAAAAAAAATAGTTCTAAGTGATAATGCTAGACTACCCGTCACAAGAATGATTTTATAAAAATTTTCTCAATTTTTTATCGAAATTCTATCTCATCCATCACATTTCCTCAAATTTTTCTCAAATATAATCGCATTTTTTCCCGTTCATTTCAAACTTCCTCAAAGAAAGACGCTTTCGAAGAGTCTTGAAAATAACTTTCAACAATCAATTAACATCAAAGGCTCGGACTTTTATAAAATGGAATAAATGCAATATGCTTATCTCATGTAGGTAATATGTTCAACACAGTGGTACTTCTATTAAAATTAGCTTTCAATGTGGCTATGGTCTTTTGAAATGAACGGCATAAAACTGTGATAGCATTTAAAATGACCCATTGTTTACGAACATTTCTCTTATTCTTGAAAAAAAGTGTGAGAGGAAATTCCTCGCTGCTTTTTGCAATACGCACTTGATCCTACGATTAAATATCCAATTCTCAGTTAGATTGTAATGCAGTATATACAATGCTTCGAGATATTTTATGTTCTTCTTTTAGATATTAAGGCTCATGAAGAAAAAATCTTAGTACATAAACATGGAAATTTTTGAAAACATCTTTCATATAAAAAATATATTTATTAATGAAAAATATTAGAGGCAAAATGAAGGCGCTTTGTGGACGCTTATCTGTTGATGCTTATCAGTTGAAATGCGATAGTTGAGATATTAATTAAAAATATTAATTTTAACGCATTTCAACATATAAGATTAATATTACTTTTGAGGAACATCTGGTTTGGTGCCATTTTCGAATGGAGATAAATAGTACCACCAATAAACTAACTGAAAAATTTAGATTATAATCAATGCCTTTATCTAACGATTAAATATCATTAAATTAACAATTAACAATTAAATAACGAAATTAACCGATCAATTGAATTTTCTTGTTCAACCTTAAAATAAAGATGTATTGTGCAAGTGGACCAAAGATGCTATTAGGTTTTTGCGCGGTTACCAAGTTTAAATCAAATATTCTCCTAGTGGCTTTTTACGAGGATTAAAATAAAAGCAATAGTAAGGGAGAAAAATTTTGAATAAAGGGAGCTATAACCAGTGATTAGCTTGAAAAAAGTTTACACAAATTTCTTCTCTCGTAATTAACAAATACTAAAAAATAAAAGTTTACATTGAATAACGTGAAAGTCAATGGAAAGCAAACAATTGAGAATTTGTCTACAGTTTCCGGATGCAAATAAAATCGCCGCTTCCTTCGTATTTCATGATCGTTACAAAATGAATGAATCTGAGATGAAAAATTTTTAAGGGATTTTACGAATTAAGAATAAAGATTTTAAGCAAAGAATTAATTTGCAATATTTGCAATATTAAACCATTTATTTTGTCTAAAAGGACCGTGTAATGTAAATCAATAAAATATTTCAGATACCTCTTTGTGTTAACGGATTTTTTGTAATCTATGAATACCCAAGGAATAAAATCTACCAAACTGCTAGCTGCCAACATTTAAAAAAGAGTTGAGTGTAAGATAATTGAAAGCTTCACCGGTGATGTGCTCATGAATACAAACATTTTATTGTCTAGTACGCAAAAAACGGGAAAATTTTCGTCCTTACAATAATGGCTATTCCTATAATTTGATCAGCGATGGTATAATCGAACGAGTCAATCCTAGCATCAGGATTGGTGCTTGACATGATTTTAAATAAAATGGAAAATTTATCAATGTAGAAGAAAATATATATATATATATAAATATAACATTGAAATATGAAACCTGTTCGAAAGGACTGTTATTATTAAGCAAAGCTGAAGAATAGGTGTCGATTCCGTTTGTCGCTGAAATAGCTCGAGTTAAATGAGTCAAGTTTCGAACGCTCCAAGGCGGTGACGCTGTGCTGCGCAGTAGCGATGCATATCCTGAATTGTCGAAATACTCGTCAGATTTTAGACAGATTTTTCATACATTTTGATATGAGCTTATATAAGTCCTTAATATCTAATAATGATTGATCAATTTTACGGAAAAACCCAAATATTATGTAGAGTCTAAATGTATAAATAAAAAAATAATTGATCGCTAAAACAACTCAAAGTAAGGTGTATTACCTAATAAATTGGATAAATTTGAGTGTTAAGTGGCAAATAGGTAAACACTTGCCAGTATTATAACGATCGCTGTTGCAAGTTCCATTATGTTTGTACTTAAATAGATTTAGTTTTTGCATTAGATTGTTTCGGCTACTTCGGTTACTATCATTGTCACAACGAGTTATATGGCAAACAAATGCTAGTTCGATCATTGAAGCGAATACAAATGATATACATCCTGAGCGAAGAGTTATTTGTTTAAAAGTCCCCACTTTTTTTGATATTGATAATATTTTATTTATCAATATAGGAATTGTACACTATATAAATGGTAGACAATTTCGAATCTTAAAAAAAAAAATCAAATTCTAAGAAATGAGTTGTAAATCTAAAGCGAAAAAGCAGAAAATTTTTAAATTGTTTGGCGAGAATAGCCTTTGTTTAAAAAAGAACTAACCAAGCATCCAAACATCCATTGCCTTAACATAGGACACCCTTGGAAGATTCTTTAAAATATTGCCAAATTGAAAGGTTAGAGCTAATAGCGAAGATACTCCAACAGTAGTTCTCGCAGGTAATGCCTTGGGTTCCATGCAAAAGCTCACCCAACTAACGACTATTGTTAGATAGGTTGGAACATATGCTTGTAAGATGTAAAAACCATAACGCCTTTTGAAAGAAAACACTACCTAAAAAAATTTTTTGAATTTTTTTAAAATTTTTTCAAATTTTCAAAAACTATTGAAATTTTCTAATAGAATTTAATCATTCTGTATCCACAGAGATTTACTTTACTTAAATACTCCGTTTTTTATGGCTGAAGTCCACAGGTTTAATTCCTTCATGATGAATTTGTCATTTTTATTAAGTTCAACTATTTTTCCATTCTAGAAAAGTCCTGTTGAATGTTCTGAAGTTTCTAAAATAGAATGTTCTAGTCAATCGACAATTTTCAGAAGACTATTTTCTTACTACTGTAGGATTTATTGATAGTTGGTCATCCTGAAAATTCTCGCATTCTTTAGTCATTTTTATTTTTTATGAGCAATATTTTACTGAAAATCAATGTTTTCATTCAAAATAGGCACCTTGATAACCAATACACTTTTGCCCAAAGAAACTATGCATTTATTATTCGCATAAAAATACAAGCTTCTGGAACCAGTGAAAAACTGGTTTCAAAGTCATCCAAAAGTATTTCTTTCTGAGAAAGTTATCGAGGGAAAGGAAGATAAAAGAATGTTGGTAAGAGGTTTGGGGAACATAGACGATGAGCGACGACTTTGATATTTGCAAATTTTGCAAAATGATTTGTGCTATCTGGAATGATCGCGCAATATGATGAAATTTTTTCTATTGACCAGTGCTGGATTCTTTTATTGATAATTTCTGGTAGAATATTTGCAGTTCTTTACAGCACAACTCTGTTATGATTGCTGCACCAGGTATTTCAATCCTGCAATAGATCATAGACATTGAGCACAGCTTTCCCCGAAGACTGAAGGTCGGGTTTTGCTAAGAGATCGAGAAGTTCATCTTTTTGTCGCACAGAATCCATTTTTAAAAGCAAGAAAAGGGTTATTATAAGCAAGAATAGATCTCCAAACATTTTCAATGCTCAGACTATTCATGCAATTCATGTTCGTGAAGTTTTTTTCTCCCACTATTTCACGTATTATATGAAACTCTAAGTCTTTGTATGAAATCGGCACAATTTCTTCTGAGATTGGCGTTCATCAGTTCCTTCATGGAATCATTTATGGAAGTTGAAGGCCGTTTGCAATGTGAGGCATCTTCGAAATCTATATCTCTAGGATTGAAATTCATAAACTAATCATCTTTTTTCAGATATATCGTCACCAAAAATTATTGTGTGCTGTCGCTTTCGCTCGATGCCACAGTTTAAACCAATGAAATTCCAATAATAAAAATATGTTGGCAAAAATCACTAAAAAACGGCAAGAATTTTTAGGATTGCCTTGTTGAATAGAATAATTATTGTAAGAATTTGTCGAGAAGACATGTCACGCCGGTCCTTTTTTTTTAAACCAAATCTCATTACTCTAAAATACTATATGCCGCCGAATGGCGAAAAAAGCTGCAAATATAAGCAGGTCATCCGGATTGCACCTGCTATGCCTAGCAAAAGAACTGATGAAATAAGGTAGGGGAGAAATGGAGAAGGTATTAGAAAATATGCCATAATAATAGTAGAGTACCTCATAAATGAGAGGCACAATGTAGCTTTTATTATGAGAAGATTAAAAAGCATAAATTTTCCCGCCCATCTTAAATTAAATATAAGTTCCCAAAAATCATTTTTGGTCATTTTATGCTTCTATTAAAGAAACGAATGGGGAGCGATGGGCATTTATATTTTGGGTTTGATTTTATTTACTTATTATTTCTTTGTAGTAAGACAATTGTTTCACTTTGATTTCTTGTATATATTTTGCGTCATCACTAATAAAGATTTAATTGCCCAAGTGTGAGGGTTCCCAATGAGAAAAGTAAGAAGAGGATGCTGGCCGCAGAGTTTGTAATATTGTTAAATAAAAGTCCCGCGTGGCAGTAAATCTATACAGAAAAAATACAGTGGAGCGGATTCCCGAAAGGAATTTTTGTAAAGGTAGAATATTGGAAGGGAAATTCGCCGTGCTCTCAAAATTTCGTAGTGCTAGTCCTTTTTTCTATACACTGTATGAAACCATAAAAAATGGTGATAAACCAAAAAATTTTACGAAAAGGTGGTTCAGTCGCATGTTGTTTCAACTGTAATCAATCACCATAATGACTCGATTCGTGTCATTATAAGTGAACGCCGAATGGTATGAGGGATCCACTCATATTCCTGTTTTCAAATGATTCTGATGAACAGATCTAACCTTGATAATGAATAATCAAAATTAACTCGAAAATACCGAATTGTTCGATGAGGCGGAAAATCATTTGCTGATATCTACCGTAAAGAAAATCCCTTTGTGAGTGTTACGGATCTTCCTAAACTTTATCTAACAAAAGTCTAGAGGTTTGAGCATTCTGCGCAACATCTTACTAGTTTCTAGGAGTGGGCTCTTCTACACAGAGATCTGTGATACTAGAGAAACCTGTTGGAACCATTTTTTCAACTTGGGGGTCACAGCCTCGAGTGCCCCCACCATCAACTACTTTCCATATCTTTTCTAATTCCTCTTTTGGGGCCTAGTGTCTCTCTAGTTTTTTATATTCCTTCTTCATAATTTTCCTGTCTTTTGGTGCCATCATAGTGATGTACCTGCTCAGTTTCGCTCAAAATAATGGTTCTGACCCTCACTAAGCCCCATAAGCCTTATTTCTAGTTTGTTGTTAGATTTGTGGAAAATTCTGATGAATTTCCGAGTCTTCAAATAACAATGTTCTCCATATCTTCCTTTGGCCATCCCATTATACCGTAGTATTTGTGGCATGGTCCTTATTCTTTCCATTCAGTTGACCTGTCTTATTCTTTGGTGCTACTTTGATAACATCAAAGTCCTTGCCTCTTCATCATGATTTCGAGATGCCAAGGTATTTTCAGCTAATCTATCTGCTATATGCCCTGTTTGTAGGTCCACTTCATCAGTTTTTACTATTTTTCCTATCTTTTCACCATCTGACCAAATTTCTCCAATCTGAATGACTACAATATATATAAATATATAAATAAAATCACCTGAAGTTGATCCCAGTAACCATTTGGGTATAACATTGTTTCACTGTTCGTTTTAAAAAAAATCATATCGAAATCTGGCAGCTGTATAGGCTTCATCAAAGTTATTGGCTCATTCATCCATCTTAATGTCACTTCTTCGCTGTTGTGCGAATATGATTCGAATATAAGAACACTGAAAATTGATTTCATTCCTGCCTTTTAAAAAATATGGTGAGTGAAAAATGTAAAGTATATATAATATAGATCAGGTTAGAATAATATATTCAGCAGTACAGTTACCAATAATTATCAATTATCAAAGATTAAAGAATGATCGATAAATAAAAAAGCTGGTTTTTACAGCAATTTTCTTCATAGGAAACCCCATCGATGGTTGGCAAGATTCTTGCATCAAATCCGACTCTCATTCGCCAAATTACCGAAGTTCTAGTGCCCACAATGACACATTTATTCCCAGCCTTTTCCATCTGAAGTACTCTTCCCTATCTTGAACACTCACCATACTTTCGTTGGCCACCAATAGTGAGGGTAAAAGACCACTAAGACCACTAGATCTGGGTTCTAACCAGCAGTTTGCATTAGTAGTAACTGTTGTTAAAGAATTCAATTTAATGAAGATGAGATTTTTAAGACAGTTTTCATCGATACAACGGAAATAGAAACTGGTCGACCCTTAAAAAAATTCCATAAAAAAAAAGGCGGCTCTTTGCATTTTAGCAATTTCGCGATATCAGTTATGAATTGAGAAACTGAAAAGCATACCATGATTGGGTATCGAAAGGAAATGTCCTGAGATCAAGATCGCATGGAGCTTTCACTGACATGCGATAGTTGATCCACACTGTTCCGTTCTGAATTAATTTTTGCAAATTCCATAAATTTTAAAAAATTTTTAAGATAAAAATTTTTCTCAAAAACAATTTCCCACAGGAAATACGATGAATTCATTAAACAGTACATACTTCATATAATATAAACATAACATTATCGGTTGGAGATGAGTGAATCATTGTGTTTTTTGAATTTATAAGACATGTATTTGGAGTCCATATTAAATCTATAAACCTAAAAATAATTTAAATAGCAACGGCTTTTATAGAAAATGACTTATCAATAATGCTTTTTTTTAAGAGTCCTCACCATTATATTACTGGTTAAACTCGCTCTGCTGGCTTGTCGCATTGGACAAATATGCCAGAAAGTTCCTTAGCGATAGAGATCCAGGAGAGTCGCCAGCGACACTCGGATTTTATCAGGTTTACTCCTGTTGGGAATCAAATCTCAGTATTCGCTCCCAGTTGAGCAAAAACTCAAGTTTAACAAATACCTTATGTTAACTTGCCTGATAATAGTTCTAAATATTTGCTGATTTGTTGAATGATCTTGTTAGAAGAAAAGAAGGAAAGAAGTTGTGCATTTCCACTTCTTTTAAAAATAAAACACACAAAATCTTATTATCAAATAATTTGATGATAACATCATTAAAGACTAAAAACAGTGAATATGTCGATTTCATTTTATTTATCAAATGATAAAATATATCTATCCAATGTTTTCAAAATATTACTTTGATTCCATGGTAATATTCCTCTTACAAGCGTTATAATTCGAAAAACTTAGAGCTGAATCATGCCAGAGTTGAGTGAACAAAATATCAATCTCGAAATCCGATGTGATCTCATTCAGCGAGGAAATATCCTGAAATTTGAGAAAATTATGAAATAACACCTAATAATGTAATTATGTTTTATATGAACATATAAATCATACTTGAACATGCATTTCAATGCTGACTTGAACTGCGTCTTCGATATCGGGTAACATTTTGGTATAATTTGATAAGATAGCATTAACAATAGCGCTTTCCTTCCATGAACCTTTAGCACATTGCCTTCTTTTCGCATTTGCCTATTGTTTAGTTTTATAGGAATTTGTTTCGTATCGCTATTAGTTAGAGATCATAAGAAGATTAAGAGATTAATAAGCTATGTCACAAGAAACGAAACGTGGACATTAGATGCGAGAGCCGAAAAAAAGTGGCGACCCTAAAAACGAGTAGTTCGAGATTGCATACCTGCCTAATCCAAACTTAGTTATTAGTACAAAATATGAAATTTGGCGTAATTTCAAACTTTCTTCAATTAATAATTGAACTTTTTTACAAAAAGAATTTGAAAAATCATTGAACAATTTGAAAATCATTTACCATAATAGCAAAGTTCAAAATGAGTGATATTTTGATAAACCGCAGAAGCATGATTACTATCGTTTATATCATAAAAAAAACTGGAAAACCGAGACATCTATGCATTCTGAAACTGATCGCATATCAATCAAATTTCTCACCCAATCATGCATACGAATTAATTTTAAGGCTTCATTCGCTCTAACCTTGTCTATTAATTAATATGAGAATAGAAATCAGCAAATTTTCCGTTTAATAGGTAACTTTTAGCTATTTTTTTTAACGAATGAATTAATTGCCTTAAAAATATAATTAAATTATTTAAGGACAAATCGAGGAATATTTTACAAATTTCTATAATTTTATTTGATTTGTCATGCGTAATACCATCAAAAAGTTTGCGAAAATTATTGTGCAGAAATGAATTTGAAATGAAATGAAAAATAAATTTTTTGAATTCAGTTTCAAATTAAATATCAATCATTTAGCCGTAAAGAATTAAATCAGTGAAATCTATTTTATTGCTAATTTGTGGAATTTTCGCAAATTTTTGATTGGCTTTTCGATCATAACGACCAAACGAAGAATTAATTCAAGAAAACCTAAAATATACTAAACTTTGATAATAACTATGCGCTAAAACGTTAAATTTCCCATAATTCATTACACAAAAAAATTTATATGGCAAAAAACCATTTGTTTAAAAGTAATAAGTCCGTATACAATGGCTATTAAGTTAGTGAATAGTAATGGCATCAATGAGTGATAGTAAAAGAGAAATTTTGAAATGTTGTATGCCAAATGATAGGGAGCATCAAAGATCTCATTTATAATAATTCCAAGAGTAAATTTTTAGAGCAGATAACCATAGATAAACTGGAATGATCTGCAAAATATTTATGCAATAATGAAGATAAAAAATATTTCATCAAGAAAAAATTGCTCATTGGTAAATTTTCCACTTGCTTTGTTCTAAGAGAAAATGAAAATTCACAGAAAAATTATCTGAAAATTTTTAGCATTCACCTTACTACATTGATATGAATGAAAATGCTCTTAGAGAATCAATCATACAGTGATTTTTTTGTTATGAATTCAGTTCCTTTTACCTTTACCATTGAATAATTTCAGTTGCAAAGTTAAATGTCCATTAATTTCAATTTTAATTAATGACTTAATGACTTTTGTTAATAACAATATTAATTCGTTTAGTATATATAAGGCCAACAAGATTCGAAGCCATCTTCAAGAAATAGGACTATGGAAAGCGATACTTGAAGTCAACCTAAAATAACTTTCACAAGTGACTATCAAGTGGGGTGTATATCAATACAAACCCTGTTCGTCTGCATAGTTCTAAGCGCTCTCAGCCAGATAATTGAAAGAAATTCAAGAACGGAGCTACCATCCCATCCATCCATGGATGACACCATATTATATGCTAAAAGTGAACAAGGCATTGACTTACTCATTCAACTAAAACAAAGCGAGGACATTGGGATATCATTCGAATTTGAGAAATATGGTGGAATAGTAGTAAAGAGAGTGAAAGTATTTATGATTGATAGAGTAAACCTGCTAGCTGGGTACATAATAGACATAAAGACTAGCTATAAATATATTAGTATCTCACAGTCGCTTGGAAACTATGATGAGGAGACAAGAAAGACATCTAAATACTACCAAAGAATAAGATAGATCTCAAAGAGCCAATTGATAATTAGATAATTAGCGGCCTATATTGCTGGACAAAATTCTTAATCTATCATCTCATTCTCACAGATTAAGCATAAAATTAGTTCATACAAATTTGACAAATTTTACCAAATAATCAAAAAAGCATATAAGCGATTCACTTGAGCATTTGAAAGACATATTGGATATACAGCTTATCAATCAAACATTCTTAAACTGTTATTCATTGTTATGCATCGAAACGCATGATTAGATCATCAATTTTCTACGGTTTCTATAATGCCTCGATATTCATTAAACCAAATTACAACATGTGCAAATACCTAATTCATTATATTGCCTATTTTAGAGTACAGCAGTGTATTTTCAGTTAATAAATAAAGGTTTTTATTATTTCTTCATCTTCTTGCAATTTGCATTTCTGATTTGGCTCATCCAACTCGTTTAGGACTGCTTCGTTGAGAACCATTTGTTTATTGAGATGCATTTGGTAGAATGAAATGCAGGTGAATCACTGCACGCGTATTCATTTAATTGTTACTGAAGTGTAATATTCTATCCTCAAAAATAATACTGTGATCAATCACTTCATTTTTGCTCTGGCGAAAAAGACAGATAGGACGATCGCCATCGGCGACTAAATTGAATCGTTGGTCAAATATCGTTCATCAATCAAATGCAAAATAATGCTGAGATCGATGATTATGCTCAGATCAAAGCCGTTTTATTACTTTTTGCTTTCTCTTTACTTAATCTTTCCAAATATACGCATCTTGATGTAAATCGTTATAATAAACCATAATAATCTTCTTATAAGTTTTCTTCCTATAATTAATTAGATGGGAAAATGTGATTTATATGATTTATGCGAAGTAGAATCAAAAAAATTTTCATTTCTATGTCCATCTAATTAGTCTTCCAGTTCATTTTTTTAATTTTAGCGCATTGTCTGTTTCCACACAATTTATCATTTCCTCATTTTTCTACGAGTTTTCATTTCCTCATTTCATATTTTAAAGCTTATTTAAACTTCGCTAGATTAAACGAAAACTCAGTTAATTAAATAGATTTCAGAAATTCATGAAAGATAAAAGTTTGCTAGGATAATTGAATGAATATAACAACTATCAGTTATTTTAGACTGAAATAATCAGTTGATTTTATGCATAGCAAAAATAGATATCAAATAATCATTAAAAAGTTTAAATATGAGAAAAATATAAAGAAAATATATATAAATAAATATAAAAATATAAATATAAATATAATAAGAAAAAGTTTTTATCGAAGTAAAGATATTTAGAGTGGCTTAGTGGGTTGTTGCCCAATTCGGGATGCCGTTACTAAGATTCCGTTCCCAACAGGAATAAACCTGTCCAAAAATTCAGGTGATGCTGGCGACTCGCCCGTATACCCAAGGGACTCTCTGGCATGTTTGCCCAATGCGATAAGCCAGCGAAGCGAGTTTAACCAGTAATGGTGAAAAGTCTTTTAAAAAAAATTTGTGAGTTAGTTGACGAATTATTGCCCTATTATTAAACATTTAAAAATATTCTATCATTTTTCAAATTTTTGGTAGCTAAATAAAAACAGATTTGTGGAATAATTTAATACAAATACAATTCAACTATGACATAACGAAAATCACCAACATTAACCATAATTCGCCACTCATTTATGAGAAATGATTAAATACTAAAGAATACCAATAAGAGATTTTATTCGGATATCAAGAAGATATTTAAGATATAGATTAGTTCTTTCATTTAATTTTACACAAATGAATTCTTTTTTGACTACAAAAAAGCATCAAAATAAATAAATAAAGAAATAAAAAGAGTGATTATGTCGAAGCCATTTCTAATTTGATCATACTGATATGATCTGCAAAAACTGCTATATGAATTCATGCATAAAAATTAACAATATAAAAGCATTAATTATTAACACTATGAAAAATTTCTAAAATATTATATAAAATTTTAATTTCTTCGGAACATTTCTCAATGGAAATTTAACAAAAATTATATTAATTAAATTATATTACAGCCCGGATCACGGGAGCTAGAAATGCGTTCTTCCGGATGACGAAACCTTTATGGAGTTATTGTAAAATCACCATAAAACGAAAGTCCGTATCTATATGGCCATGATTCGTTCGATCTTGCTATATGGCTCTGAGACATGGCCAATGAGAGTGGAGGATATTATCTGCCTTTGATAACTCATGTCTAAGGTATATTCTACGGATCCGCCAAGCAGATAAAATACCACATGATCGCATCCATCTTCGTTTAAATACCACTTGCATTAATAATGTTATCACAGAGCATCGCCTTCAGTGGTTAGGGCACGTTTCTTCGTCATCCACCACAATTGACGTATATTTCGTAACTGTGTGATGGTTGGTGTCAAAAGCAAGGAGAGCCAGTCAAGACCTGGACAGTCAGGAAAGATTTTAAAAATATAGGGGTACCAGCGATGTATAGACTTAGACGATGGAAAAAGAAATGACTTCAATTACTGTCGACAATAGCATCTGACCGCGCCGCTTAGAAGCATCTTACCCTCGTAGTGTTGGAGCCAGCCTAACCAGTAATGGTGTGAGTTGTTAGAAGAAGATATTTATTAATCAAAGCCGAGTATATAGAACTTCAGATAATCCTCATAAGAATCCTATATTAAGAAAGAAATTTCCTATTTTTCTGTAAAAATAACTCTGAAAATGAGGTTCAACTACGAAAATATTAATTTAAAAAAAAACATTTAATATATTTAATTTTCACCTGGCGAAATTTCGAATTGTTTTCTTAATTATTTTAAATAAAATCTATAAATATAAATGTAATTCCAATTTTTATTAATTTATCAATCAATTAATCAATTTTATCAGTGCAATTAATTTTAATTTTATATAATGAGGTTTAAGGTTAATTGAGATTATATTCTATTATTTAGAAGTTAAGCTCTATTAAACGTGCCCTAATCGCATAATTAATTTTAAAAAAGCTGTTTACTTCGTTAAGCC